AGCTTGCATTCGGTGGTATCGTGGTTCTTTCCAATGCCATAGCCATCTTGATGAGACTTGCTAGGCCACTAATAGCTTCAGTATGTCCAAAGGTGGCTTTGACAGAGCCGATGTACACGGCCTGGCCGTTAAACGCCGCCGAAATGGCTTGCAGCTCGAGTGGATCGCCAGCTGGGGTACCTGTACCGTGCGCCTCAATGTACGATGTTTGCTTCGGGCTCAGCCCGCCCTTCCGATAGCATTCCCGGATCAGATGCTCCTGTGCCTTAGCGTTCGGAGCACTGATAGCGGGTGTCCGGCCATCTTGATTGAGCGCTGTCTCGCGAATTACGAGCCGTATCGGATCACCATCTTGCAGAGCACGAAACAGGGACTTCAGAACGACGGCAGCCACCCCCTCGCCACGCCCATATCCATTTGCCCTCGAATCGAACGAGTATGATACCCCATCGGGCGACAGGAAACTGTCTCCGCGGCCGTGCGCCATATCAGTACAAAACGCGCTCTTGATGCTGACCATGTACTGGCACAGGGTCGGAGAATACACACTCACCCTAAAGTGGACATGGTGGTGAAAATGTTGGAGTTCAACATCAAATTCGCCCCCGTCACAATGGCCATCGTTGCCTCCCCGGCTCGTAGGCTTTGTACTGCAAGGTGAAGCGCAGTCAGCGTTGTCGAACATGCGGCATCAATCGTGACACTGGGGCCGCGAAGGTCATAGAAGTGGGAGACGCGGTTCGCCACCATTGTACCCGCATTGCCCGTGACGAGGTATCTAGGAAGAATTTCCGGGCAGCGATAAAAGGAATCCTGATAGTCGTGAGACATCGTCCCCGCAAAGACTGCGGCGTTCGAACCGGCCACACTTTCGAGGGGCATCCCGGCTGCGAGATTCAAATCAATGCCGAAAAAGGAAAGCCGGTTGTGGAAAGACACCTACCGGCTTCTAGCGCTTCGTAAACAACTTCAAGTATGAGTCGATGCTGCGGATCAGTACACTGGGCACGGTTTCAACATTCAGTATTCATTTCATCGATGTATTGAGTGACGAGGAAAACACGTACACTGGCAACTTCACCGGACATGTTGAAAAATGCCGCGTCGAAGAGAGCCGGATCTTCGTCCAGAAAATGGCCACCGCGGACGTGCGTCTAAACCCGCAGTCAATGACCCCACATTTCAGGTAAAAGCTATGAGTGCTTCGAGGCAGAGTGGCACTGGAGAGTCTTCATTAACTCACCGTTCCTAATCTTTCGCCATTGGGGTGGTAGACTCCATCGAGTTCGAATCGCGAGGAGGGAATCGGGGACCAGGTACTTCTCCCCTCCTCCAGTACTTGCCATAGTGCCTCTGGATCTGTGGCGCCTCCGGCAAATCTACAGCCCATTCCCACCACAGCTATGGGAATGGTGGTGAAGGAGGCAGCTGGCTCTGCCATTGCGTGCAAAAGCCTTGAGAACAGGCTCACGAGATTTCACTCTTTCCGTGGTCCTCTGCCCCATCCAGAGAAAACGACGGATAAAACCCTCGCAAGAATAGGCTGAAGTGGTCCTGGACATGTGCTAGGAGAAAGCATAGTCTTGCATGGAAAAAAACCGAGACAACCCACTTCGTAAGAATAAGTAGGGTGGCCAGCAAATGTGACACAATGGCCCGGATCGATAACACCGAGCCGAAACACCGACTCCGGGCCATGGAGCACTTGTTTTGGAGGGCATCAGCGTGATTATATAAGTCGAGTAGTGTGATAAGAAGTCAGGGACTTCCCAGAAAAACAGTGATTCCTGATGATGTGGAGAAAGTGTGTTAATATTGCGGAGATCAGAGAAGAGGAGGGGGAAACAGGCTCACTGTATCGAGGCTCCAAAGACCTGAAACAAAAACGAAGGGGATGAAATGGTAACCAATGGATGGATGGTCGAAAGGCAGTGAGAGCCATACCGAGAGGAATACGAACCACTAGCGATACTCCAGGTACGATTTGGGCTACGCCAGTAAGTTAGTAGTCGATACAATCAACTTGTGAGAATAGTGAAAAGGATTAGGAGAGAAGATCGAAAGTCAAGGTATCCGCATTGAACAGATGGAATAAAGACAGTACCCATTCGACTTTTCATCCTTATGCCATCTCAAAGTAACTCCCCAGCTACTCTCCACTTGAGAAACTTCATAAACAGCGTGGGACCTGATCCATCTCGACCGGAGCAGGGGGCTTGCTCTACAGATCGAGTCGTCTTTACATCTTCCTTTCCAAACGAATCTCTACTCGGACGATGTTGAATTGAATGAGCTTTCAACTACTATACATTTCTTCGCCTCACCGGGTAACACTCGATTTTTACGAACCCAACAAATTAATCTATGCTTGGGGTTCATTCTTAACTTCTGTCGACGCAGATAACCTTCCAACTCCAACAAAGAGACCCTCGCACGTTGACCTCGACCTCCGATTCCCAAGCACAAGACGACGATTTCCAGACTGGGCTCTCCAGGGAGACTCGCCTTCTCAAAGGATCTGAACTCAACGACGAACCCATTGAGAAGGATACAACTGCAAACCAGCTGAGTCACCAGAAGACGGTTCGTCGGCTGAAACAATCCTCCCAGGCCGTCGATCCAAGAGAATGCGTAAACTCTCGAAGGTAGATTCAACTTTATGACGAGCTCGGATATCGGGTGAACTGTCACATGGTCTGCGATGGGGTTCTAATTTATGGTTTAGGTTTCTTTGGGTTTACTTATATAAGAATGCTTTATCAAATCACCTTCCTACATGCCTATTACTGCTCAATTTATTCTGACGTTATGCATTTTTGTGAGATGCATGCTCGTTCAATCATCATGCCTTACGCTGCATTTTGTACACCACTCAGCCTGTATGTAGTTGCCTCGTACTGGCTCGTCATTGGTTGTATGACCCTCTTCTTAACTTTAGTTCTCGCAAGGTATTGCTTTCGATCTTCAAGCTTGTAATCGCTGATACGGTGCCTTGTGGAACCTGAGCATGATTTTCACGTGCCTACAAGGCTCTATAGCTTCATTGACATATAAGAGTATACCGAGCGCTTCATATCGATCTAATCTGCTTCGGCATCTATCTCCTGTATTAAGCAGAAGACGTTTTACCTGCCTTCAATAGATTTTAATATTCGCGGCGCTGTGTCTTCGTTGAGAAGGTCAAGGTAATAATCTATTCACGCACAGTTAGCCAACTCAGTTTAGAAACTCTTGGTCAACGTACCGCAACACAACCACCTTGCGTTCACCAGCTTTAGAAATCCTCTCAGGATCCGTAACTTTTTCAACGCCTCACTTGAGTCGGTTTCCATCCACATCCTCTCTGTCACTAGACCCGCCGCTTTATACACAAGAAATATGATGAAAGGAGGAAGGCGATCCAAGTCTATGGTTCGTGTACCACTGACAAAGGGGTAGACCATGTTTGTTATGGTGGTGAGAAGGGGGTTTAGAGATGATGTGGCGAGAGTTTGGCAAGTTAAACTTTGTCCATCAGTAATCTGAACCTTGGTACCATTCTCGTAGGCTAGGAGTAGGCCACTGTACAGCATGAGCGTTGAAGCGAGTAAAAGAAGATATGAAAAAGAAAGAACGGGGATTCCAACTAACGTATGACAAAATCCTAACCCACCGGAGTATATCTGGTCCGCATCTTCGACCTCTTCGAGTAGGAGCTTACGGAGGCTATGTGAGGTCTCTACCAAAAGCCCTATTTCTTCCACATTGAATGCTTGTTCTGAAGTGGGATTGTGTAACACATTATGTATGTTATCGACAAGTGTGGACGCTTCGAAGATACGAGAGAGTTGCCAGAGAGGACTCCTTGTGTCTTTTTCGAGGCCGGTGGCCCACGGAATGTGGTTGGTATCGTTGATTTCCTTGGCGGAAGAACGAGTGAGAGATGGACGATGTCCAGATTGCATTGTTATGTATCTAAAGACGTGTCAATACAGAGCGGAGTAATGGTCTTGAGGGATCGATGGAGGCCAGCACCTGTCCAGAATACGGATTGCCCACCCGATTGCTGTGGCCTCCTCTTTCCCCGACTCATCAGAGGTAGACGATGAGGATGACGGGTAAGCGTGATCTTTAAGTGCGTCGGCAGCTCTGACGGTAGTCCCAATAGAGATGTAGGCTGCCGAATAGAAGCCATGTGCAACTTCAAACAGAGTGACCAAAACCCTTGCTTGGACGATCTTGAGCGAGGCGATACCGAGTCCTTCGATCACTGCTATCCAGCTCTTGACATGTAGGTACGTGGACTGAAAACCAGATAGAGCCCCGTCTCCCAAGGAGGGAGGCGGGGACGTACAAAGCAAAGTAATGCAGAGGGCGAGGAGCGTATAATCCAGAGAAGCTTCGTTCCAGGAGCTCGGGAGCTGATCTTGTAATTTTTGTGCGATGATAGGGAACCAAGGATGGATGGATTGGATGTATGTCACAAATATATTGCCCGGGGCTGATGTGAGTTTCTTAGCGATGGCATCTTTGATGTGGTGTGGGCTTAATGTTTCAAGGGGGAGCTCTGCGTCGAGGGATGACGATGATATCGAACTTGGAGATGATACCACCAGTCCTTCATAGTGACAGGCTTGACAAAGCCTGGAGCCTGTTAGGAGTTCCACGGCGACCGAATACCCTTTCGATAAGCACTCACCTTCGGCATAGTCCGCATTGAGGAGTAACCCTGTCGCATCGCCTCTTCTGGGATCTACATCTTGCGCAAGCCTTTTTGGCAAGGCGTACCCGCAGGCGAGCTTCCATTCTTGCAAGCTTATCCTGGATATGGATAATATCAAGGGACAGAGTTCGGGCTACAGGGAATGTGAGTCGGCATTCCGGCGGAAATCTTGGAGCGATTTATGCTTTGTCAGCCGAACCTGCGGTCGCCACCCCGGCGGGATCCATAGAACGGGAGCGGGAACAGTGCGGACTTTCGTAGACTTCGTGCGGATTCATAGTAGCCATTTGGTAATGTTATTTAAATGCTTTATAATAACTGTGCTTGAACGTGAATATATAACAGTCCTATGTCCCACAATGGAAGTTTTTGCGTACACATCCACCATCTCATAAGCGCTCTCAAATTAGCAGTGGTTTTCAGCACGATGCCTAAGATTGAAACTGTTGCGATTGCCGGCGTAAGGACTCCAAAGAATCTGTAAGAGCCTGACAGCTGATACATAATAGGCATCTGGCACCCTGGGACCCTACGTGTTCCAGGCACTTGTCAATGCAGGCTTTCGGGTCTCAGTTCTGACTCGTTCTCGAAAGCCTGGAGCATATGCCTCGGACATCAATGTCTTTGAAGTTGACTTCAATTCAGTGAAGTCACTAACCACTGCACTTAAAGGTGTGGATGCTGTCGTATCCACAGTGGGCGGCGCAGCAGTCGACAATCAGACGGTGCTTATCGACGCTGCTGTTGCCGCAGGAGTGAAGCGTTTCATTCCTTCGGAGTTTGGCAACGTTACCACAAATCCGAAGCTCGAAAATTTCCCGATCTACGGTTCCATGTTTAAGGTTCGGGCCTACCTCCAAGGAAAGGCAGCAGTTGGAGAGTTATCGTGGTCAGTTCTTGCATGTGGCGCCTTCTTGGACTCTGTTTTGAACAATCCCGTTGTGCTGGACCTCCAGAACCACACTGTGACTATCCTCGACGAAGGCGACAATCGGATCAGCTCTACCTCCTTGCCTGTGGTAGGAAGAGCTATCGCTGCAATCTTACAAAATTTTGACGCCACTCAGAACAAAGTCATGCATGTATCCGAGACGATTTTGACTCAAAACAAACTGCTTGGGTTTGCAAAGGAGCTTCGGCCTGATATTGAGTGGAGAACTAGCAAGGAACAGACAAGCGTGCTTTTGCAGGAAAGTCTGGAACAATTTGGTGCTGGAGACTTCAGTGTGTCGACTTTCATGAAACTGATGCAAGGTACTGCTCTTGCTGGAGATACTTATGGCGGCGCATTTGATGTGACGGACAATGAGCTGCTTGGCATCAAAGAACTGGCACCAGCAGACCTGAAGAAGCTTATCGCCGAGAAGCTCGCCTAGAGTAGATTGGCACGGCGGGATCCGAGAAGGACTCTTGCAACAAGAGCCTAGACTTTTTAACTTGTGATCATGACCCCATTTGATAATGTAAATAGTCTGCCAACATCGACTTAATACATCTTGATGACATCTCTTACGTGAGCCTGACTGAAGTGTGCTAGATAGTCCTTTTTCTTTCACTGAGGAATTCCCAAGGGTGGAAGAATCTATTATCATCATCTTATATGTAGCTTTGGTACGTGATTCCCTTCCAGGACTAGCTCATCTTATTTCAACAACTCTTTCATAGCACAATTTTACTTAAAGTATTACTATCCACTTTCACACTTGGCATCACTAATTCACTATCTTTATGGTATCCTTTGCTTCGTTTCAGGGCCACAGCGTTGCAACAGCACACGTCACCAGTTATTCTCTTCAATTCTTTCTCGAACTCTATTATGAAACATGCTAGGCTATTTTGAATTTAGTCTCTCGTAAGGCTGTGAAACGTATTTACGCATAAAGTCACATGGCTGTTTTCTGTGTAATGTACCGAAATTAAATATACTGCTCCAATAGGTAAACTGGCACTGCGTAGATGCGCCTAATCTGTTTGATTGCCTCAGCACAACCGGAAGACTCCTTAAATCAAGCATGTCTGCGGGGTCTGCGGATGAACCAACCCTCAAGATGACAAGCGCTGCATTGAAAGAAGCAACGGAGGGTTACTTATCGACCTGCACTGCTGGCTTTAGATAATAAGCAGTTTAGACGGTAGCAAGACAACCAGAGCAGCCATCTCCTCTGGATTACCCTTTTGTACTCGAGGTGCCTTTTCAGTCTATGATGTGCCTCTTTCTTCTAAAACAAATCATTGCGATGTTATGCTATTATGGGCCCTACTGGCAGAGCACTTTAGACGTTTTGGACAATCCAGATCCCAGGTTCGACATCAACGACCCTAAGTACGCGCAGCCCTTAACTACTGCCTTGTAGATAGCACTGGTAGAGCTACTATCGTCTTTTGACTATGAGCCTCGAATGGTGGTTGGTCATTCATCAGGCGAGATAGCTGCAGCGTAAATGCTCCGGCGTTCCCACTTTAAAGATGGTCAATGGACATGACCGATAGATGGTAATGCTGAAACTGGTCGCCGACTTCTAGTTATGCTACGGGTGGGCTATCCTTGGTCTCTGCATGCAAGGTAGCCTATTTTCGGGGCGCTTTGGCCAGCAGGTTGCGGGCAAGTGATGCTGCCACTGGTGCTATGCTGGCCGTGGACTTCTCAGCGACTGAGGCCCAGCCGTACCGTGACCGTGTGAAGTCCGAGCTGAGAGTGAAAAAGTAGACAGGATGAACTGAGTTTACTCCACAAACAGCCCCAATAGCAAGATGATTGGCCAAAAAATGGGTTGCCTGATAAGGGAGGCGAGATTGGAGCGGAGCCTTATGAGATGACATCATATCACTACCCCGCCCCAGTTGGTCGGAAGTACTTTTCCGCTTCTTCAACAACACTTCCTTCTACTGCAGTGGCTAGAACAAAATTGATTCTCCCCAACGGGTGCGGTACTGTACAGATGACATCCTCTAATCCGAAAATCCTGAAGGCTCTGAGGCCTCTTGCTCCCGCCCCCAGCATCAGCCCGGTGGCGCAAGACATCGACGTCAAGCCCATCAAGAAACGATCCAATGCCTGTGAAGCTTGCAAAAGACGGAAAAGCAAAGTATGGGCGCTCGCAGCCATTGTTCTATGAACTGTTTGACTGATACCGTCCGTCCGTCCAGTGTCTTGGGGAGGTCCCCTGCGATAAATGCCTTCAAGCCGGCACCGAGTGTCGGTTCGTCGAAGAGTCCGATAGACGGAAAAAGCTGGCCCTGCGCCGGTTCGAGCAGGAGCTGAGCTCCGCACATTTGTTACTCGATCGGATTCATGTGGCCTATGAGCATAAACACAAGGCAGAGCTCGGGCAGCTCTTTGAGCTGTTGCAAGATAGGTCGACCCTGGTTCCGAAGGTTGAAGCTCAAACGCGGCAGAAAGTTCAGGTCTGGGACGGGTCCTTTGTATGGTTATGCGTGAACGACATGTTAATTAAGAGACCAGGATCTTCAAGAACGAATCACCTTCTATGAAGGGCTGACGCAAGAGCTCTCCACAAGATTCAGTTCGGATGTCTCAGACTATATTGCGGATTCCGTGAAGGTAAGCCCTTGTTGTGGAGATTTGGAACAGAGCCACTAAGTTCAGTCTTAGGCTCTTTCATCAAGGTCCCATGCCTCAGCAGAGCCCCAAAGAGCCCGTTCGGCTTCATCCTCTTCATCAATGGGCTCGCTTGATGAAGTCGACACGCTTGATGTAGATGTGAACAGAGACAGGCAGAGCAGGTCCACCGGGTTCATAGGCAAAGGCTCGGAGATCGCTTGGCTCCAGAGACTCGATGCCGAAGTCAGCGGCCTAGGCGGGTCGGATTCAGAGCAGCACGTCCAACCCGACAAGGGGAATCTCGCCTCCCTGAATTACCACCTCGACTATCTGGCGATATCAGAACCGAGTCAAGGCGGTGACCCCTACGCAATGCCGCCGAAGCCGTGGGTGGACCAGCTCCTCAACACCTACTTCTCGTTCACCCATACATCGTTCCCAATTCTACTGAAGTCACTGTTCTACACACAGTACGAGAGTGCCTCGAGCAGTCGCTGGGCATCACCTCGGCCAGGCTGGCTCGTCATATTGAACCTAGTCCTCGCCATCGGAGCCACCCACCTTCAGCTGCGCCAAGAACACTGGAAGGGAGAACTCGAGGACCGCAACTTCCTTGCCAAAGCGATTGCGCTCAATGAGAAGCAGAGTTCGGTTCTGGACGATGTGGATCTGCAGCAGGTCCAGATACGAGTGCTTTTTGCGCTGTATTATCTGGGTGCCGGTCAGATCAGCCGGTATGCTTGACCCCCTTTCCACCGCAGACAAACGGTCATCAGCGCAGCCTCCGCTCGAATGGTAGCCTCTGACTAACCACTAACTCACCACAGATCATGGCAACTGGTGGGCTGCGCGGCCCGCTCAGCGATAGCGTTAGGGCTCAATCTCCGAGTGATCGATCGCGACCTGGATTCCGGGTCGAAAGAATTCCGGTCGCGGCTGTGGTGGTCGATCGTCGATCTGGAACAGTTACTTTGTACGGCCACCGGCCGCACATCGTGCATTGACTGGCATTGCTGCAGCGTCACCGCCCCGATCCCCTTCGACGAGGACCATCTCCACGAGTCGGACGAAGCCGATCGTCTGCTGCGGGCGAAGGCCCAGGAGCAGGAAATCCCCTTCACGTTGCACGCCACTCCCCAGCAGCTGCAGGAACGGACCCGATGGCTGAGGTCCGTGCGCTCCAACAGCTCGCTGTTTTTCTTCTACACCACCGACCTCGCCGTGATCAGCCATGCGGCGATCAGCGCTGTGTACAGTCTCCAGTCCGTCTCCGGCACGCGCAGCGAATCGCACAAGCAAATCAAAGTGTATCAGCACAAGCTGACCGAGTGGCTCTCATGCATTCACGAGCCCTGGAAGTTCAGTGACAGCCAGGGACACTTCACCGGACGCGCCACATGTCGGGAGCAGGTCTCGTTGGCGTTCAGCTTCTACAGCACGCAGATCGTGCTGAACCGGCCCTGCCTTACTCGGCCGGAGGCGAAGAACGCGACAGGCGCCCGACGCCCCCGCTCCTGGTTCGATAACAACCGATCGCTAGTCTGCTTGCAGTCCGCGATGGATCTAATGTCAATCCCCCCGGATGTGCCAGATATGGAGTGGCTGTACACAATGGCCCCGTGGTGGTCGATCGTGCATTACCTGATGCAAGCCTCGGTTATTGTGCTGCTGCAGCTGTGCGTAGGCCCCGTCGGGGTCACCGAGCGTGGGGAAACCACCGAAGGCGAAGGCCAGGGGGCTGAGGGCACAGCCGAGGAGCCGGAGACGATCCTGCAGGTGTCGAAGAAATGCCTGCGGTGGCTGTCGGCCATGGGCCACCGGAGCTCCAGCGCCCGCAATGCCTTTTTGACCTGCAACCGCCTATTCCGGAAGATCGCTGCCGTCCAGAAACTAGACCTGGGCAGCGACTTACCGACTTCGTCGGATCTAGCCGACGGAACGGCCGCTGATACCCTTCAGCACTATTATGTCAAATCTCTGAAAAGTGGCTACGGGTACCTACCACATCAGAAGCCTTTGAGCGGTCGACGGGTAGATGATAACGATGACGATGGTGATCAGTTCTGGGGCGCGGATTATACAGCACCGGAGGGGGCGATTGATCAGCGGGACGTCGCGCCGTCGACATTGGACCCTGCGTTGCTGGAGGTATACGAAGCACTGATTCGCGAGTCTCCCACAGGTGATGACTTGTTCTTTAGAGACGGTCCTTGATACAGGACTATTATGGGAGGTGAAGACTGCACCACCGTCATCTAGGCATGAATGCTTGGTGTAGTGGTCAGTTGTGTTAAGGAACTGGTGATGAGGTTGAGCAGTCCACCTTTTTTCAGAGTCGGGTGGCCGGACCGTCCAGTTCATCCTTGCGGGTCTGGACGTCCTCGACGACGGTGACGACCCCGACAACGCCATAAAGGGTAGTCCAACAAACAGGTATTCTATAATGCTATTGTGCATGATAAATCTCATTTCAAAACAGCGATATACAGAGTCTACCCAGCCAGGGCCGCAGTAGCTGGGTATACCAGTCACCAAGCGTTCCGAGGTCAAAAACTGCAGTCCGCCCCTGGAACCAAGTTTCTAACCAGCGACAAGCCTCAAAGCCGACCACCGCTCGCCTCCCTCAAGACCGTCCTCCACTCAATATCATGTACATTATCCGCATGGATTGAAATCTTGACATCGAGGGCCCTTCGCAGCTGCTCTTTGCTCGAAGCATAGAGCATCCGGCGCTATCCAGACCATCAGTTCTCCGCTACCCACAAACCAGGATGAACGGTGTGACTCACCCGCATCGGCGTGGCATCCGGCATCCAGCTGATGAACACCGTTGTTGCTCTGCGTAGACACACACATACACCCTTAGCAAGTGTGTTTTCTGGTATATCTGATTATGTCCGCCCCCCACGAGATGTCATTTTGATACTCACCGGCGACCGTCCTCATTCAAGTCGTACTCCACATCGTAAACCGCGTATCGAGGTGTCTGGTGGCCTTCCCCGTCAACCGCCGAGGTGAGCTTCCCAAGGAACGCTTCGTAGCTTGTCTCGGACGACCGCTCGTCCACGATGATCGACCGTTCGTCGTCGGAGATCCTATAGAGCACGAACTTGGGCTTGAGAGGCCCGCGCGTGAAGAGCAGCTCTCTGTATGCGGCTATACATTCATCCGTGATGAGTACACTGTCGGCGGGATGGTGGTCAATCTCTCACATCAGAAGCAAGGATGGGGTTTGAGGCGAGCATACCCTGATGGAGTCTGGGATTCTCGAAGAGATGGTTAGTGGTCGAGGGCCTGCACTCAGGGAAAGAGTAGACTGACCGACATTTTTGCTGGGTAACAGAGAGTTAGTGTATTGCAAGTGGAAGTGGCAGTGGCCATACCTACACCTCAGATATGATTGACTGATGCTATATAAAAGTCGGGCTATCGGATCCACGGGCCCGGTCGGCAGGGCCTTGGGTAGGTAGGGATTGGTTGGCTTGGCAGACTTGGCAAGATCCGGGGCGCCGGAGCCGCGGACCCGCGGGGCCGAATTCGCAAAAACTGTCATCGATGTAACTCGGGGGATCTGTTCGTCTCTCGAAACAGAGTATCGCTATGTCATCAATGAATGCAGAGGAAACTATCCAAGCAAGGCGCCATCGACTCGCGCAGGTCCCGAGAGCGGTAAGGATCCCGGTTGGGCAACTCTTTGTCGCATGGCTAAATTATATGTGGGGCCGTTCAGTGCGAAGCATGTAAGATACGCAAGGTACGTGGTGTTGTGTCTCGACATCAAGGAGTTCGTCGAAACATGTAAGCTAAGGAGGACGCATCAAGATCCGCTGCGACCGCAGCACCCCATGTACAAACTGTCAGGCATCGAAGATCGCCTGTCGGCATCCGAACGACCGGTCACGTACGGAGCGACAAGCCGATAAGATAGCGAACCTGTATGTACGAAACCTAACCCTAAGTATCTGGCAGCCATACTCACAGCTGCCCACTTTTAGCGAAGCACTCGTAGATCGTCTGGATAGACGTTATCGTGAGGTCGAGTCGAGACTTGTGGCTCTGGAATCTGCACAACGAGCCCCAGTGGCAGAGTGTGAGGCTGATCAAAGGATCTCATCTGCTGAGCCCCGCCCTGTCGGAGGCCGCCTCTTCGAAGGAGATTCTTCGTTCGCAAGCCAGTCACTGCAGATGACGGAGAGTGCGCAGGACGCAGCCCTCTCCGCTTCTGCAGGCGGTGATCCAGCTGTTTATGACGTGATCGATCACCTGCGGAGATCCCTGCATGACTCGCATGAGTTGTCTAGAGATAAATTTTATCTCAGAAAGTCCACCGCCCAATCGCCACCACCGGTTAAGCCTCTTCCAGCGCCGTTCGTGAATAGTCTACTACGGAGAATGAGAGGTACGAAGTCTCTTCCTGAGTCACACTGTTGCGGTGTGGAACTGTCCTGCACACTAACTAGACCTGTAGTCCGTCGTCCCATTTTCCTCTCCTCATATGCCATTAGTGACCTGCACGTGCTCGAGGATCTCTGCCACGGGGTCTATGCTACTAGCGGGCCGTCTGCCGGTCAGATAGCCAGCACCCATGGAGTCCTTCTCTTCGTGCTGAAGGAGTACGTCGCCATGAACGACGATCTCTGTCAGCGGTTCGATCTCAATGCACATCTCATTCAATGCGAGCAGATATTCGTCTCAGCTTTGGAACATTACGAGGTTCTTGTCGTACCAAGCTTCGCAAACATCCTTGCTCTGACGATGGGCGTGAGCACCCCAATCCGATCTTCATCTGCCCTTTGCATTCTTCGCCGGAGCTTTCACACTGACACTTAATCCCAAACCCAGATGATCAAGGCCCAAGGCGAAGCCAAACCCTCCTTGTACTGGACACTCGCATGTGCCGCCGCAACCCAATGTCAATCCCTCGGGTACCACCGAGAAGCCAGCTATCGCAACATCCCGTCCGGTAAGGCGGACAGCATCCGGCGGCTATTCTGGACGGTGTACTGCTTCGACAAAAACATGTCCCTTTTGCTGGGCCGGGTCTCCAACCTGCACGGGCTCGCCATCGACACGCGCCACCCAGCGACGGCCACAGACCGGGCGCTGCGGCCGTGGGACGAGTCGTTCATCATGGGGATTCGACTGGCCGAGCTGCAGGACCAGGTGCTGACGGGCTTATACTCTCCTGGGGCGGCGAGCAAGGGTCCGTTGGAACGGGCCCGACTTATCCGTGACCTGACAGCTGCTATGGAAGAGTGGCGTGTCGCGTTTACACAAGTGAGCAGCAATACCTGGTATCTCTCGTACGCACACCAGACATCAAAGATTGACACTCAGCAGATCAACGCAGAGGCCGTCAACAACCCCCAGGTCTTTCACCTCTCCCGCGGCAACTGGGACATAGCATACTACTCGACGTTGACGCTCCTGCACCACGCCTCCTCCGCCACAGAGACGGGCCTTTTCGTCAGCTCGCCATGCGTCCACGCCGCCCGCAAGAGCCTGCAGGCTCATCTCCAATGCTTCCCGCAGTATCAGGACTCCCGCCTTCTCTCGGACGGGGAATATATCAACTGGTTCGTCCCCGCCCCCTTGGTTTCCTTTTCCCTTCCTTTCTGTAATATCAATGGCGAATAAAGCAACCCCTATACACTAACCACAACCACCAGGATCCTCCTTTACTCCTCCTTCACTCCCTTCCTCGTCACCTTCCTCCACGCCATCGCCGCCAAAGACCCGGAGAGCGTCGCCCTCCTTGTCCGCGTCGTCGGCACGCTGGAGAATCTCCGGTCCTCATCATCCCAGCAGACCTCGGGCGCGGAGCGTCTGTATCAGATCTGCGCGACCTTCGCACAACTGGGGCAAAAGCTGGTTGAGTCATCAGCCTTTCCGCCGAGGGGGATGGACGACCCGTCGGAAGGTCCGTCCCAGTTGGCTGGTGAGGATGCGGCTACAGCCGACGATGGCGCAGGCTTCGGGTTCCCGGCGGAGACGTTTTCGGAGGTCTTCGGGAATGTGGATTTCGATCCCGCGGGGGAGTTGTTGAATGAGTGGATGGGTGGGCAGCCATTTTTGGGGAATTGGGTTGATTTTTAGGGTGGGAGGCTGGCCCTGGGGGTTTGATTCAGTAGTTATTTAGTTGATGTATTTGGTTCTATCCTGTGGAATGCAGAATCCTACAGCCTGAAATTGCCTTCCCAACTGCATCAGTAAGACAGAAGGTTGTGTCGTCCAGCCCAGTACCCTCTTGTATAGCAAATCCCATTTCACAAAATCGGAGTCAATGATCTATAGTCTACTTCTTTTCTTCGTATAGCCCTATAAAACAACCTGAAACAACGATCCACACCTAGCCCCAAGTCCACCCCCCTCCCAAAACCTCTTCCTCCAGAACACAGCCCCCTACAACCCACAAACAACCCCCCACATCTCATCCTCCTCCAACGCCAGCATATCCTCCTTCCTCAACATAACCATCACCTCCACCCCCTCCTCCTTTCTGTGCCTCCTCCTAGGCAGAATGACCACTACCCCGTCCGCCCCCTCCACAACCGGCATCCTCACAAACCCCACCCCGCCCAACCCACCCCCAAACTCCACTCCATAAACCTCTACCCCCGCCCAACTCGTCAGCGTCACATCCCTACCCCCAAAAATCTCCCACCCGGGGTGCAAGCCTCGATAATCATCCACCCCCTTGACCAGAGCATACACCTCCGCAATAAACCGCCCCCCAATGCCATCCGGAGCCTGTGACTGCGTAATGCAATCGCAGATATCCGCCAATCCGCGCACGGGGTCCATATCCGCGGTCGCGAGCGCGGGAGCAGGGTATCGGGCGGTGGCGTAGAGGACGAGATTGCCCGTGTAGCCCGGGGAGAGGGCGGGGAGGCGGGTGCGGCCGTTCACGGCCGTGGTGAGGGTGCTTTTGCCTTTGTGCGGGATGCGGCGGGCGCGGACGCGGGTGATTGTTGTCCAGAGGAGGGCGGTGACGAGGGTGTTGATTGTGGGTTCTTGGGATGTGTATTTCTGGCACAGGGTGCGGAGCGTGAGGAGGTGGTGGAGGCGGAGGGTGCAGAGTCTGGAGGTGCAGGGTTTGAAGGTCGGGGGGAGAGAGGGTGGGGTGGTGCTGAATTCGGGGTGGTGGGGGAGGAGGGCCTTGAGGTTTGGGGATTGGGGTGAGGAGAGGGCCTGGAGGGTTGTGGTGAGGGCGTGAGAGAGTTGGCTCTGTCGACTGGACTGGGAATACTCGGAGGGAAGTGTTCCACCGGCGGTTCTGGTGGTGGTGGTGGTGGCTTGCGCCCACAGTCGGACGACCTCGGCGAACCCGGTGGCGTCGACGCTGTGGTGGTGCAGGCAGATGCATAGCCCTATGCCGCGGTCGACGAAGCGGAAAACGCTGGCGGCAAAGACGGGGTTGCCCTGCTCCATACTCTCCGGAAGCATGGCCGGTACGGGCCAGACACGCCCCGGAATAGCTTCCGGGGGCATGTTTTGCGCAGAGAGAGTTGCGTAGGCTGCTGCGATGGTGCCTTTGTCTTTCAGCGTTGGGGTGTCTCCTGTGTGCGATCGCATCTCAAGGGATGGTCGGCCAGAGACGTCAGTGGTGGGGAAGATTCGTCCTGACAACCAGGGGATTTTGTTAGACAGTTGCTCGAGACCGTTTTGGAGGGTCCGCAGGGTGTGTAGGGTTGAGTCTGCTTCGGGTCCGGGGAATGCCAGAAGGACCCGAATGTAGGTGTTTGGCATGGCCAGGTCCAGCGGAGTCAGCTGCTCGATATAGTCGTGCTCAGTCATGATTGATGGTCTGGAATTAACATAGGATGATTTTGAGAGGTTGAGCTGGATGTACCAAGTAGCAGTATGCGTCTTATACAGGTTGATTCCACCCCTAAACCGGACCCACGGGCCCGAACGCCCGTCCGGCCGGCTCAGCCAACTGGCCACGATACCTCATCACGCTACAAAGAAAAGTAGTCTATACTTCTCAACCCACTGACTGATAGAGAAAGTCAATATCAATGCTGAGCACAAAGTTTTAAGGGAAGAATTGGAAGATGTAAGATGAAGGTGCTCTATAATTATATTCTCCCCTTGCTGTTTGTGTTCGTGTCGGCCGCACAGCAAACTAGGAGAGAATTCTAACCAAATGTGATCCGGATAGTGCAGTGATCTCCTTCACTGAAGATTGCACCTCAGGAGAATTTGTTCGGCCTTAATCATATAATAAGTCCGTTGATGTGACCCTGCCACTCAAGCCACACAAGCTACTCAAGCCACTGTCACGAATCTAGCCAACCAGTCAGTCATCTTCGCCAACGGCCGGTGAACAAAGTGTAACACGGAGACTTTAAAAGTAATAATCACCCGCGGGGGAGCTGCATGACATTACATCACGTACAGACATGGATGAAACCTCTAGCAATCCAGTCACTCGCTGATTGGGAGTCGGAGCGTAAGCTAAAGGTGGGTCTTGTGTGTCAACTGGGGCATTTATTGTCTCTGGCGCTTCTTCGCGTCACCTAGTAGCCGACAATGTAATGTATAAGTGCAAGCAAGGATGAGGTCGAGAGAAAAGCTCCGCTTGGGCCGCTTTGGAACAAAGTCTTCATCATTATCGATCCTCACCCTGCGCCATGAGCACATAGTCATTGTGTGGAAGACTTTGCTGGGGCTGCTACCTGGATTTCCAGCCGGGGCCCGAGAAGCATAAGCACGCCAACGCCGCTCCCGCTCTAGTATTTCTGATTGAATTATACGTATGTATTTCCGAGCTGCGGCCATGAAGCGGGGCATTACAAATCTAGTGTGCATTTAATATATTCACTGTTGATCATGCCTATTGTCAGTCTCCCTCTCTACCTCTACCCCTCTCTCTTTTTTGTCTTCCACTCCACGCTGCCCTCACTGAGTTTACACTTTACAGCGCCTACACCCGACCGTCTCACCTGTCATCGCTGTCAGAATGCAACCGAAGATCGTAACTGATACCCTCCCCTGGGTCGCCGTCCTCTACTTTATCTTCCGCTTGATCTCATCATTCCTCACTGCCCGCCGCAACGCGGCAAAAGCGCGTGACCTTGGCTGTGAAGAGCCTCCAGTCGAAAAGAACCGCTGGCCCTTCGGACTCGATAGTGTGCGACGCTCCCTCGCAGCCGATCGAGCGCAACAATTCCCCGCCGATGTCCTCCAGCGCTTCCAGGAGCTTGGAACATATACCTACCGCTACAATGTTCTTGGTAGGTGATGCTTACAAAGCTCAGTTGAATCAACGGTGTATGCCTTTACTCACGCGTTCCCACCACAGGCTCGAAGAACCTTCGAACGGCAGACCCTAAGAACATCCAAGCAATTTTAGCAACCCAGTTCAAAGACTTTGGTAATTTTGCACTCATGGTCATTTATAGGCTTGAAATACTGAGCATACAGATCTTGGACCTACAAGACGCGGCAATTTCCTCCCCATGCTTGGCGATGGCATTTTCACGTCTGATGGAGCATACTGGAAACATTCCCGGGTATGTTGCTCTGTGAAGCGAGAGATGAAGCCATCATGCTAACGGCCTATAGGCTATCATGCGACCGCAATTCACCAGGGACCAAGTGAGTGACCTCGACCTGGAGGAGACCCATGTGCAGAACATGATGCGAGCACTGGAGCCATCGATCACGACCGACGGCTGGATCAAGAAAGTAGACCTCCTCCCCTATTTCTTTCGCCTGACGCTGGACTCGGCGACCCAATTTCTCTTTGGGGAGTCCGTCAACAGCCAGCTGCAGTCTCTCCGGCCTACCGACGAGAATGACAAGAGCGAGGAGAGTGAGGAGGCCAAGTTCGCGCGCGCGTTCGATGCCGCTCAGTCGGCCCTCGCCACCCGCCTCCGGTTTATGGACCGGTACTGGCTCTATGACTCGCGGGAATTCCGGCAGGCGTGCGGCGTGGTCCACGAGTTCGTCGACCATTTCGTGCGCCTCGCCCTCTCCAAGAACCTCCGCGCGAAGGAGCAGCCCTCCCAAAACGAGCCGTACGTCTTTCTCGAGGCCTTGGCGGCGGAAACGCAGGATCCGCTGGAGCTGCGCTATCAACTCCTGAATCTGTTGCTGGCGGGTCGCGACACGACTGCCTCGCATCTTGGCTGGGGTAAGTCTCGCCTACATGGTGTGATAGGTTTCCTTTCCCCGTAGAATCTTTGATGATTGAATTGATGGACTAATCTCTAATCCACCCATCTTAGTGTTCTACGAGCTCTCCCGCGACCCCGAGCGCTACAAGAAACTACGCGACCACATCCTCGCCGACTTTGGGCCCTATGCCGCCCCCCAAGAGATCACCTTCACTAAACTCAAGGACTGCAAGTACTTACGGTATGTAAACGACGAAGCCCTGCGCCTCCACCCGGTGGTGCCCTTCAACGCCCGCTACGCCAACAAGGACACCACCCTTCCGTGCGGCGGCGGCAAAGACGGGAAGTCCCCCGTCTTCGTCCCCAAGGGGTCGACGTGCGACTACGGGGTGTACGTGATGCATCGCCGCAAGGATCTGTGGGGCGCGGATGCGGACGCCTTCCGGCCGGAACGCTGGGAGGGCAGGAAGGTTGGCTGGGAGTATTTGCCGGTATGTCCCCGCCTTTTCTTTTCCAAAACACCAATCCACTAACCAGACTTCTTCGTGTTAAGTTCAATGGCGGCCCAAGGATCTGTATCGGTCAGCAGTTCGCCCTCACTGAGGCCAGCTACGTGACGGTGCGGCTGCTGCAGCGGTTTGATCGGGTGGAGATTCTGGACGCGACTGAGGTTCTCCGGCATAATCTGACCTTGACGAATTGCATTGCCAATGGGGTCAAGGTGCGGATGCATGCGGCGTGAGAGGGGGTGGTGAAACCCAGTGAGATTTCTTTTTCTGGGGCAGCAAGCGGATCCAAGGAGATATCCACAGGGAGACTGATGCCGTGAAGCCGTCTCCCACTGGTTAAGCTGGCTTACGCAATTTGATGTTCTACCAAAAACAGGATGTTATTATCTTCAAATTGAAATGATGGTATCATTTTCTGGAACTCAGTGCATCACTCGAGATTGAATGGTCTCCATTATCGAGGGGGCATGCGTACTCCCAGGCCGTCTGATTCGACTCCTCGGATAAAACTGAATAGAGTAAGAGGACCCAGAGTGGTCAATGCTACCCTATTGACGCAATTTTCTTACTGCTGAACAAGGAAGAGAGATCTCCTCAATTAGCCCTGGATTCGACTGTCATGGTAGAAGGTTATTTGTTGCCTCGTCTAACTCCACCCACCGTCCCCACCCCGCCCAAGCTGTAGGTCACGTGAGCGCCACCCCTTCTTGCATTAGGGCTATCAGCTCAGCGTCCCTTTGAAGGGGCGAGGTAGTAGTACTATGGGGATTTCTTAATTCGGGGACACCGTCTATTCTTTCTGATAGTTGGGTATCTCAGCGTTCGGAGAAAGTCCCATGCATGAATCTAGTCTCCTAAAACCCCTCAGTCAGTTCATGAAGGCCGGTCTGGACTCCCCTTCGGAGCTGCCCGCCAACTAACTTCTCAGGTAAAATCCAACTAAATCCATCCAACTCTAAGCTGCTATTCCCCCTCCCCCCCCCTCCCCCCCAGAAAGCAGTTATACTCGAAGTAACCAGATGAAGGTGCCATTGATCCATTAGGAGTGGTTCTAAATCACAAAGCGCACCCACCAGACACCCTGAGGTGTAAGGTCAAGATCATGAACTCACTATATACAATGAATGATAGGGTTATCTACTGCCCAGTTGCTATACACAGGCCTTGGGATTGAATGCCAGGTCAAACACCACTACAAAACTCGGATTTCCTCCTTACTGTATCAAAAGTCCGGCAGTGCTTAATATAAGGCGATTCAGGGTAGTACTGGTGCAAAAGCTACTAAAAATAATTAAAAGATTTAAACAGGCCACAGTAGAAACTAGATCCCAAAAGATTTGTTACCCATATAGCCAATACTTGTAGCAATAATGAGATACTCCATATATTAACAAAGCTAAGTAGAAAACAGTATAAAAAGCTGTTCTATTGTCACTATCCATAGAGAAAAATTCTAGTTATACCTATATATACAATTTGTAAATATTTGGATTAGTTGTATATATCTGCAGGCAAACTGGATTCATATTATCTATATCTTTGATATGTTATATATATATTATTCAATAAAAGTAATACACCTGGCTATAGGCTGTGGCTACCGCCACGCGGGCTTTAGGGCTGCCAGAAGCGAGAATGAGTTCATCATCATCATCATCATCATCATCATCTACTGCCTAGCACCTAGAACTCTTCCTCGACCTCCGATATTGCCCTCATGCCCGTGTTATTTGAATTTTGATGTAACCCTGATCCCCGGTTCCTTCCAGCCCGTGGAGAAACTTCCATAATAACTTTCGTTCTTGATTTCTCTTTTCCGTTCCTTTCCCTTTTGACTCTACCCAGCCAAGAGACTAACATCGATATCCGGATACCGCGAGGTCCACGCCGCTGGGTGTTCCACGAAGGCCGGATACTGCGCGATAAGACCCGACCACCGAGTGAATGATTCGCTCTCTTCAGGGCACCCTTCTAATGACAGAAAGCATTACCTGAGTCTCCTTTTGCGCATGCGCTAAAGAGAATGAGACGACAATCAGCTGGAGCGGCACCTCGCTAGACCTTGTTGATCGCAACTACAAGCAGCGCCCCAGGCCCTGGTACACAGCTACTGGAGAGAATAAAGGTGGCGGTCAATGCACATCGATTCTTTGCCTCCCATCTCCGCGTACAGAGGAAAAAATGCGTCTTCGCCGTTAGAGCTAAATTGCTCCTCCCCGAGTGTGGCCAACAATCCTCTCGCAAGCATGCGGCAGATAGCACTTGTCGTTGAGAACCTAGATTCCAGACAATGGTCTAGCTCCTGACGATTAGCACATGGGCTGTCAGTAGTGTCAGGGTTTCCAGTCTGTCGCCCAATACAAGGTCATGATTATTTCCGGTTGCGCTTGAGTGCGAGAATCATTGGGGTCAGCAATGGTGATATCGGTCCTCCTCGAGACACAGGGAATTCATGCAGATGGTAAGATCAGGACAAGTCGCTCGCTGTAAGGCGGCTGGGACTGCGGGGAACGAGGCATAGAAGCCTTTAACCCAGCTAAATGCAAATTGTTAGAATAGAGCTAGCCCTACGAAGGACTAGATTTTATCTGATCATCCTTCGCACGATCTATAATGAATGTCTCCACTCAGCAGACTCTTATCATAGAAAATGTGGCATGAATGGACTCTGAATGTTGTTGAGAAGATTAGAACAGTTAGAAATGTATGCAATCAGACCAGCGACTTTTGCAAGTGATGAGTTGCAGGTTTTGCGCGTTGCAGAATACTCCTGACTATGTGTAGGGCTTGTTTCACTCTGTTCTATAACTTCTTTCCGGACTAATAGAAGGCAATGCTAAGTAGTCACATATATCTCCATCGTGTATCGTACAATGTTGGTATTCAAGGCGAGCACTCTGTGGACTTTATAGTAGGTATGTAGTATTCATATATGCGGGCTCAGCACATCCTCCATCTACAAAAACTAGCCCCGCGGTAACAAGGTAGAAATGATCAGGGCTACTGAGCCTGTGGCATCCGGATAAGCGATTACGGACGGCTCCGGTCGCATTGACGGCTTGGGCCGACCATCCCAACTGCGCCACAATGAATGGAGCTTAAAGATATTCCGGATAGATCCACTTTGAGTACGTAGTGTGTCGCTTCATCCTATCAATCTACAGCATCTGAGTGGCAGGCCCCACCAAGCGGAGGCGCATTAGTGCTTATTGTGTCGGCCGGAGATTCTAAGGTTCAGGCACCAGGATAACCGATAGTTAGTACAGGGCATTATTGGCCTGGGTTCATCGCTTTGAGCGCTGTCGATCTGTCAATTTTATCTCCAAGAAGTCTTGATTTCTTTTTTTCGTTGCCAATTGCTACCTCTTTCCACACCTCTGTCCTATTCACTGAGCCCCCGTACTTGCGACGAGATATGTAAATGTTCGGCATCTCATCTATCTAGACTCAACAAAAATGGCATCGGTGACTACAAAGCCCAATACTGGCTGGGTCCAGCACCGAGTAACCCAGGCATTGCGCGCAGTGGTAGGCCACGCGTGTCGGCGTCCCCTTCACACCCTGCTCGTCACGGCCCTTGTCGCCGCAACAACTTATCTTCAGGTGCTGGAGGGAGCTTTTCAGGCAGTGAACACGTCGCAGACAGCTCCCTTCGACGTTCGATCGTTTCTGTGGGGTAGCCGCAATCTCCATCTCGGGGAGAAGAGCTCGTGGAGATGGCAGAACGACGTGTCTGCAGCACACGGTCATGGCCAGGTATGGCAGACACCTTTGCTTCAATTGAACCTACGCGTACTTACCGATCGTTTCTTTATTTTCCTTAACAGGTTGACCAACACTTGGCGCTGGTAACTCTCAACTTCCCCGGTTCTTCCGACAATAGCAACCCTCCCTTCATCTTGCCCCTGTCCATCGACGCGGATCCGATCACTCCGACTTCGAATCTCCTCACCTCCTTCTTCGATGACTTTTCCCTGGCGTATCAGGTCCCCTACAAGCAACTGACCAATTTTCTGCAAGGTGTTGAAGAAGTAGTCGCATCGAGTGATGAAAACACAACGTGGGCAATCCAGCGCCCCCGCGGAGAAGGCTCGCCCCTTTCGCTTGGCCGCTGGCTCGGCAACTCATGGCTATCGTTTCTGCACCGAGCCCAGCATGCCGAGACAGTGGACATGGTCATCATCGGGCTCGGATACCTGGCTCTCAACATGACCGTGATCTCGCTATTCCGCGCAATGCGTCATCTGGGGTCGCGTGTCTGGCTGGCGAGCGCCGTCATACTCTCCGGGGCATTTGCCTTTGTGCTGGGGCTCGGGGTCACGACGGCCTGCGGTGTACCGGTGGACATGCTGCTGCTCTCGGAAGGCATTCCCTTTCTGGTGCTGACGGTGGGATTCGAGAAGCCCATCTGCTTCACCCGTGCGGTGCTCTGTGCGTCTAAGGAACCTTCTCGTGGACCGCAGCAGGACAGTCACCCCAAATCAATCCCCACCACCATGCAGACCGCCATCAATGCACAAGGCTGGCCGATCGTCCGCTCATATCTTCTGGAGATTGGTGCCCTCGCACTGGGAGCAGCCCTGCGGCCACACAATCGGTTCGGTCAGTTCTGCTTCCAGGCCGCGTGGACCCTGCTCTTCGACGCCGTCCTGCTCTTCACTTTCTACGCGACCGTCCTCTGCATGAAGCTGGAAATCACGCGCGTCCGGTGTCCAGATACACTTCATCAGGCGGACGAGCAGCGAGGCCCCTGCATGTTCGGGTACAAGGTCAATCCGGCCAACGTGGCGCGCTGGAAAACGATGATGGTGGGCGGCTTCGTGCTGGTCAACGTGCTGCAACTCTCGTCGTTTGCGTTTCGCATCCTAGGTGGCTTCTTGACGAACCCCTCGCTTATGCCGACAGCTGTCAGCCCGTTTAAGGTGGCCGCCAACGGACTCAATGATATCTTCCTGGCTGCTCGTGCGGCGGGGACGGAGACGCGCGTGACGGTGCTCCCTCCCATTCGATATACCCTCCATGCAGCAACAAAACCGGTTGACGGGGTTTTCGCAGGACTAGAGAGTCCGGTGGCTCGACTGTGTCTGATCGGCGCATTGGTCGTCAGTCTCATTCTCAACAGCCACCTGATGCATGCCGCCCGCTGGCATGCTGCCGACGCAGCGAATGCGTCCGCTACACCTTTTATCACCCATTCCTCAGCCCCCAGCTCCGGTCCTCAACCCCGGAACCCGGAAGAGACGGAAGCTCTACTCAAATCCGACCAAGCAGAATCACTAACCGACGGGGAACTAGTCGACCTCTGCCTCCGCGGCAAGATTGCGGGATACAGCCTCGAAAAGACTCTGGAAAACATAGCCCCAAGCTCATCCAGACTGGAAGCCTTCACCCGCGCCGTGCGCATCCGCCGCGCCGCCATTTCACAAACCCCATCAACCCAACCCCTCAGCCACGGCGTCCAGGACTCTCTCCTCCCCTACCGCGACTACAACTACGAGCTCGTGCACGGCGCCTGCTGCGAGAACGTGATCGGCTACCTACCGCTCCCGCTGGGCCTCGCAGGACCCATGCTCATCGACGGCCAGGCATACTTCATCCCGATGGCCACCACCGAAGGCGTACTCGTCGCCAGCGCCAGCCGCGGCTGCAAGGCGATCAATGCGGGCGGCGGCGCCGTCACGATGCTAAAAGGCGACGGCATGACGCGAGGACCCTGCCTGGGATTCCCCTCGGCCTCGCGCGCCGCCGAAGCGCAGCGCTGGGTCGAGTCTCCCGCGGGCTACGCAGTCCTTACCGCTGCATTCAACGCCACCAGCCGCTTCGCGCGTCTGCAAGCCCTAACCGTCGCGCAGGCCGGGACGTATCTGTACATCCGGTTCCGCACCACCACCGGCGACGCCATGGGCATGAACATGATCTCCAAGGGGGTCGAGGCGGCGCTGCACGCCATGACCGCCCACGGCTTCCCGGATATGCAGACCATCACCCTGTCCGGGAACTTCTGCGCCGACAAGAAGTCCGCGGCCGTGAACTGGATCGGTGGGCGCGGGAAATCGGTCATCGCGGAGGCTACTATCCCTGCGGACGCTGTTCGGAAGGTGCTGAAGACCGAGGTCAATGCGCTGGTCGAGCTCAACACGGCCAAGAACCTCGTGGGTAGTGCGATGGCGGGCAGTATCGGGGGGTTCAACGCTCATGCGTCTAACCTCGTGCAGGCGGTGTTTCTGGCCACCGGTCAGGATCCCGCCCAGAATGTGGAGAGTAGTAGCTGTATTACTACGATGAAGAAGTATGTCTGCCCTTTCTCGGATATATTTTCTTGTTTACTTCTTGTTTCACTTGTTTATGTTTTCAATGTGTACCGTCCGGGAATGCTAACGACTACAGTATAAACGGCAACCTACACATCGCCGTCTCCATGCCCTCAATAGAAGTCGGCACAATCGGCGGGGGCACAATCCTCGAGGCGCAGGGAGCCATGTTGGATTTGCTGGGGGTGCGTGGCGCCCATCCCACCGACCCCGGCGCGAATGCCCGCCGTTTGGCCCGGATTGTGGCTGCCGCGGTCCTGGCCGGCGAGTTGAGTACGTGCTCGGCGCTGGCGGCGGGTCACTTGGTCAACGCGCATATGCAGCATAATCGGAGTGCTGCGGCGTCGGGAAAGAAATAGTCTCGGGATGGAGGGAGATATGGTTTTGGGGGTGTGGATGCATTGCTTTCATTGTTGCATGTCTGACGTGACGATTGTACGATAGATAGAAGATGCCTTACTGAGCAGGGCGTCAGCTTCAGTCAATGGTACTAATACGACAGCTGACAGCCGAAAATGCTCAATGTAGAGTTCAAGTCCAACGAGGAATACTAGCCATGCCGACTCAGGGGGTGAGAGTTGAGACATATCTTGGGATGCTCTACTTCTATCTCATACGCGCACTCAGGAGACCTGGTCTAATGGCTCTCAGCTGTATAGTACATACATTGCGAGGAAGACAGACAAGAGTCATCGGGTGTCGGGTGTAGATTTCCCGGACAGTGTATGTTGTGCAACCTATCCTTCGAGTGCCCAATCTAAATTTCGAGGCTCTGGGACTCCGGAGGATAGTCGAGTAGGAACTTCCAACTTATCATCATATCGTAGCCACGAAGATTGATGGTGGGGGTGACTACGACAACGGTACGGACAAGAAAACTATAGGACTGCATATCGGGAAATATCACCACCATTGGGAACTGAAAACAGGAGCCTGACAACCAATGGTCTCCAAAGCAATGATTTCAGAATCTGTGACAATTCTCAATCACTTCTCGTACAACAACGAAACCCTGCATCGGCTGGCATATATCAGTGCAACTGGATCTCTGTCGAATCGTCCCCGCCCAAAGCTCGGGCCACCCATTCAGGGGCTGTGATTGCTCCGCGATCGGGTGACAGCTGATTCATTCACCATGACCGAAGACCCTCTCTACTACAGAGTGTGTAAACGGACCCAACCATACACCCCATAATGCTCAACCTGATATCTCGGGTCCGCACCTTTCTTGGCGACCAGCCCGCCCCCCCACACCCCTGGCCCAAAGTCGCCATCCTCAGCCTCCCCGACGCCGGCAAACGAGCTCTCCTCCAGCACCTGAGCGACACCCCCGTCAGCCCGATCACCGCTGACGGATGTCACGCGGGCTGGACGAGCAGCAGCCACGCCCTGGAACTCAGCTTCATCGCCGCGGACGTGGGGCTAGATGCCCGGTTACGCTGGCGAGCCGCCGTCGCCGCGCGGTACACGGACGCGAACGCCGTGATCATCGTGGTCAATCCCGCCCACGCGATTGCGCTGGAGGAGCTGCGATATCAGCTTGGCTGTCTTGTCAACGGGATGGAAGAGTCCGGCGAGGTGCAGACGTATTGTATCGTGCGGAAGGGGATTCCGTGGCTGGTGCTGGTGAACGTTGAGGGGAGTGCCGTGGTTCGTGATCTTCCTGAGTTTGCTGCCTCGCTTTAGCGCTAATTATCTGTTGGGCGGGTTGTAGGATGAGGGAAATGCAAGGGAGCAGGTTGATTGTCTGGGGCTGGGTGGGTTGGGTGTCGATTGGGTGGGATATTTTCTTTCGTCCTTGATATGTGTTGGTAGTAACTGAAGACTGACGGCTAGTAGATGTTTCGGTCCATCTCGACGCTGACTGGAGAGGGTGTGGAGGGGTCAATGCTCTGGTTAAAGGAGAAGATCCGCGTCAACGCTGAGCGCAGACTACAAGCGGAGAATTAGGGCTCTGTGGTCAGGTGATGATGCTGGGCGTTGGCTCTGGTTTGGTTTGCGGTTCGTGTTCTGTTCTTATGCCAGGTCGGTGGATTATCTGCAACTCGATGGAACTATATACCTTTCATGACTGCTATTGGCATGACTCTGTTGTATCTTTCTATTCTTCTCTTCTTCAGCATACGCATGATTAATTTGTCTCTTTCTTTTTATCTTGGGCTTCCGGTCCGTCCGAACGTCTGAACGACTCGAACTTGAGGCGCCGCTCGATATACTGATAGCCACCTCTTGTTGCTCCATTCATTGATTTTACCCTTTCATCTGTACGGCCCTGTTTAATCTCATTTCCTAGACTGGCTCAACAATCTGTCTCCTGTCTTGACACGGCCTATGGTTATGTTGATCGCCCATTAGAAGAAATACTACCCGAGCTCACGGACAGTAAAGCTCGAGCATAATCAGCATCCACAACAACCGTTCATGGCAACAGAGCAAAAATCAGCCTAGATCGAACCCCATCTGGGCCCAACCCGCATCCAACCCACCAGCAACCCAAGCACCCCGCCCAAACGGCGGTTGCATCGGGAACAGCACCGCGACCGCGACCGCGACCGCAACACCCAAGCTTTTCCAGCAGCATCCACCAGAAACCCGCCCTGCGGCGCGATCCCTGTTCCCCCCGGACTTGACATCACGCTTAACCCGCTCCGCAACCAACTTAGCACCCGCAAGACAGATCAGCACGCCCGCTCCGGGATGCTGTGATGTGTGGAGATGGCCTCAAAGCTCTCGCGGTAGTGCCCGGCCAGGAAGATGTTGTGCGGGCGGAGTTTAAGCAGGGGAGGTGTCCACCGCCCAGAAGAAGGAGATGCTGCTGCAGGAGGTGGGGCGGTGCGTGAGCGCAGCGGCGTAAGGGGGCAGTACACGCTTCAATATATGTAAAAGCACACCTTGCATGCGGCAGGGATAGAAAGTCAAATCTGGTGGTCCGATCTGGCATTCTTAATATCCGGATCTCTTGGCGTTGTCCACGGGCTCCGCGGGATCCGAGCCCGGACTAATCGTGCATCGGTTATTATAAGACGAGATATCCATCCATGTTCAGGTTGGGGATATACATATATACAAATCTGTTAGAATAGATTGAAAGCCCCGTCGACTTAATTCGGCAAGCTTACGCAAGATGACCAACCAAACCGCATCAGTTATTCACAACTACTATCCTTCAACGATACACCTACCACACTATGCAACCAACACAACCCCAGTTTTCTCCCTAATAGTCCAATTCGGTATCCTCTGGGTCGCCGTGCTTGGAGTCGCTCTGATTAGTATCCGCCGCGCACGACCTACCGCAAGTCGATCAGACCAATCGGCATTTGTATGGATGTGCCTGAGTACGTACTGTACCCTATCCTGCCTCGACGAACCAGTCAGTCACAAACACCCCATGCTAAGCCCACAAACCTCATGCAGCGGGATTCATCCACCTCTTTTTCGAAGCCTACTTCGTGATCAACCATCAATCCCTCGCCAGCTCGCAGGACCTCTTCGGCCAGCTATGGAAGGAGTACTCCCTCTCTGATTCGCGGTACCTGACGTCAGACGCATTCCTTGTTTCCATGGAGGCCGTCACCGCCGTGCGTCCTGCAGTCCCATTCAACCAGTCAGAGAAGCTGATAAGTCTCGCAGTTCTGCTGGGGTCCCCTCGCATTCTTCATCGCCTATTGCATCGCCGCCCAGCACCCCGCTCGCCACGCCCTGCAGCTCGTCATGTCACTCGGACAGGTCTACGGCGATGTGCTATACTACGCGACGAGCCTGTTTGACTTCTACTACCATAGGATGGAGTTCTGCCGGCCCGAGGGTTATTACTTCTGGTTTTACTATTTTTTCATGAACTTTATCTGGATTGTTGTGGGGTCTTGTGAGTATTTTTTGGTGTTTCATGGTGTGGGCTGTGGGGCCTTTGCTGATGTCTCGCAGATTATGCGTATCAAAGTGCCGTGGAAATTACGCGAGCTTTTAGGAGGCTGACTGAACTCGATCGGAAGCGCAAGTCGAACTGATTGGGGTGAGAGCAGCTGATCACGCATTTTCGCAGAGTGGAGTCTGCCTCAGGCAAGAAGGAGCATTTTGCGTAATGTGTTCTGCCTTACTGGGTTTCGAACAAAGACACTATAACGAAGGGTCACTCACTTCGTGTCAGCCATGACTCACTCAAAGTTCCTGATTCGACTGTGGTGAAGTCATCTCCCCTGAACTTGCTCGGCAATGACAGCTATCGAGCTCGGGTAACCCGGCGCCAGTCGACCGGCTTGGCGGTGGGGACGTTATAGCTTAGCTCTCTTGGCTCTAGTTCAGCCCTACTACTCTACCACGGTAGCTAAGTTGGGTATAGATGTTTTGGTGCTCATTTATGAAGTGAAAATGATTGGTGTACTGTCTTCAACCGTTTCATTTATACATAACTCATTTGTCAGGTTGCGCAGGACATTCCGCTCCTGTAGTAGTTGGCTGCCGGTTCTCACACTAGTCTCAGTCCTCGAAATAAAAGTCCATCCCTCGCTTTCACTCGCCTCGTTTCCAGGATCGCTTTCACTCAATCGAGTGAAATCTTGCTAAGATTCTACCCGCCTCAGAGTTTTCGCTCAGGATGTCTCCCTCCAATTCAATTTTTGTTGCGCTTGCCTCGATTGGAGCATGTTGTGCTGCAACCGTCGCATCTGACTCAACCCTCGAAACTCGATACCCCAATGCAGCTGTTGAGACAGTGGATGTGGTGATCGTCGGTGGTGGAGCTTCGGGAGCCAACGCGGCTGTCCACTTCCATGATGCCGGTCTCTCGCTTAGGGTTGTCGAAAAGCAGGGTCACTTGGTCTGAAGCCGCTCTCTTTCAATCATGGACATGTTCTAATTACTGGTTCTCACCCTACAGGGCGGAATGGTCAACAGCTGGATGAATCCCGCCACGAATACCACTTACGACTGTAGGTGCAACCCTAAGCCACCGCCCAATTACCCAATGCTAACAGCGGGTTGCATCAGATGGTGTAGCAGCATACACGAACTACACTGGCACGACCGCGTTCTTCGACCGGCTAGGCATCGACTACGTGGAGCCCGACCTGGGAAGCACGACCCTCACCACGACCTACGCAGACTTCACCACCGGCAAGCCCGTGGACTACCTCGCTCCCAACATCACCGACGAGCTCGCCGCCCTGGAGACTTTCTACAATATCTCCAGCCAATACCAGGACCTGTTCCTCCCATCCTACGCCAACTGGCCTGCGCCCAAAAATATCCCCGAGGACCTGCTGATGCCCTTCCGCAACTTCGCCGTCAAGTATAACCTAAACGCCACCATCTTTGTAAGCCCAACCCCAGCCTTTCCACTCATAATCCCCTAACCATCGTGCCGGATAGCTCATCTGGTCCGGCATCGGCGCCGGTCTAGCCGACATGCTCGACGCGCCCACCCTCTACCAAATGCAGACCTTCGGACCCCAAACCGCCGCCGCCTTTCTGGGTCAGGACCCGGAATACGTCCCCGCCTCCCATCGCAACCAGGACATATACGACGCGGTCGCAGACATCCTGGGCAAGTCCGTCCTGCTAAACAGCACGGTGATCGAGTCCGTCCGGCACCCGGACAACCGCGGCGTCGAACTGGTCGTGCAGAACCACGGAACCCAATCCCATACAATCCTCCGCGCCAAGCGACTGGTGATGGCCATCGAGCCGACCGCCGCCAACACCGCGCCCTTCGACCTGGACACCACCGAGAAGAGCATCTTCGACCAGGGCAAATGGAGCGTCGTGCACACGGGGATCATCTCACACCCCGCACTCCCGGTCAACGGCGTCATCTACAACCTCCCCGCCACGGCGGTCCACGGCAACGACTTCGCGCTACCGGAGCCGCCGTTCGTTGATTACTTCGAGGTGAGCTGCCCCCTTTAACTTACATTCCTAGCCTCAAGAATCCCGAGCTGATGATCAATAACGAAAGTATCTCGGCGAAAACCTCTGGCAAGTGATCGTCGTCGGCTGGCTCGGCTTCTCGGAAGGAGCGGCCCAGGCCCTCGCCAACGAGGGAATCCGCCAACTGACCGCCGCGGGGACGCTGTCCACCAATGCCACCGCCGCCACCAACGGGACTACTACCATCAAGGTTCATGCGTGGTCGAACCACGGGGCGATGGATATGCGCACCACGGCCGAGAATCTGCGGGGCGGGTTCATTCAGCGGCAGTATGCGCTGCAGGGCCATCGGTCGACGTACTGGACGGGGGCGGCGTTTGGGAACCAGCTGTCGAATTATTTGTGGGCGTATAATTTGGAGTATCTTGTGCCGTTGGTGAGGGGGAGCTTGAAGTGAGGCTGGGGTGTTCGGGGTGTTGTTGGGGGATAGGGCTACAGTGGAGGGAGTTGGTTCGTGGTGCTGGGTGGGGGTGGGTTGGAAGTAAGTTATGGGATTAGGGTTACGAGGTGTGTTTCAGTGATAAGATAGAAGCTTAAGTCAAGATTTATCAGTTTTCAGGAAGAAGAAATAAGGTTTGCGTGGAATGGACTGCTCAGGTCAATGCACTGCACACCCGTCCCATGTCTTTACTCCGTAGACTGGTGCATGGGGTCTGAGCACGAAATAACTTTAGTGGCTTCGTCCAAGCTTTAGACCTATCCGACACATGGTTGTTGTCTCAGAACTGTAATCTGGTAAGTTGTAAGTATGAAACCAGTCTTAGTGGTCTTGAATAACAATGATTTATTCGAAAATTGTCAGTCAAGTCTTGCTTTCGTCCCGAATACCTGTCTCAGACTCATATTTCACCTAATCTGGACCTCGATCCGAGTAGTCAATTATATGCTTTCCCGTTCTCAGTGGATGAGCCTATTCGAATAGATTGCATCAATTTCAGGGCAAAAGAATGTGCCTGTATCAGCAACATTAGATATCTCTACAGAGTTATCTCTTGAGGGGAAATACCCGCGCTAGTACGAGTAGCAACCGACACATCAACTGCACCCATGCCACGCATACATGCATATCACGCAGGCACCGCGCGTCCAGAACCTTTAACCGCGGTTGCATACCGAAGCCTACTTACCCGATCAGGAAGTATCTCCGCTGCCCTTGATAAGCTCTTGTTCATCAAACTTGACAGATCCGTACACAAGCAAACAATTACCCCGTCCATCGACCTGAAGACCTATCTCTAGAACCAACGCAAACACCAGCCGATTGCTCTAACTTCCAAACCAAGCACGCGCATCACATTTTTCTCTATCATCCAACTTTTATTTCCAGAAATGCCAAGTTCAACAATTAAAGCAGACACCCGTTAGAACCGTTTTAACCCGAATCGCCTACCAAGATTCCAACCTACCGCTCCCGCTCACCCCCCATCTCAAACTCCACGATGATCTGATCCGTGCGATGGATCTCCCACTTCCTGGCCCGCCGCTCCGTCTCCACCTCCTCATCCCCGGACCAAATCTCCTCCTGGCTATCGGCCCGTGTAGCACTCTCAGTCGTCAACGGATGACGCCCCTTTCGCGCGGATCCCGGCCCATACGACGGCACGGGGGTCGGGTACGAGCGCGGGAGGCTGTAGGACCGGCAAGCGGAGGAGCGTCTTCCGAGGACAAATTCCAAGAGGGGCTGGAGGGTGGGGATGCAGGAGGCGATGATGACGAGGTTGGCTTCTGCGCTTTTTCTGGGGTTAGATTAGGGGTTCCTGAATCTGGTGAAGTGGGAAGAGGGGAAGGCGGAGTGGTTGTGCGGGGCTGGTGGAACGTACTTGGTCCAGAGGACGAGGGGGCAGCTTTCGTCTGTCTTTTGGGTTAGTTGGGTTGGGGGTTGAGGTTGGGTTGGGGTGGGGGGAGGTAAGGGGACAAGGGCAGGGCAGGGCAGGGCAGGGCAAGCATACATGTTGTGTCGGCAACGTTGCCGAGGGCGTCGAGGTGGGTGGTTTTGATGATGGCGGCGCAGGCGGAACTACCCGGATCAGTTAGGGCTGGCTATATGATGAAGACATAGAGGGAAGGGTCACGCACATAGCGCCCAGCCCTAACGCCGCGCACAGGGCGAGTTTCTTGTGCAACGACATCTGCAATCGCCAGAGGATCACGCTCGGATAGATTGCGAGGCTGAGGTCGGTGAAAGCTGATAATGCTATCAAATCTGTCAGTACCCTTATATCCAGAATCCTAGGAGATAAGGGACGGGCAGACTCACCCCCATTCAACGTTGCCACCCCGATCAGAACCCTCGAGCTGCGACAGCTTGCCCCCTCGACCGTCGCCCACAGCGCGCGCGGCGGGTCACACTGGGTAAATAGCACTAAGATATTTACCACCGCGACAACCATCACCAGCCCCGTCAGCCCCCAGAGTGCACACCGCATGTGAACTCCAGGCGCCAAGATACGATGCAGCAGGGCCGCCACGCCTAATTTCGGCAGCGCGAACGCGAGGATTCCAAAGATCCAGCCGAGATCGATGGTCAGGTTCGCTCGTTCGGCGGCGGCGGGGCCGATCGTGGAAGCGTGTCGGCCGAGACCTTGGGTGACGGCGACGGTCGCGAGGCTGACATTACATAGCCCTAGAATCTGGGAGTGGGATTGGGTCAACGGGTGAATTCTCGAGGTGCGTGCCGTGACACGATGGACGTACCATTGAAGAAGCAATCAGCCAGTCGTCCAACCCAAACGCACGAATGATCTTTGTCCGAATGACGAGGCGCGCGCAGACCAACACGGTCGCAAGGCTCGTCAAAGTCCACATCACCGCCAGCAGGGCCGGGCCTTTGTTCGGTTGTTGATCGTACGCTGCGGTGCCCGCCATGGCATGGAGGCGCTGCCACTGTGGTCGTGGACCATCCGGGAATGGTCACGAAAAGCGAAGATGCAGCAGTTCGCGGGCTTTGGGGGAATCGCTGTAGCCCAGGTCCGGCGATAGTGACATTTCTTATAGGATGCGGATCCCCCGGTCGACTGATAGGAGATTTTTCAGTACAGGCGTTTGGTGGGGGGGGGATTGGACAGGTGCCTTCGATTGCTGCAGCCAGGTGTCAGTGCCCTTTTTTTGATGCATCGACTTTTGATGCAGGAGTTAATATGTGCATGATTGCTATTTGTGGGCGGTGAGGGGACTACGCAGGAGTGGGGAGGGGAATCACGCAACCAGGCCGCGCTAATTATGCAGGAAGGGAATAAAATGTTTTGGCTTGATTATGTCGGGCTTTTCGCGCGTTGCCTGTAGATATCTTTCACTGTGCCCTTGACAGCAGCAGCCGATGATGTTTCCCATAATTGGTGCTCGTGCGGTTGGATCGAGGATCAACTGATGACCTGTGCGGCATGTGCCATATGCCTTACAGCTGGGAATGGGGGCACGCATTTTTTTGCGGCAGCGCATTGACCCCCTCGGCCCGGATAATGGCTCCGCATCTCCGCAATCAGTTGTGGATCCTGTCATTTCTGCCTGGGCCAATTGACTTGGCTTTGGTGGGACTCGGGCATCGACTTACAGATGTACTCATACGAGTATCGAACTCACGCATCACTGATACGCAAGCATGAATGGTCCGCGGGTGGATCTTTTCGCTGGTTTGGCATCAATCACGTTCTCCAGTTCATTTGACGTCCTTGATCGGGCTTGTCATATTCTTGTTCCTGGTTAAAATTCAGTGATTGTGGCAACAATCTATACTCCTCGCACAGAGCTTATACTGTACTTACCTCAATGTGGTGAATTGTCATCCCGAAGTGTGGCCCGAAATTGTCTCGCTCTTGGAAGATCCTCAAGGTTCGCGATTTTCCTCTCCGTAACAACCATAATTGATTGCAACGACGTTCCTGCGATGGCCGTGATCGCACGTGGTAAAGAATGTGGACGTTGATCGCCGGCCCGTTAACCCTAAACCCGCGAGCCGATGACTGACATCCCTCCAAACTGACGGCTCACTAAGCCAGATCTTCACTGCTGGGCAGCCTTGCGCCCGACTCCATCTGACGAAGTCGCGCGCGTCCAGTGTAACCGCTGAGGCGCCATGGCTCTTGTGAGAGATCGACGATGCAGAATCTAAGCCGCTGATGTTCAAGCTCCAGATTATGAAAAGCTCGGTATCCGATTTGGGTGGCCCCTCAGTCTCCGAGCTTTGATCTTGGGTCGAGGGTTATTTGGGGGGTGCGGTTCGGTAATCGAAGCGATTGATCGGCGGTGAGGCTCTAGACTTCCGCAGCCATAAGGGAACTGTGTAGGCAGGAACGAGATCATGAGCCGGGATTTCGTGAGGCGATGGTTGTGGGAAACTCGGAAAGGGATCTCTGGCGTCGGTACGGGGCAGCGGGACCAACTAGGAGAGATATACTTCAGCCCTCTCCTCAATAAATCGCACTTATGATAGTAGAAATCCAAGAACTGGGGTTATTAAGGAGTTGCGAGAAGGCTTGAGGATGTTGTTGCTCTGCCTGTCGTGAGGAAAGCTCGCAAATCTCGTGGAGTGTTAGTGTGCATTCAACGTGGCAATGTAGTACAGCACAGGGCAGTACCATACTTGCGCCGTAGGAAGAAGAAGGCTGTTGTTGTGTAGTTGGAAAATGTTTCCCTCCCTCATAGCGATCTGCTTTGATTCTGGATACAGCAAATAGTACTAGTCTTTTGAGACATACCGACCGAGAGTTTTGTTATCGACGAGCGAAGTCTGGGGTATGCGTCTGCAAGCCACAGCTGGGAGGTTCATGGAGCTCTTTCATAGCATTTGGATTTGGGCTGAGAAAGAAGGTTTTGATGGTACCCCCGTTGGCCCTAATTGTGCTGTGCTCCGGTTTTCAGAAACAGAAAGAAAGGAAAGGAAAGAGAAGGGAAAGCGCCATCTTCAAGGATTTTTCTCTCTAGCAAGCACCTGAAAGACCATTTCCAGAGCCATATTACACGTGCTCAGCTGTATGGGAAGAAAGAAAAACGTGGCCAGCAGTTGGGGGGGGGGGGGGGGGACAGGCGACCCCCTTTCCCTGGCCATGCTTTAGGTCTGGCCTTCATCGTGGAGGCTCTGAGTCTGGGAGGAAAGCGAGGCGACCAATGACTTGTCAAAAACTCCCTAGATATAGCTAGCAGTCTCTGCCAATAGCAAATTACTATTTTACCCCTGTGGCGTGGTTTACTTTTTACTCGGGGTCGTGGTAGCGGCGACAAAAGCGGCGAGTCAGGGGGGCACACCTGAGGCTTCAAAGAAAGCCAGCTGCTCTGTGTGCGCGCAGGCATTTATTATACCGAAATAGTAGCATAATATGTTTCCTAAGTCTCAAGAATGAAGATTCGGACAAAGAAATCGAAAGGTAGATGTTGAAACGACTGCAGGGGCATAAAATTCTTTTGGGTTTAAATACGAAACGGTGAATAACAAACTAGAGTCTCATGGCCGCATCAATAACACAGGCTCGTCTTTTCCGACAATGGGATATCCTGCAGATCCTCCTCAATCTTATTCATCCGATCTACCACGGCCGCCGCTGTCTCCTGGAAGTCGTCGGAGGCGAATTTCGCTAGCTCCGGTATGCGTTCTTTCCAGAAGATCCACCGCTCGCGGGGGATATCGGCCCTACCACGGTAGAGAGGCCCCGGCATTGTGCGACAGTCCTCATCCGAATCTAGAAAGCCTTCGTATCGCTGGCGATACAGCTCGTAGCCCGCATGAAAAATCCATTCGCGCACGTTAGCAAGATGGTGATCGACGAGACGGGGGTTCACATGGGGATACTCGAGCGCCGACCGCAGTTGCCAGATGCCGAACTGTTTCCACGGCCGCAGCTGATTTCCGAGAACCCTAGCCATAAAGGAATTCTGGTTGAGGTCGTACGCGATCCATTTATCATCTTTCGGCTCCGAGGCAAGGTCCTTGGGACACCGGTCATCCTGCGGAACATGGAGGCGTCCGCAGCACTTGGCCGTCGGATCGGGATCAATCTCAGGAAGCGCGCTCGGGAAGTTCTCTCGCATTACCACCCCCAACTCAGGGAAACTTGTCCATAGATATGCCCCGTACCAAGTGGCCACGAGCGGTGGAAGCCGACTCAAATTGCACATGAGCTGAATCAATCGATCCTGCCCTTTACTATCGTAGCGCATGGCACCGGCAGTCGAAGTTACCTCCACCCAGAACGGCTCTAGAGGTTCAGGCGTCTTCCGCTCCTGCTCGGGAGTCAAGAAGTATGGACGGATAATGTCGTCGATGCGCTGAGCCCCGGTGTCCGGCTCCTCTTTCCCGTCTACTACATCGGATACAACCCGGGTCGCTTGCTGCACGAGAGCATCGCCGGTGAAAAAGACGTTCCTTTCCATTTTCGGTTCTCAGTGTATGCGGATGTCACTTTCTGTGTCTGTATGTAGACGTGTGTAGATGTGTGTGTTTCTGTGTAGGAGATAGAGAGAACAGAATTCAGTGTGAGACATATGTAGCATTCGACAACTTTAAATAGTGCACGACTCTGATTAAACAGCACAGCACCAACCCCCCTCCTTTGTGCGAGATTTTCAACATGTCTTTGATGTTGCACTTCCATTATTAGAATTTTGACTGTCCTAGCCATATAGTTGCAAGGTGGTTGATACACTTTGTCTCAAACTGCATCCTCTGGTCTTTGTCTGTCTTGATCAGAAGAAAATAGAGCCGCTACTACCGCGGCCTGCTTACCTTTGATCTTTGATCTTTTTGTCTTCATTGATGAGGGACAGGCCTATGACCACAAAGGCACGAAAGTCTGCCCGGCCACAACATGGGGTCTCAGCGCGAAACCGCCCTCACAATCTGAGTGAGGCAGGATCCCATTATGTCTCATTCCTGTTTATCTATGCTCTTCGCCGCAGTTTCAGCGAGTAGCAGATGACATGGTGATCAAGTGCAGCAAAATGATCCATCGCATTATATCATGGGGAGCATAAATAGTTGTGCTTTAGAGCTACAATATGGAACACAAAATCCTAGCTAACAATACCTCTCTTTGCTTGACTTCAGCAGATATCATGGAACTCTTACCAATGAAATCGTATTACCGGTGGTTTGGGTTTTCAAAGACCCGAAAGTCGAAAGAGGACCACTCCTGCAGGCTCTTGGATGATACTTTGATCCACAGCAATAACTCCTGTGTATGTCTTCATACTTCGTCCTTGGGTGTACGCTGACATTCCAGGAATCTAGTGGTCTCTTAGCGAGCTTCCTCCTGCTAAGTTCGATTTAGGTCGTCATTACGTTTCTGTTGAACATGCGCTCATGGCTGCAGAGCATATAGATGATATGTCTGACGGAGAGCTGGGCGAAGAACAGGGTCACCCACGTCCAAAACCCCCTAAGGAGTATGAAGACAGGGAGAAGAAATTTCCCATGGGGAAGAAATATCACGAGGGCCCCCTTTATCCGGAGGGTACCATGTGGAAGAAAGGATTGCCCTCAGGCCCAGCTCGTATCATCGGGCCTGAAAAGGAACACGAACCTAGGTGTAGGAAACGACCTACGCACTGGAAATTGTCTACTTACTGGAAGCCATGTTGGCATAATCCACGAAAAGGACACAATGGATGGAACATGGACCCAGCAATCTATCGTTCTGGTAAGCTAAAAGTTCACTTACTCGCCCATTGATCTCATATTACCCTTGATCCTCCTATACCTCCTTGGTTTCGTCGACATAGCTAACAAGTTCCAACCCCAGCGACTGGTCTCCCTCAGAGGCCAATTTCCGCGCCGAATTGAGCCACAACAGTTTCCCTTGGAGATCAAGTCTCTGTTTTGATCATCTGTGTCTGCAATTCATCTGCGACGCTCATTCTTCGTCCTGTTGGTGTCTTCTTGCCACCTTCTACCGTATCTGATTGTCAAAATATCTCGTTTTGGCGCTTAGATCTTTCGGTTTTCCTCTCTCGGTACCATCTTGGTCTTCAGTTTCGTACCTCATTGTTTTATCAGGATCTTTGTTTCGATACTACCTTCCTTTGTACTCTTTCGGTGCCTCCTTATGTGTTTGTTCTGATAGATATACCAGCCATGTCTAAGCCTATCTTTGGATCATTGTCTATCTCTTTGTACCTACCGAAATCTATTGTCATCAATTGCATGGCTTTGTTGTCCGCCATCCCGGCGGAATTGCGGGTATCCTTTGACCAAGTCCTTAGGGCTGGCTTGCTTTCTACGTTCCGCATTCTGTTCTCGGCCCGGGTCTGGCCCAGCCCTACGCAATGAATCTAATCAGTCAACCATGGCAATGACCGCAGCTCCCGGTCATCCGACCACTGGGTATCTGCGGAACCGAGTAGGTCTGGGATTAGTATATGACCTCATGGGAAGTCTACTTGTAGCGTTTTGGGGACGCCTTGAATCGATCACTGGGTCAACTCAGTCGGCCCCACCAGATGTCGCTTGGCGGTCCCGACCACCTGGCAGACGGTAGCATTGGTCCGATCGGATAATCGCTTGAATCAGAAAGGTACTATCGATCTGATCGACATCAAGTATTATGTGCAATTCCAATTCTACTTACCTTTGTATCTGCCAAGAGAATGGGCAGAAACACCCTTCCAAAAGTAGAAACATGATTACGTGTTGACTGTCGGAAACGCCATCCCTGCCTTTCCTTTTTAAACGTAGGGATTGCTAGCTGTAGGTCACTAACTGGAGCTACTGGGCAAGCCAACCCATTCACTATGAGGTTTTATAGCAGCTATCTCGGTGTGTTAATACCAATTTGGACTCTGGTCCATGCTTCGATCGATCACGCAGGCAGGGTACAGTACATCCTGCACAGCACATTACCAACAGCAAGGCTAACACTCTACACTCTACTCGCGCCAGTCAGCAATTCTACAGCATCCATCCCCGATGTCATCGACCCCGAACTGGCATATTGATTGAAAGCACCGCAGATGCAGCCTCAATGTGACGCGCGATCCGATAACCGCCCCGCAACTGCCACGCCACGTCCCGCCTTCCCTCCCCTTGGAAGATCTCTTCCGCGCCTCCTACAACGAACTCGAATACCTCAAGCTCTACCTCGGCGACCTGCAAGACCCGAACACGCACCACCACCCCTTCACCAGCGCGCATATTGACGAAGTCGAAACCTTCCAGGCCTACATCACCCATCAATACACCCTCGTGTTCAAGCACGCCTTCCCGCACCGCGCCAACGAACCCTTCGGCCTCACCATCCACCAAGAATCCACCACCCGGGCCAACGTAACACTACTCCTCCGCCACCTCGACGCAGCGAACTGGGCCCTCGCGCGCTGGGCCCAGCAGAACATACTCCTCGACATAGCACAAGCCGACCTCCGCCGCCGGGGCGTGACGCGCGGGGAAGCACTCTGGACGCAGCGGTACGCGGCGATCAAGGCGCGTGTCGACGGGGTGCTGGCAGGGTCCCGCTACCGGGGCCAGCCGCTGGCGTACGTGGGCAGCCTCAACCACGGCATCCGGGGCGCCCACAAGGGCAAGACGGCGATTAACCTCCACGACTTCGACGTGGATTTGTTTGTCGTGCACCCCGCCGAGTGGCGCCGCCTTCTGCCCGCCATCCGCACCGGGTATCCCGACCACCTCAGCAACGAGAAGATCTTCCCGCTGGAGACGCATCTGCGCGAGCTACAGGAGTTGGGTGAGGCGGTGGGTCTGGCGTTGGCGGCGGAGTTACGGGGTAAGGTCAAGGGGGCGGGGCGGTTTAAGGGAGGGACGGAGATTGTGCTGCGCGAGTTTGATCGGTATTTATATCACATAGGCAAGTTCTTATTCATACTGCCATTATATGCAGATGATATACTTCACCTGCTTCGCATCTGATACGGCGAATGGATATGCGTAGTCGGGGTATGTGTGTAGACGAGGTTACGTTGAGCGTAAAAGAGATGACGGGGACTCTTTCGGGGCTCCGAGTCAAGCGATGCCCCTAACTTGGCAAGGTGAACCTCGGCTCGCCTCCTTTCTCACAATGATGCCCGAACTATGGAACAATAAAATAAGTTAGAAGTACCGTATACTTGGACGAGATATACGAGATTTGAAAGAGATGGGTATGTTGATCATCACTGATCCCGTATCAGTAGCATGATGGAACATCGAGTCCATACAAAGACCGTACTTTCAGCAAAGTGGAATAAAGGAAATCATGGGGCATTCATTTACCATAGCGAACATTCTCTCCAGTTAATCCTTGGGCTTACAATTCATTGTATTATTTCTTTGTTGCATAGCGACATCCTCATCACCTCCTTACCTGTTACCCCCCGTGCAAAGAACATATAAAGGCATTGTGCCATTTCTGTGCACTTATTTTCGATCTATCTCTCCAGAGACGACTGCACAGCTGAATGTCTAATTTGTCCGGTTTCAGTAAATATGTCGTCTTACCCTCATCCTTTTTTCAACCTCCTAAGCTGTGCCTTGGCTCCGCAAGAGCCAGTTTATTACCAGCAGGCGTCGGTGGGTCAGGCCGATGCCAAAGAGGAAGAGCCAGTGCTGCAGGAGCCGACAGGTCAAGACTCCGACCTGCGTGAGTACCTGCCTGGTGCTCGTGAGTACATCATCCAGCTCCCCTCACACATAGCCTTCTATGAGAACCAGCAACAGGATCAGAAAGAGCCGGAAGCTGCTCACCCCGCTGTTCCATCCCAGGAACAGTCGTTGGAGGAGCTCGCATACTCCGGGTTGCAGTATCTGGAGCAGACGTGGTCGGGAGCAGGCACACACCAGGACATGATCCCACCCCAGGATCAGCAATGGGCGATGGCTGCAGGGCGCACCCCTTTGGGTCGATTCCTGCGCTCCGGTCGATACCACTACGTGCGCGACAGCATGGATAGATATATCTGCACTTTTCAGGGGGCCGATAGGCAACCCTGTCAAGCTGTTTACAACAGTCTGAATGGGATTCATAAGCATCATCATCGGGCCCACGAGCCGAAGAAGCTCTACCAGTGTCGGATCTGCGTGCAGAATCTGTTCTTCTCTACCCGCGGACAGTATATCCGGCATATGCAGCGCGTTCATCCGGAGTAGATGGCCGGGTCTTGCCTGGAGGGGTGATTAACAGTAGGAGTTCACAGGTTTAAGGAAAGAATAAATTTAAGTTATTTTACTCCAAGAAGTTGTATATTGTAATTCCATTAACAAGAGCATATTCCGCTGCACACCAGATGCAGCGGCCGTCAGAATAAGGTTCAGCCCTAATGCTCTCCCGTCGTTCTATGGTTGAGACACTCGAACTTAATCGATGGCAATCTCTACAGCCTATCACCTCCGGACCACTAATCTCGCGCGAGCGAGTCCGGGCCTCACGACGCACCGCCCACAAGACTATATGGGAGCCTGAGAGCTATATTTCTAATCCCATCTTTGCTCTTCACGGCAGCTTAGGAATTTGTAAATCTGTAGTTTGGCCAATCAGCAACCACGTCTTGGTGGCGCAATTGGTTAGCGCGTACGACTGTTAATCGTGAGGTTGAGAGTTCGATCCTCTCCTAGGACGTCGTTTTTTGCCCTTGCTCTTTTCCTGCTTTGTCTCTCATACGCCTCATATTCCCTCCAGCCACTGGCTATCACAACAAATCGTCTGGGTGGCGCAATTGGTTAGCGCGTACGACTGTTAATCGTGAGGTTGAGAGTTCGATCCTCTCCCTGGACGCACCTCTTTTTTGCTTGCTCTGGTGGGCCACTGGCTTTGCATTTACCTGCATGCTATGCTACTTATCTATTTCCCTACAGTGATGCCTAGCAGAATAGGGATGGGGCTGAGTCCGGCTTGATGCTCGGCTGCTTGCCCGGGTCGACCTTGACCACTACCAGTACTGTTCCTGTGGTTTCCCAAGATCAAGTCTGTCAATCAGACATTGCCTATTTTGAGTTACCACTGAGGTGTCTGATTGAAGCTTATATCTAGTCTCTCACCTTTGAACTTTCAGCGGGACCCTTGACGTTGTTTTGTCGCAAGGTTTTGGTGAGAGTCGGGTACAGAAGACCCTCAATTAGGGTTTCGGAAAGTCACCACTTGAGGGAACACCTCAGAAACTCATCGATGATTTCATATCTGGATACTAGAAGTAGGATTTTACTTTCCATAACACAGCCACATTGTGTCTACTTCCCTGGGTGTTGTACCCTGGGCCGGGTCTGTGCTGACACATCAGAAGGGTGCGAATGCATTCCACATTATATATAGTCTTATCTATGGTACAGAAGCACAATGCATCCAGCACTACGAACCCATCCCACTCATAGAAAGTAATCCGGCGTCCGTCATTGCATTGTCAGTTCTCCAGTGCGCGGAGAAGGGTCGAACTGTATACTATCTTGAAAATCAGCATAGTCTCCGATAATATAAAGGACATTTAGCATGCCATTGGTAGTTCGGAGAATAGTCGATCTCCATAATTGCCGCCTGGTTGCCACAGCGGTAGCAGTAGTTCGGGGCTACCGCAGAAGTCATTAGCCCAACCCGCCCGTCATGTCGCTCCAATGAGACTATACCAGAGAAGATGGTAACCACTTTCCTCCCATGCGACCACAAATATCCATCCATCACCATCTGATGCGCCTTGGCCACCAGCGCAAGCACATTCCGATGATTGAAACCCTGCAAGATATCCTGTCCAAAAGTGTACCTGCCCCCGGGGGGAGACGCCCCACCCACATCTCTCATCAGGATCACTCCAAAGCAGGTCACACATAGGACCCTCGTGCGGTGGCTCCTGGAAGCAATTCAGCACACGGATGTTATTCAGCATATCGACCGACGGACTCAAGCCCCCATGAAGGCAGAATATGTGATTGTCGATCAGAGCCGTCAGGGGCAGATGGTCGAACAGATCTGTGAAGAGGTTCCAGACCCGCGCGTTGCCGTACTTACGCAGACACTCGTCAAAGAACCCGTAGACTTGGGTGATCTGGCGCGAATCGTGGTTTCTGCGGAGGATCATGATGCGTTTGAGGTAGCGGACTTTGAGGGCGACGAGGGAAACGGACTCGATGAAGTTGTAGCCGCGGTCGACGTAGCCGCGGTCGACGTAGTCGCCTGGTCAAGGTTTGTGGGGCTAGTCAGGTATACACAGCTATTATTTTTCTCCTGTGTGTTGCAGTATGGTATCTCACCCATGAAGAGGTAGTTCGTGTCTGGGCATGGTCCGCTTCTTCGGAACAGTTCGATCAGATCGTGGTATTGGCCGTGGATGTCGCCGCAGACAGTCATTGGACATGTCTGCAAGGTAGGTCAGTAGCAATCACAAACACACCTATCTTGACCATCGTGGATAGTTGGAACGACTGACGACCGGTTGCACGTTGGCTTCATCCTGTACTGCTTCCTTTGCCTGGAATGGGGCGGTGTCAACGAAATCCAAAGGACTCTAAGGTTCACTATAATTGGAAATGGTAGGACTGTACTAGAGTATACGGATGCTCTACATGATCTTCCGATAATGTCCTGCATTTCATCAAATTTCCAATCCATCCATCAAGAGTCCCGATGGAATGATAGTTGACTTCATCTGTTTTGGGCGGTTTAGTGGACTCGTTTTTATCATTGAGTATCCTGTTTCCTCTGTTATGAAGAAGAAAAGTCACAAGCTCAGGGGTATATATAAAGGCATGTTCATGTTACGAGCTATCGGTGACGTTGATGCTGGCGGCATGCAGTAAGGGACTGCTCCACTTCTATGAGCTGACAGGAGCTGAACTCCGATACCTCAGATCCCATTATTCGAACTAAATTAAATTGCCCTTATTGGGTGTAAAGCCAGTACTAACTTGAGCAGAAATTTAAATCCAGCTTTGATTTGAAAGCTGGTTACCACGGCGTCGAGATTGTGAATCATGATGCCAAAAATAGAATAAAAACAGGACACGAAAGAGAACACCTAGAGAAAGATATCCCCTTTCCCATTCACTTTATACCCTATGTTCGACCTATTCCTAAAAACTTCTCGCCTCACTTGGCTCTTTTCCCAATGCTTGCTGGTCACTAGTCAACCTCTCTTCATACTTGGGACGTACTCTACTATATTGCTTATCAGGACAGTGTAGACGTAGACTCTCTAATCGAACGCCTACTTGAGGTTCGAGGCTCGCGACCCGGAAAACTTGTCTATCCAAGAGTCGGAGATCGCATATCTCCACCGTACCGCGCGCGAGATTTGCATCTCGCAGCCCATCGTCCTCGAGCTCGAAGCCCCCATCAAGGTAAAATACAACCCTGTCGCACCGACCTCTTCCCCCTATCCTCTCACACTAACAGCACAAACAGATATGCGGCGACATCCACGGCCAGTACTACGATCTCCTCTGCCTCTTCGAATACGGCGGTTATCCACCGGAAGTGAACTACCTCTTCCTGGGCGACTACGTCGACCGCGGCAAGCAGTCGATTGAATACATCTGCCTGCTTTTGGCCTACAAGCTCAAATACCCTGAGAGCTTCTTGATCCTGCGCGGGAACCACGAGTGCGTCTCCATCAACCGCATCTACGGCTTCTACGACGAGTGCAAGCGCCGCTACAGCGTCAAGGTCTGGAAGACGTTCATCGATTGCTTCAACTGCCTGCCCATTGCGGCGATCGTCCACGACAAGATCTTCGGCACGCATGGCGGCCTCAGTTCCGATCTGAATTCGATGGAGCAGATTCGTCGCATCATGCGTCCGACGGATGTACACAACTCTGTCTTTTTCCTGACTTGGGTTCTGTAGACTGGTTTGGATCTTAGATTCCCGACTGCGGCCTCCTATGCGATCTCCTCTGGGCCGACCCAGACAAGGATATCACAGGATGGAGCGAGAATGATCGCGGGGTGTCGTTTACGTTCGGGCCCGATTTCGTCACTCGTTTCACCCAAAAGAACGATATCGATCTGATTTGCCGCGCGCATCAGTGTGTGGAAGATGGGTATGAGTTCTTCGCCAAGCGGAAGTTGGTGATGCTGTTCAGTGCGCCCAATTATTGTGGGAGTTTGATAATCCGGGCGCGATAATGAGTGTCGATGAAAGCTTGCTGTGCTCGTTCCAGGTAGGTTTCCTTGTCTCAATATTTCATATTGAATCCTGAAGTAAGAAAGCTGATCGGTCTGCTGTCTGGGTAGATCATGAAGCCGGCTGAAAACGAAAGCCGCTCTTCAGGAAGCAGTCGGCTAGTCATACCAAGCCATAGGTGAATGATCTCAGACGTGCTTTTTGCTGCATGACGAGTGCTTTCTGTATAGCTTCTCGAAGTTTTCCTATTTTGAAGAAGGCAAATTGAGGGCGTAAATTCGCATAGTGGGAGGAATAGGGATCTCTGAAACCGTGCTCTGTCCACTATTCTATCCACCATCATAAGGCACACGTTCTCCCATTTTCTTCGCTCCGAGCTTTTTTGGGAGCAAGCTACTATTCAAGCTCACTAATCCAGTCTCCGACATACGTAGCCAATATACTTCTCCATTGCCTAGTCCCGTCTACGCATTCTGCTACAAGAAGCTGTCCATTACCCAGAATCACACTTTCGCTGATTCTCTGCAGCCATTTCGGCCATTAGAAAATGTTACCTCAGTCGAGTATCATGGGTTTTCTGATCATAGTCATGATTTGTAATATCTAGCAAGGAGAACTCAAGTGCATAAATGGTCGCTGATCCGCAGGTATAATTGTTGGCTTTCCTGGCTTCCTTTCACGACTCTGAAACTAACCATCAATGTCCAACTAGACTCCAGCGTCTCACCCATGAGCAACCGAGATTTGCATTTTACTTCCGGGGGGAGGGGGGTGCGGAAGTGATTCCGATGTCCGATTTTTTACCACGCAACCGTCGGAATATACCTCTCGGGAATTGATCATCAACTAGTTCAACATTTTTAGAGATCTTAGTGTTTAGCGTTACTGATTGGGTCAGTTAGAGCTTCGCCGTCCATCCCCAGTATACTCAAGACATTCATTTGCGCAACGAAGTGGTGAAATAGCATGTTATTGTTGGGATACCACTTTCTAATGAACGCTACATTCCAAACCGTTCTCTCATACACATAGTCGCTAGTTTGCCCTTCAAATCATTGTACTTTATACTGCGCTGTAGCTTCTGGATCTCCGGCCAGAGGCTCCCAAGTATCCATCGAGTGAGCATTTGCTGCCTGTCAAATTGCGTCAACATTTGAAACATACACACCCCAATCAGTAGCTGTGCTTCGGAGTGACTGATGCATCAGTTGTGGCAGTGTATCTACAAGCCTCTTACAGTGAGTCTTCTTCTCCGCTGGTTGAAGATTGCCTATTTCTGAAGGTATGAAGGTAATTTACTGGCTATCTGGTACGACGGTCTCGTTCTTGGACTTTGCAATATTACCAATGCATAACTATTTTCAACTTTCGGTAGGCCTGAAATAGCCATGATTCGTTATGATTTGATTAACACTCGGGTCATGGTGCATGTCATAAACCCTAGCATTACATTCCCGACAGATCTCTTAGGTAACGGAGAAGCATGGAATGGGTACTGGGATTACATGGAAGTTGACTGCCATATATAATAGATCCGACTGGAGGAGAAACGCAAACTGGATTGGGATTCAGGTTCTATGTCGTCAACCTGCCTTTGCGGCATGTCTAAGGTACATTGAGGAGACTCAAACACGGAATCAAACATTCCAGCCGAAATAAGCAAGGTAAAAGAAAGATTTATAATAGGAAGAGAGGTGAATTCTGATGATTTTGAAAAATCGTTACTCGGGCGGAAGGCGAGGAGATGGATGCAGGGGGGAAAAAAAATCAAAAAGAAATGCCGTCCAGGGAGAGGATCGAACTCTCAACCTCACGATTAACAGTCGTACGCGCTAACCAATTGCGCCACCCAGACGTGCTTCTTGTAGCTATATCACTCATTACACTTCAAGTAGTTGTGTTATGATAAGCACCACTTTTAAGACAGCTCCCATGGTACAGCAAACCTACCCCATATCAGATCGCCGGGACAGATCGAACCACACTTTTCATTGACTTATAAATCATATAATTCATCTTTTGCAACCGGAACAGAACGCCAATCATTCCATCATATCAAATTTTATCGTGAAGGTTATGTTATAACGGGGTAACCTACGACTGGCGAAAATGAGTTCGTCTCCGGTCAACCCGGGAATGCTTCCACCTTGTAGAGTTCGATGTAGCCGAGTAGCACCCTGACGAGGCATGCCCAAGTGGTTTTAATATGCAGATTTACATTGCCTTCAACCATGTGGTCCTTGTAGGTGTTGAGATCTCGCTCATCGTTCAGGAAGATTTGTGTATTACTGGCGCCACCGCGGGCTCTGCGACTTGAGTGGACTGTACCTACAGTGGGGAAAGTCTTCTGGCACTCTTGTCTGCATATACAGGAGGGCAACTGTCTCGATCTATAGAGTACGAGCATGTGCATTTGAAGAATGGCTGTCTTTCTCTGTACAGTCATATCTACCTCGACAATAGGCTGCCTGTGTTGTTTGCATCGCGCAATTTAGAACAGATAGATATATGAGACATGGCAATGTCAGATCAGCAAAAGCGAGCTCAGCCCGGTGTGGCATTTCAAAAAGTTGGTCTCGAATGCATATCTGCATTTATCAACACCACAAATATCACAATGTGCAGGATATCCATGTGACCGTCGTTCTTCGGCCTTATGCTCGCAGGCGGCGGCTCCACTTGCAACTCCACATGCCGCCGGTCTTCCAGCCACTGTTCCTGATCCACAACTCCCATGAGAAGACATTGGAAATGTGCCAAAAACAGATGACGTCCTAGGAGAGGATCGAACTCTCAACCTCACGATTAACAGTCGTACGCGCTAACCAATTGCGCCACCAAGACGTACTTGTTGTGCTGCCGGCAAAAGTTTTGAAGTTATTTAGCATTACATAAAGAACGGAGATTGGATCGGTGACTTCCTTGTTTTGAAATGCGAGTTCAGCTCCGAATTGACAGGCTACAATAGATCTAGGGGTAATTCTTGCGTCGCTAGTGTAAGTCTTGGAGACTTGTGATATCGTGGGTCGGCATAGCGCGCTTTATCTCAATGTGTGATCTGGCTAATTCCATGTGTGGTCGGGAACATATACATGTGTGTGCCTCTCCTATCCATTTAGTATCCAACTGTGCCATTTTGATGGTGACAACCAATGGTGGAGAACGAGAAGATGAAGAATCAGACCATGCACAAGTGCCACACAAAGTTCTCCCTGGATGGCTTGACTTACCAGCGACTATGGAACCCGAGTATACAAGATGTATAACTATGTCGCCTCCAAGACCATCCTAAAGTTAGCGAAAGACTTGCATCGATCCATCAAACACCCAAAGTAATACATGCCTGCATACAGAGTCTCAAGAGCCGCACGAAGCGGTGCTAAAATGTTCATTTTGGGTGGACTGTGGGGCACTCTTTCAACATCGTTCACGTAACCCGCCGGGCCCTTACTTGCAACCACGCCATAAGCCATGTGTTGAGACCGACGCTCAGCATTTCTTGCCGAAGCCAAAGCACGTCCTATCGAAGACAACAAATAACCGACGGGGCTTTCAGTATTCAGAGTATTTTACTTATGGCCATGCGTTATCGAAGCCACCGAGGGGACCGTGCGCTGCCTTTACTCTCGAGGATTGATGGGCGCTCGGAGTTCCCTCCGTCTCTGGCCTATGCATAAGCCTTGCGCCCTACAATGCTCAACTTCATGTTGTGTTTTCATGAATTAAACCTAGGTCTTTCGATAAATTCCCATACGGTAGGGTCATTCCTGAAAACCCGAAGAGCGAGCCCTAAGGGGAGGACAGAAGAGGTCAAGCTTTGTATCTGGCATCAATGACAGGCCCGAGTCCCACAGCACAGTAAGCGAATCTGAATCCTGCCAGACCAAAATAGAATCCAGCGCGCTTATCAAAGTCGACCAAGCCGGCAATATGTTTATGGCTTGAATCTGACAGGCTGGGACAATGACCAACGCTAGACTAGTACCTTAGTCCTTGGCAAATTGGCACAGCCGGCGCTTAATCGATGGACGATCAACTCAACCCCCTCTTCTTCCCACACAGCTGCGCCATTGGGAGAACATTATCTTTCCAGAAAGTTATATAGACAGTTTCCATCATGTAACTTTCTATAGCTGCCCATTTTCTGCTATACATTGACAGTGGGGTTGCTCGAGCGACAGCAATAAGCAATCGCCGCCGCAGCAAACACAACCCCGCGTACTCCTACATAGATAAGCTACCAGGGCGGCCAGTCTCAATATAAATCTCAGCCTCGATCTGAATTCCAGGCCAGATTGAAATCCATGCAGCCATGCGCCTCCACACGCGCGGTGACACCAGGTTCCATCCCACACGAAAGGCCCCGAAGCCTCCCAGTACTACGACGGACGTGGAGTCCCAGAAAAAACAGCTCGAGACCAAGAAAAGAAGCCTGTGCCAAAAGACCGATACCACCGGCGTCCTGACAATATTCCTCGGTCCGCCAGTGCTCCTACTTGCAGTCACATTTCTGATCCTCTTCTGGTGGGAGTCAATGAAGGCAATCAACGGAGGAGACCCCGAGATCTATTGGTTTCGCATTGTGAATGCAGACTGGGCGACTCGACTGATTACGATATGCACCACTGCCATTCGGACCGTAGTCTCTTTTCAAGCAGGTCTTGCCACCGCAATGGTTGCGGGCGTTGTTCTGGAGACAAAAGGAATCCCCCTCCTCCAGGGACCACTATACTCCATCCTACGCGCGGTCAAGGCGGCTCCCAGTAGCCTATTCACGGCGACCGACTTTCGGCCTCATCTCCCACCGTTCATCTCTACTCTCGTGGTCGCCGAGGTACTGGTGACCGCCGCGTCCCAGTTCCTCTCGACTATATACCTGTCGGATTTTACCAGCAGCACGTTCACCCAGAGCAACAATTCGACAAATGTCAGCCTCCTCGATACCGAGTTTAGTACGGCCAGCGGCTGGTGGACGATGCGCCCCGCGGCAAGTTGGACATTCGCCGAGCTGTCGGAACCGTTCAAAGAAGGATCCAATTTCCATGACACCGGACACACCTACCGGGCCCTCCTCCCCTTCGAGGAGGAGGAGCAACGAACAAAATTGCGCAGATACCAGGGCCCTGCTCCCGTCATGGATCAGCGGGTGATCTGCGCACCTCCACCTTTGGTGAGCATGCGCCTCGACGCGACCGACCAGGACGAGATACACATCTCTGGACAAATCCCCATGCAGAACCTGTCGTACCCACTATCGGTAGGTCAGGACTCCTACGGGCCTGCGAACTTCACCTGCAAACTGCCCACCCCGCTCTCCTGGACCATTAACACGGTGGGACAGAGCAGCATGTGCATCGCCACCCAGCAACGCAACTGGACAGTCTTCTCCACGGAGGATCCTCTCGTCCAGCCACATGGGTACGCTACCGCGTCCGTGATGTACTTGGTCCTGGATATCGTGTCGATGGCTTCGGTCGTCCGCGCCGGTTCGCAGAATGTCGCCGCGCGGGTCGCAGGCAACGACGGGCCCTGGGCGATTGTGACTCATGGGAACGACACGAAGACGCTGCGGGCCTCCGCCTGCCTGATCAACGTGGCTGTTAAGACCATCGTCGTGGGACTCAACAGCTCCTCGGACAACCCCGAGCCGACGATCAGCTGGGACCGGGCTACCAACAGCTACAACACAGAAGCCGCACGACGCCAGCTGGGCGCATCGCGCACCCGCGAGAGCTTGGCCAGCCGGGGGGTGCTCAGCCTCGAGCCCCGGTCCCAATGGGGCACCGTTCTGCCGCTCAACGACTCCTCTTCGGGGGACACAGACCTACCGGCGTTCTTTCTGGCTGTGGACGTCAGTCTCCCAACCCTGCTGATGTCTACCGACAATTACACCTACAGCCCGGGCGTGCTGCTGGCCGACGACGGCACGGGGTTTTACAGCGGGAGCGCCGAGAACACTCATGTCGAGATGTTCCAGGACACGCTCAACACGACCGCGAGCCCCGCGTTAGCCGTGCAGGTCGTGCTGGCCCGGATCTTCCAGATGGCCTACTACGAGCAGCTGGTCAAGATGGCCGGCACCGCCACCGCATCGACTGGCTTCTCCGTCTCCTCCTCCATCCCCTCGCAGTGGACCGGCTTCATCATCGGCACCACGCTCATTGCGACCCACGTCATCATCGTCACCATCATCACCGTGCAGTTCGCGCGACATACTAACAGCACGATCATCGGGAACTACTGGCAAACGGTGTCCCAGGTGGTCTCCGACGAAACGCGCCCGATCCTGGAACAAGCGGATACGATGGACGATGCGGAGGTCAAGCGCTGGGCGAAGCACAACCTCCAGAACCTCAAGGCTCACCGCGCTGTGCGAAGTGGGCATGATGGGCGGACTGCCCTGGGCGTGGTGGAGTCAATACGCAAACATTGACCTGTGTATATATCTGGAAGTGAATTGCAACGTATAGAACTTGACTTTTTGTTATTTGTATGACCCTAGATTCCATCACGTCCGTGACTAAACCAACCTGATGCTCAATGTAAAGAGTATTATAAGAATTAAATATACATAAGCCGTCAGCATAAACCCTAAGCGATTGACCAGAAGTTAACACTGAGAACCTTAGAAAGCTATATATCATATTTGCCCACAAGATGAACATCGGTGAGTTTTTAGCTATATTAATTAAGCATAAAGGCACGACTAGCAGAAGTCGTCTGGGTGGCGCAATTGGTTAGCGCGTACGACTGTTAATCGTGAGGTTGAGAGTTCGATCCTCTCCCTGGACGCTCTATCTTTTGCTCTTCGACGAGTTTTCTTTTTTTTTTTTTTCTTTCTTTTTGTTTTTCTGGTTTCGTCTTTCCCCGCCTCCTTGGGGCATGAGACCCACATGGCTTTATAACGGGAAGGATTGCCGGGCGGCTAGGCCTCCCACTGCGCGCTTGAACTTGATGTCGGCTGAAGTACACAAGATATACCTTCGTACGTAGTCGCAATCTCATGGCCGTGCGAGCTATATAGACTTCTCCTCGTAACGTCCCTCAAAGCAATTCCCTAAAGTATGCTCAATAGATCTTTCTATCTTTCACTTTCTGCATCCCCATCGTCCGAGACCTGCATCGTCAGATATCTATACATCCAAAGAACATACCCTCCTCCGACCCTCCCAGGGCTACCCTGAGCGTACGATACAGCAACTACATAATTAGCCCGCAAGGGCGACCCATGAGCCTGACCAGCACATATATCCCATCCGTCGGACTGTACTCCTCCCAGGCCTTTCACACATAGCAGTCTACCACCGAAATGGATAACCTCCTATATCCCCCGACGTAGACGTAAGCCCAACCTTCCACCTCATCTCCCAAAGCCGCCCCCCCCAACTAACGCACCAGGCAGCCCACCAGCCACGCCACCGACCTTCCCTTCCCACTAGACAACATCCCCCTCACCACAATCCCCAACACCACCCTCGCCGCCCAGCTCTACAAAGCCCCCGCCCTCCACGGCTTCGGCCAAACAACCGTCGTCCGACTGTCGCAAAGCCTCATCCTCAAAGGCGGCGGCAACATCCTGCCCCCCGAAGCCGCCGCCCTCCGCCTGCTCGCCTCCGCCGAACCCTACAAAACCATCCGCGCGCCCCGCGTCCACCGCGCATTCCAAGTCCCCGACGACACCAAGTACTTCGGCACGACGGGCTACCTCGTCATAGACTATATCCCCGGCCGGCCGCTGGATACCTGCTGGGAAGGTCTGCCCGCCGACCAGAAGATCGATATCGCGGGGCAGGGCGCCGAGATGATCACCGCGATACAGCGCGTTCATCTCCCCGGGCCGCCGGGCCCCATTGGCAATGGCAATGGTGCCGACGAGGGGAAATGGCCGTGCCGCGGCCGCTTCTTTACGCACTACAGCGCCGGCCCGTTTGGGAGGGTCGCGGAATTCGAGGGGTGGTTTAATCATAAGCTGGACATCTGCCAGCAGGTCCGCAAGGCAGCTCCGGATGTCCCTGCGTTCCGCTTTCGGGATTTTCAGGCGTTGGTGCTTGAAAGGCTACACCGGGATCCTGTGGTGGAGAGACAGTTGGGGGCAATTGAGTATGGGCTGTTGACGGCGGCGTTGGCTTGAGGGGTTTGATCCCTTACGGCATAGGCATATCTACGGAATATCTTTCGATACCAGGTGAGCCTCAACTGTCATGCTCTGGACCATCTGGCGCCTACTTTACAAATTCAAAATACGGACACATGTATAGGAGCCGCAGTACTGGTAGACGGGGCTGCAGAGCATCGACCATGCCCATACAGCCCGCCACAACAAACCGAGATACACCGATTTATACATAAATCCTATTCCTACCCCTGGCCAGACCATGGCCACAAAAGAAACGTACATCGAATGAGAGAGGGAGGGAATATGCGACAACGCCGCAAAGATGGAGAGGAGGACACGGATATCACAAGAAATAAGTCTAGTGGGATTATAGTGGGGGGAGATAAAACGTTTAGAACAGGTTCCAGCCACGACTTCTCGGTTCCCGAGCACCCACCGGACGGTCCGTGTTGCCGCGCTTGCCGCGGCCGTCGAGCTGCCGGATACTCTCGATTTTTTGAAGGGCCAACTCTAGGAGCTCCTTCCGGCGGATGACGTCGAGGTGGCTGCGGATGCGCGGGTCCTCGCGGGCGAAGCGCTCGACCTCGGCGTCGGAGAGGTGGCGGCCGAGGCGCATGTCGAGCTCGCGCGGGAAGTTGTAGTAGAATTCGGAGAGGAGTTCGACGTTGAGGAAGAGCACGGCGGTCGACGTGAGCTTGTCGGCGACGACGTCCAGGAAGACCTCCGGGCAGTAATATTTGTTCTTCTGCGAGGCACATTGCTTGGAGCGGACAGCCAGGAGTCGCATTTTAATGATGTCGGCGCGGTCGCGGAGGAATACACTTTCGCGGCCTGAAACATTCGTTAGTCTGATAGACACATAATGTAAGGGAAGAAGGGGAGCATACCTCTGGCTAACAGATCGGCGCTAAAGCCGCCAGCACCGCCAGCGCCGTCGCCCTCCAACACCACCTCACCCTTTCTAACCTTGTCGACAAACGACATGACATCCTTGAGCTTCCGTCTTCCAACGGAATCTTCCACGTGCTTGAATGCGGACTCGCACGCCTTGAGCTCGTCCTTGAGAACCTTGCTGACGTTCTCCCGGCCCTTGGCCCATTCAGGGTCCTCGACCTCGATCTCATATTTGTAAGGTTTGATGCAGTTCTCGACCTGATCGCTCGTGCTGAAGAAGCGATCATTCAGAATGCTGTTGCAGGCATCTATAATCTGCTTCTGGGCGTACGGGTGGCTCGCAAAAGTCGAGTCGGTCAACAACCGGTCAACATGGTTCTGGATCGCGTTGGCAACAACCGTCGTGGCAAGTCTACCAATTCCCAGCTTGGTCAAGGAGGAAGTCGAAGCGTCAAGCTTGCGATGCCAGTAGAGAGACTCGGGATCCGCCTTGGGCAAATCGCTGAGAGGATCCAACTCCGGCATGGGCGCCGTGAGATCTTCGATCGGTTTATTCCAGTATCTCTGCGCCAGAATATCCATCACCCGCTGGTCAAGTTCGCGCTTCAGCATCTCGCGGACCTGGGGGCGACCAAAGCTTTCCGCAAACCCCTTGAAGGAGTGCTTGAAGCTGTCCAGGCTCTCGGCCAGATAGGATTCCGCGCTGAGAGGACGATCGTTGTATTGAACCTTGAACTCGTAAGTGGCCTCCTCCAGCTCTTGGCTGATAGCATCCCTAGTACCTGCTAGGCTCGATGCCATGGTCTGCTCAAGGACATGCATAAGCTTGTTGCGCAATGTGTTGACCCCGACCGACACGTCCGACTGCGGTCCGAATTCGGATTGGTGCTGAGAGAAGTAGGCGTGCTCGTTCTTCAGAATGGCGCCCGTGATGTTGCCGCTGCCCCTAGAGAAGAGAGCTGTCGTCTGAGGAATCCGGCTGACCACGCCAACATAGCCCAGGCGGAGAGGGTATTTCGTGTCGGATAGAATGCTGTGACCCCTGTCAGGATCCACCAGGTCCATCTTCGTAATGACACCGATTGTCCGCTCGCCCCTGGGATCCACGCGACGGCTGGCTCGGAGAGCAGTGGAGTTGGCGAGATCGACATCCGCCGCCGAGATGGCCAAAATAACGTTCGGTGGTTGAATGTATTTATCACAGAGATCCGAGATCTTTTGTTTCAGCTGAGGTGGTTGGTCCCGCCCAGCGACCTGGATATAACCAGGCAGATCAATGAGCGAGAGATCGGGCACATGGGGCGAGTAGATGGTGAGCTGAATGGGGTCATCCGAGACACAGTCCCTCTCCGGCACCGCCAGATTCAAGTCCGTCAAGGTGCGCTGGATCTGCGAGAAGTCGGTGATCTTGCCGAGTCCCAGCGCGGGGAACTCGCCATACTCCGCCTGCGCGTTCGGGGTGTTGACGAGGGTGAGCTCAATCGGCCGGCGGGTGACCATATTCGATCCCTTGGGAAGGAACTCATGCCCGACAATCGCCTCCAGGACCGAGCTCTTCCCGGACGACTGCGAACCAATGACGACGATCGAGGGCAGCGTGAGGGTGTTCGACTGGCCGACGCTCTGCAGGATGTTCCGGATCTCGATCATCTTCCGCGTGAGCAGCATCATCTGGTCGTCCTCCGCAATCTGGCGGCCCGCGCGGAGATCCTCTTCGTCCGACTGATCGTACCCCAGGGCTCCGGCGGTGGTCGCTCCAGCGGCGGCCGCGCCGACCCGGCTCTCCTTCGGACCTTTACCATCACCACCACCCCCCGAACCCCCGTTATCCGACTGCGCATCCTCATTCAACCGCAGGATCTTCTGCAACCATTCGGGAAGGTCAACATCCTCCGTCGTCTTCTGCCACCCGCGCTGGGTCTGTTCCGCCATGTTCTGGATCTCCTGGAATAAGCTCGAGGCCGCACCGCCCGCCGTTTCGCCCGCCCGTTTGAAGATATCGATAGCATAGCTTCCCGCCTCTAAAGTAAATCCACAGCACGTCAGACACAGCCATCAAAGTAATCGGGAAAAGTGTAAAGAACTCACGCGCAGCTTGATACTGAATGTAAGCGGCACCCGCCAGCACGGCCCCGCCAAACATGGCCGGCAACCGCACAAGCTTCAGGGCCAGCTTGGGGAGGATGCGGTGGAAGGAGATGGCCCGCACAGCAGGCACATTGTGGATGGCGTTGGCACCGACAGGCCAGGGCCGTCGCCGTAAGGCCGCGCTACCATCGGAGCGCAGGAGGCCGCCGGTGCGGGCAGCAGCGTTGTGAACATGGCGGGCCAGATGACCCGTCCGCAGCAGCGGAACCAGACGGTGGGAGAGGATCCTCCCGCTCATGATGGCCGAAATATCATATACGCTTCGGGATTTGTCGTCGGACGTGAATTTAGGAAAGGTGGTTCATATCCCGGGGGCGTGGTAGCAACGGGATTGATTGTCGAAGTATCTTTCGTGGGATAATAGCGAAGTGTTAAGCAGGAAATAAGTTGAAAGAGAAACAGCTAGAAGGGGAAGAAAGAGAAGCTCTTCAGGCTGGGAAGGAGAGATCATGTCATCCACGATTCATTGATTGTCCCGCCGCGGCGGCGGCGGCGAATCCCCTCCGAGCTATTCCTGATCCCGTGACCTGCACTGCACCGCTGGCCGCTTCGCCCGCCGTATAAAATACGGTGTGAGTCACGTGGAATCTACAGAAGACACTCGACAATAACCACATAATCGGATCAAAATTCGTCATCTGGACGGTTTGTCAGTCTAGATTCTAAGAAGCTCACACCGGACGAGTCTGAGCTTTTTCTTTTTTGTTTTGGTGCTGCGAATACAAATAAAGGGGCAACACCCAGTGTGCGTGCGTGCCTTTGCTGCTGCTCCGTTGTCGGATCAATCTGACTCTGCACGCTGTCGTCGGGCCCAGACCGACTTTACATACCACTTCCACCTCCCAACGCTGACATCACTTGGGGATCTTGCACGGCAGTAGGGACGCTGGAAGTCTTTACTCTAGTCGAGAGCACTATAAGCTTTTCTACGTCGATACAAATACAAAATGTGTCGCTTTTTAGTAGGTCTAAGTCGCAGTCTGCTGCTTGCCTCCTATTTCTGTCGCAGCATGCTGACCGCTTCCCCATCAGGTATACAAAGGGCGCCATGAGATTCGTCTCAGCAAGCTGGTCACAGAACCCAGTCACTCCATCCTGACCCAGTCGTACGATTCGCGTCTCAGACTGGTACGTCTGCTTGCTTCTTGTTGTTGAATGAAAGAAAGCCCAGTCGCCCAGTCGCCCATTTGCCTACTTGCCTACTTGCCCCTCCCCCCCCAACTTCCCCCTCAATATCACCTCTAACCCAAAACCAGGACACCCGCCGCCCCGTAAACGGCGACGGCTTCGGGGTGGGTTTCTACACGGACCCGAAACTCGGGCCCGACCCATGCATCTTCACCTCGACGCTCCCCGCGTGGAACTGCGAGAACCTGGAGCGGCTGGCGTCAAAGACATGCTCGAACCTAATCTTCGCGCACGTGCGGGCGACGACGGAGGGGACGCTGTCGGACACGAACTGCCACCCGTTCCAGCACCGCACGCTGATGTGGATGCACAACGGCAACGTGGGCGGGTGGCACTACATCAAGCGGGCGCTGGCCGACTCGCTGGCCGACAAGTGGTACCTGGGGGTGAAGGGCGGCACGGACAGCGAGTGGGCGTTCGCGCTGTTTCTCGATCTCCTCGAGAAAGAAGGCGTCGATCCCAGCGCCGACCCCGGCCCGGAGGGGTTCGGCCCCGCGCTGCTGCGCCGCGTGATGGTCAAGACCATCGCGCAGATTAATGCGTTCATCAAAGACATTCCCCGCCGGCATGGCGGTGCTGTTGGGGAAGTCGAGACGCGCAGTTTGCTGAATTTCGCCGTCACTGATGGCCATACCGTCATCTGCACCCGGTATATCAGTAGTAAGACGGATGAGCCGGCCAGTCTGTATTTCTCGTCGGGCACCAAGTGGACCGAGGGCAAGGGGCAGGGCCATTTCAAGATGGAGCGGCATGACAAGGGGGCGGATATTGTGCTGGTCGCGAGTGAGCCGATTACGTTTGAGAGGCGTATGTTTTTGACTCCGCAAGAATGGGGATTGGAGTGGGTGTCCGTGGCTAATGCTGATTTTTGGTGTACAGACAACTGGGTCTCCGTGCCCGCCAATTCCATCGTCACCATCCACAAGCAGACCGTCATGCTGCACCCCATCATGGACGAGTTCTACGTCGAGGACTCCAACCAGGATCGCTCCTCCTGCTTCGCCGTCTCCAAGGGCCTGGTGAGCACCGCCCCGGGCACCACCGTGCAACCACAGAACGACGCCAAGGCGCCCGCCTTCGACATGACGCCTGCGAATCAGTGCGCCGTGTCGCATTGAGGGTGAGGTTTTGGACTTTCCGGGTTGTTTTTTTTTTTTTTTTTTTTTGACGTTTGGTGAAGAGGGTTAGCCGGGGTAGGACGTGTGAGGGCGGGAGTCATTGTTGGGTGTCGGAGTTGGTGAATTTGGCAATTCTTTGGGACTTGGCTTTTTGGGGGGGATCCTAATCCAGATGAATTGTAGACTCATCTTATATATCTGCAATTATGACACTGTCTTTTAATGAAATCTCAGTTAAACAAGACTATTACGATATAACAATGTTGCTATGCTAAGACGGAGACCATCGACACGAAAACTATGTACAGTACAGACCCAAAAAAGCGGCTCACGTATGAGCCAAAGACCACCGAAGAATCACAACACAAGAGACAACGTCAGACGTCCTCCCCGGAGATGTTCGCATGCTTGAAGTACTTCATCCCCACCCAGGCGACAACCACCCACACCCACGACATGACCGCGGTCAGGATGATCAAAGCCGGATAATACCCGACGATCGGCAGGGTGGGATCATCCTCCAGCTCCGGCGGCGCATACGGCGTCTCCCCAACATCCCACGCCCAGCTCCAGACCCCGAAGCAGCTCCCCATCCCCACGACGAACACCAGCCACGTCACAATCAGGATGATCCACCCCCACCACTCGGTCTCCGAGTAGTCCCACACCAGCTGCGAGCTGGCAGCCATATCCACCGCGTGCGTGGCCAGCGGCGACTTGGCCCGGTGCAGAGCCCGGTACGTCGGGTCCGTCTGCAGAGCGTAGTAGGTATCGGAGGGCGACGAGGCAGAGGGCAGGCGCAGGCCCGTCGCGCCGCTGGTGGCGGAGGACGAATGCAATGCGGGACTAGTGCTGCTGGCGCGCGGGAAGGAGATGATTTCTTCGTCGTCAGTCGTCATCATCTCATCGCCGACCCCAAGGAGGTTGTTTTTCGCCGGGATGGACATGCGATGCGTCGTCGTCGACGCCGCCGCCGGCCCGGCCGCCCGGGCGCGTTGCGGTGCATCCATCAGCGTCCATGCAGTATCCGTCTCATCTCCGTGTTGGGAGCCGAGGGTCCTGAGCGGCGTGTTTTCATCGTCGGTGCGCGACACAGAGTCGGCTAGATATCGCATTCGGGGGTTTGTGGAAGAGGAGGAGGGGGAGGCGGGTAAGGGGGTCGGTCCCGGTCGGGGTTCGCTCCCACTGCCGTCCCCTCGCAGGACATCGGCCGGGACCCTTGCGGTCTTCTTGTCTCGGTAGTCGAGTCGGGTGCCCAGGAGAGCCGTCTTGCGTAGCGAGCCCCGTCTCCGACGCGTCCGCCGATGCTGCTGGATTGCATTGGACATGGCCCGCCCGCCCCGTAAGCCGGAGCTGAGTTCGTCGCCGTCATCGCGCTCGAGGCCCGAATGGCTTCGCTCGGCCGTGTTCTGAGTCGCCTGGATCATTCGCAGGAAGGATAATCGGGACAGTAAGGAGCCGGAGGTGTTGCGCTTGTGGCCGCTGCTTGCGCTTCCCGAGCGCATGCGCCCTGCGAGCCGATCATTGTCGTCCAGCGAGAGTGCCGCACCGCTGCGATTGCCTGCATCTTCCATTGGCGCAGGCTGGGCGCGACTAACCAATCTTTAGCATGCCCACATCCAGTGTCCCGGTAGGAAAGTCGGCGAGGTTGTTCATCAGCTGTGGTGCAAGGATTCGTAGGAAAGGGAGGGGGAGAAGGAGGAAGTGGAAAGGGAAGACGTAGAGCAGAGAGTGAGGGAGAGGGAGAGGGAGAGGAAGAGGGGGCCGCAAGGCATCGATCGATCGGCCAAGCAGAAAAGGGTCCAGGCGGTGGGCGGATGGATTACTTCCAAGTTAGGTACGGTACGGTACCTGAGCAGCTGCCCTGCCGCCCCAGTCGGTTTCCTTCCTCCCCCGCAGCCCGTTCGGGGGGTTCTATTTTAGCATCAACTTCTTGCAATTTACATACTCATATTTACCCACAACAACTAATGCTTTAGCGACCCACGGTAAGCATCCAAAGCCCAGGTGGATACAGACAGAGGCTTACCTGTTCTTGGACTGCTCATAATGAATTCTAAAATCACCATACCATGCAGACACCTACAATTACGTAAACTGCGGGCAAACCCAACCATTACTCCAAGAAGGATCAGGAAATAGAAACAAATCCCAACAACATCAGCATGGGCTCCAGACTGGAAAATCATGTGGGCACGGTTTCAGAATACCAAGAGCCCGAAGTTGGATTTTGGACTGGAAAGAAAGTCACCTGAACAGATAATGGTATCACAAACTGGAAGGACTGTGCCGACCAACCCGGCCAGACGAGTACAAATCGACGAGCAGAAAAGAAGAAACCCGGTATAAATCGAAGAGCAACGATGCTCAAATGGCGACTCTCAGAATCGCAGGGAAAGCCCTCGCTTCCCGTGGACAAATAACAGAAGAAAGCAGAAAGCCATGATTCTCACAGCCCGAAAGCAGAGGATACCAGTCCTCAACAGGCTGTGCTTAATACATACTTATCGTACGACACCAGCGAGCTATTTATTCAATCGTAGACCAAAGAGAAAATGTCAGGAATAGAATGAGAATGGTCAGTACTTTTAGTTTAGTCCGCAGAACGCTTAAGTGAGAAGCCCAAGAAGCTTAGCCTTTGATCAAAGTTGCGCGCATTCGTTCAAAGAAGACAGCATATGGAAACTTGAGTCAACAAAGCGGAGTTGGGGTATTGGGTGTACGATAACACACAAATTTCATTTCAAAAAGAAGAATGGAGAATGGGAGATGCGCTTTAGAATCCACCTTGTAAGGGGCAGTCATGAAGAAAAGAAAGAAGAGAAGAGAAGAGAGAAAAAGAAAAGCAATGTTAAATGATGGAAAGACAGAAACAGCTGAAATGTAAAGTATTAGAGAGAAGGGAGGAAGGAAAGAAAGGGGCTGATGCTTAACGCTTTTGCCGGTACAGACCGCCGACTACCAGTGCTTGCGGGGCAGGCGACAGCATATATCGAGAACAGGCTACGCTTGATAGCCACCGAAGCCATTGCCAAAATTGGCGTTGTTTGGCTGGTTCCACCCAGAGGCTGGGGCACCTTGGCCGCGGCCGTATCCTGCGTTACCAGGAACTTGGCCATAGCCTTGAGCACCCATTCCGGATTGGTCCCATCCTCTACCGGCTGGGTTGGGGCCTGGAGCCAGAGAGTTAGCGGGAAACCCCACACTAGGGCGCAAACGAGCTACCTTGAGGGGTCATGGGTCCCCCAGGACCGCCGTACTGAGGAAAGTACGGAGTGGGACTAGAGTTGAAAGGTGAGCTGGCCTGCTGGCCAGAGAAGTTGTCGAATTGGCCAGTAGGGGGACGATCCTTGCCCCACTATATGGTCAATTAGCAACGAAACTAAGACACAGGGAGTGAGGAGGACATACGCTGCACTTCAGAGGGCGTCCGTTGACGTTGTAACCATTGAGTTGACAGATAGCCATGGCAGCATTTTCATGCGAGTCCATCTTGATGAATGCAAATCCACGGTCCGCCTGCAGACGAGTCTCGAGCACGTAGCCGAAGTTCTGGAAGAGTGGCACCAGGTCATTCTGCGTGGTGTAAGGGGTCAAGTTGCCCACGTAGCACGTGGTCTGCCACTGCGGGGTCTGTGAGACGACCATGTCGTAGCTCTGAATGCCGTGCGTAGGAAAGTTGTGGTGGCCATATTGCGTAGCAGGCGTCATGCCCATTGCGGCCATGGCCTGCTGCTGAGAGATCGAAGGTTGGCCCTTCTGGTTGGCCCAGTTGCAACGGATCGCACGAGAGCCCAGCCATTCTCCATCCATGGAGTTCAAAGCCTTGTCGGCATCGGAGCGGTCACGGAATGCAACAAACCCATAGCCTCGGGAGCGACCAGTTTTCATATCCCACATGACGCGAGCCTCCGACACGGAGCCGAAGGCAGAGAAGGCCTGCATCAGCACCTCGTCGTTGACTTCATTGCTCAGATCACCAACGAAGACGTGAAAATGGCCCGAGGTGTCCTCCTTGTTCGTAGTGTTGGATTGGTAGGCCCAGTTGACACGAATCTCCTGTAAAAGAGACAATATTGATTCAGTACCTGTCGAACCAACACCAAACAAGCCTAGGTGTACATACCGACTGATGGATACGGCGCCCGTTGAGTGTCTGCATAGCTCTCTCAGCAGCACCGGGGTCATCAAACTCGACAAAGCCGTAGTTGTTACCCTTGCTGTTGAACTTCTGTGACTGTCAGTAGGGAGGATGAGCGTGCTTCAATAAATAGTGGGGCATTAAGAATGCCAGAGGTCAGTGACGGTGTGGGGGGAAAAATACATACGTTCTTGTCGGGGATGATCTTGACGCTAACAACATGACCGGTAGTCTCAAAGATTTGTTTCAAGATATCCTCAGTCACTCGAGGATCAAGGCCACCGACATAAAGGGCCCTCTTGTTTGGCTCAGGGGCTGCCCGACGCACAAAGCCACCAGCGCTGGTCGGAGACATCATATTGCCAGACATCGGCGATGTGATAGCGGTCGGGATCGGATTGGTGTTTTGAGGGATTACCACGGGCGGGCGGGGAGGTGGTGGCATGTGGGAAGGATTGGCTTGACCGTTGCCCTGAGACGCATCGTACTGCTGGTTGGAGGCAACAGTGGAAGATTGGGGAGGAGGGGGGAGGGTGGTAGCGGTCGCAGCGGAGACGTTGTCGGCCATTGTTGACGGGGGGGGGGGAGAGTCACGAGATGGGACGAGAGAGGATCACGGAACAAACAAATGCAGAGCTGCAAGGCGGAACAGTCGATGAAAAGCGTTTGACGAAACCAGGGAGAATGAATATGCAATTTCTCGGTGACGGGACGATGCAGGGCGTTACGCAGTCAAAATTAGAGTAGGCGAAGGCGGCAGCAGACGCGGGGGGTGGGTTTCGACGTTGGCTGTGGTGGATGTTGATCGAAAAGGTCCAGGACAGAGTGGTGGTAAACGAGGACGGACAGGCGCTAAACTAGATCATCCAAAGACAAGCACAAAGTACGAGCAACTGATGTTGAATTGGACGATTGCCGTGCTAGTGAAACGAAGATGAGAGGTGTCGTGATGGACTAGACGATGCTGAAAAGCAAATAAGTGAGACCGGAGACGGTTTTCTCAACCACGACCCCAACCAGGCAGTGAGTCGGTCAAAAGTGGTGGAAACAGCTTTAAGCTCCCGAATGACAGCTGACGGGGAATGAGGAATGGAGAAGAGGAGGGAAAGCTGACAGCTGGAAGAAGGCAGAAATCAAATGAAAAATAAGGAAAGGAAAAGAAACACTGAGACAAAAGGGAAGAGAGACAGCAAGGACAGGTGGAAGAGGAAAGTGGATGAAAAGGAAGAAGGAAAATCAGAGGAAAAGAGGAAGAAGAGAGACAGTCGACCAGACAGACAGACAGGGGAAAAGCAGAGGGAAAGCTGCGATGATCTGAGCTGACGGGAAGTTTGGATGGATGGAGAACAAAACGAGGAGAGTGTTTGGAATGAATGGATGGGATGGGGTACGTACTGTAAGTGGTATGTATGTACATACAGTCGTTCAACTGGTCCAGTGGAGAGTGGTAGTCTGTCCTGGGAGTCGACCACGGTACGTACAGTACAGTCAGTCAGTCAGTAAGTTGACTGTACCTTAAGTTAGTCTAAGGTAGCAAGGCAACCTTGGAAGTCAACTGGTCTGGTCTGGCTGTAAGGTAGAGCCGCTCCGAGCTGGGGTGAGGGGCGCGCTAAGCCTCCCTGCGTTAGTCTCCTTGTGACGGGGCCCTCGCCTTTTTTTGTCCTCTACGGCTCTACCGCAGGCCGGCTAACTCACTCTTAGGCGCTTAACTTGCCCATCATCATTCTTAGCTTCTTCCTCCACTCTGCCCTCCTCCGCTTTACACCTCCTCCCCCGGGCTTGCGCCTACTCCTCCTTGCAAAAGTGCTATCACCTTCCTTAGTTCTCTTCCGATCTTACCTGAAGATACCATATCATCTGCAGTGACGCCTCTGGAATTCTCTTGGTTTCTATTCTTAGTCTCCTCCCTTGACTCCTCCCCCCCCCCTCCTCTTCCCTGTCACTTCCACGCGGACCTCGGTCCAAGTCATTCAATTGGCTCTCGGGCCCGCCGTACAGGGAGTATAATCCCTCACGGCGTCGCCAAAAGTCCCCGGCTGAATCACATCTCGTAGTGGTTTCAGATCGTGTTCTATCGCGGCCCATCACACATCCCAACTGACCTCGACACATCAACAAGTCAGCGTGGTCTATTGTCAACAGCTTTCTTACTAGCACGAATAGGTCGCAAACAGCAGCGTAATCATGGCCGCGACCAATTTTGCAAACCCCAAATCCCTGGATGTATTAACATCCACGGTGAACCAGACGGTAGTACATCCGAGCCCAGTTGTTTCTCGTCCAAGTGACCTCTGACAACTCATAGCTCATCGATACGGCCCGGTTCTTCAACTCGCATGAGAAGATGCAGTACAGGGCACAGCTCAAACGCTCAATCCCCGTCGCTCACGAGCAGTTCCAGACCGCTTTGGACAGCCTATCGGAGCAGATAGTAAGAACCATTGCCATCTTGTTCGGTGCCTGAGTTTGGACTGACTCCGAGCAGTATATTGCCAAGGCGTTCTTGGAGCGAGACTATGAGGCAATCAAAGCGCGAAAAGCTGCACTCCATTCTGCCCAGGACTCCGTGATGGAGGATGCGGCCGTGAAGCCAGAGCCAGAAACGGCTCCCCAGCCTCAGGAAACCCCCGCCGTAGCCACGAATGCAGACACAATAAAAGCCGAACCCGCAGAAGTTGAGCCTGCATTGAAGCCGCAGATTGAGCAGGATGTCGTAAAACAAGGCTCGGCTGATCAACCGGTCAAGGAAGACCAAACCGACAACAGAGCTACTGTCCCTGCCGTCTCCGGACAACCTTTCACCGGCCCGGACGAACTCAACTTCGACTCAATGCTCAACAACAATCCCGGGCCCAACGATTTCGACCTGAATCTTGACTTTGGCGATGACGCAGTTGGCAATGATGATTTTCTCGCCGGCTCCCACCTGGTTCCTGCCGGTTCGGGCAATGAAGGCAACGATACGTCTAGCAACACCGCGGCTGGCTTAGTGGGCACTGATAGCTTGAACACTGCTGTGCCTACGGGTGGAGATGCGTTTGACTTGGAACTGCAGAAAGCTGAGGCGTTCTCTACCCAGGTTGGCAGTCTGACGGGACAACAGTTGGACGGCCAAGGTGGGGGAACCCTCGAAGATGTTATGGGACCGGGAGAGTCCAGCTTCGATGATTTATTCATGGAGAATGATACCTTCGGAGGAGACGGTACCGGGGACCCGAATTTACTGGAGGGTGATGGTTTAGTGGATATCAACGAACTTGACGATAGCTGGTTTACATGATCACCTGGGCAGTGGCCGCTGGATACGTACGGCTCGGGATGCGATTCATGGGTGACGACACTGTGCGTTGGGATCACGAAGTACAGAGAGTTTTATTTAGGAGCGTCCCCTACAAATTCGGGTAATAAGCTAAGCCGAACGGAGTCTGTTCTCCAGTCCCAAACCCTTACTCATTACCCCGGCTGGAACCCATCCGAAGTGTCAGGTCCATTGCTGTCTCCTACCGAACAGCCAATCGGTAGTAAAGTGATCCACCCTGTAAGGGGGCCCGGTACCTACCTGACGGTCCTCACTACTGACTCCGCGATGACGCAAGGTACGTCTGAGGTGGGCGCAAAAGCTAATCTCCGTTCCAAATTGACAGCCCGATGCTCCACGCCCCAGGTGGATTGGCTTTGCTGCGTCTTCGGTGGTCTTGGTATGCAGCTAAGCAATGCTTGGTTCCTAAATAGACTACGGGGGAATGCTACGAACTGGTTCTCCGTTCGGCAATCATTTCAATGGTGCGGGCGTTCCCTAAAGCAGAAACTCTGACCAATTATGTCGAAAATCTTTGCTAGCTGTAGTCTCCTCAAGAATGTACCAAGTGCCGTACCCGGCTATCCACACACCCACAGGGACATTTGAAGTCAGAATATCAGCCACCTCATGGTTACAAGGTGATGATGATGGTGATGGCGGCGATGATGTCATGACCTATCGGCCTATAGGAATTGTCGTTGCAACGGACAACACATCTTGAACCACGCGACGGCTGATAAGAATCCCACCATGTCATGTTGATGTTTTTTTTATGGAAGTAGGTGGAATGGAGCGGCTGGGCCGATCGCGATAGCATATTGTCAACTCATACGTGCATGTCAAGCCACAGACGACAGACGTCTTGCCGTCATCTCCACCGGGATTGACATGTGTGAACTTGCGGGGATAAATATCTTGCCGTTTTTGAGCCGACCATCCGATCAAAGATGTAGGGGTAGTAGAGTTGTTGAGTATACACAATTTACCGGTAATCACGGCTCGGTAGGGTTCGGCTTTGCCAGAAGGAGGGCAGGGATGGTGGCGACGGCACTGTTGTTCAGCTATTGCGAAGTCGGAGAGCGGAAGTATTGCCGGGGGTCAGACCATGGATCTTCAAATAGACTTCTTCATCGTCTCCTCGGTCGGAAGCGATCTTCGGTAATAGCCAAAAACAACCCAACGGAATGGAATCTTTCAACCCATATGCCTCATTCCACTTGTACGAACACCCATTGCATTACACTGGAGGATGAGGAGCGATAGAGCGAGGTGTGAGGGCGGGGAGGGGGCCAGGGCAGGTGGAAAGGCAAGAAGTGCACGTACTGAGGATCACGTACTGAGGATCTTCTCATCTTCTCCCCACTGCCGCCCGACCCGATGATATCACCACACCGCCCTGCTCCTGCCAGCCAAGGATCCCCCGCATTGACAATCAGACACATTGTTCTCCCTCTTTCTTCTTTTCTCATTCATTCTTCGCTCTCAAGCCCTTTCAGGCAGTCAGGCAGCACCTTTTTCAACGATCCTCAGCCGCTCCTCAAATCACAAAGTACTCGTGTATCCGGGCATGTGGATCTACCTGCCCACCATGAAGCGGCACAACAGGGATTGGCTTTTCTGCCTTCTGATGATGAAGTCAAAGAGCGAGCATTAAGTGGTCATCTTATGCTGACCGTGCTTGGCCGGGTGGAAGGCTGTGCCGGACTACCCGTCAACACTACTGGGCTAGACTAGGCTTCCAGGTAAGCTGGGCATCAGATTGACTCCAGTGGTCGCGATAGTCAGTCACTTCCTTAGTCAAGTTATGAGTAACTTGACTAGTGATTAGTGTCAGTGTCAGTGTCTATAGACACTGAAACAGATGGACGTCAGACGTCACTGCCGCTTCATGCATGTGGTTCGAGACCTCACCCACTAGTAGGTGTAGTAGTCGCATACGTGAGGAGACCCCCGAAACTCGGCTTTCCCCTCTCTTGCCATTCACATGAAGCATCAGTCAGTCAGTCAGTCAGTCAGTCATCTTACCACGTAACCCGACAGAGCGTATTTGTTGTCCAAGAAGTAGAGTAAGATACGAGGTCGATCCGGGGGAACGAGGAGGTACAGTGCACCACAGTACTACAGCCTCCCGCATCAGCTGATTGAAACATGCTACCGATGCTCTGGCCGTGGAGCTGGCGGAAGTGCATGAAGAATTGTGAATTCATGGTTCAAGTTGATGTATCCGTTGGAGACCTACTAAACGAGACGTAAAGAGAGAAAAAAAAAGCCTCCCAACCAGTTCAGGCAAGTCTCAGGTCTAGTAATGCGGATCACCGGATAGGACTTGAGCCTACCAGTTTTTTTCTCCTCCGCGTCATCGTTCTTCTGGACAGATGGTCTGTCTCTGTCTACTTGGTCAAATTTATTTAATAAGGATCTTGTGCCCAAGGAACGTTACCCGCACCGCCTCATTCTGGACTTGTCGTATTTTGTCATTGATCCTCGCGCTGACCGAACGACGACGACGAGGCGAGGCGATATTATACCATTGCACTATTGTACTATTGCACTATTTCTGATCACTGCCCTCTCGACCCCCGTCGCACCCCCGCATTATTATCATTCTCGGCGCTTCTGGCCTTGTCCTGCCTGTCTTCACTTGCTGAAAGCGGTTGAGACCCTTTCTTCATTCTTCTTGGGGGCTCCTTTTATTTTCGCACTCTCTCCACGTTCCACCTCCCCAAGATTTCGTATCCGTGCCCATCGAATCTCCGATCCATTCACTACCTTACTATTGATTGCGGCTGCGGTGTGCGTGTACCAACCACGATTTGCAAAGAGACACATCGACACATCAACACATCGCTCCTTGCCGGCGTGTCGATCATCGCCCGAACCTAGAAAAGATCCCAAACGACCACTCCCCCGAAAGGAGACAACGCCCCAAACGAATTGATTATTATTATTTTTGACGAGTGCGAGGCAGAAAAAAAAAAGCCAAAAAAAGAGACCCCAATATCCACTGGTCGCACGACTACGTGCATTGGCTCTGTGCGTCAAACACTGGCTCTGCGACTAATTCTAATTTTCCCTATCCTATAATCCTCACTGCTGTTGCTGGGATTTGACTAGTATATTGCCTTTTTCTCCCTCTCTTTAAAGAGTAAGTCCCTTTTCTTTTTCCAGAGTCAAAACGTGCTTACTTCTCTCTTTTTCGCTTTACCCTTTTGCCTCCTGCTACATTCTTCCTCCTCTTCTTCCAATTCACACTTCAGTGTGCATCCTGTCCTTCTTGTTCCTTCTCTCCCTCCCTCACTCTCTCCATACTTCCGTCTTCCGCCACTACCCATTTGGAAGAGGCACATTTCTTCCACCCTCCTCTACACATATTGAAAGCCACGATTCGATTGTCGCAAGATCTTGGCCTACCCATCACTCATCATCTCAAACCTGCTTGCGCCTTACACAACCACAAAGAATGCAGCCTGTTGATTGGCGTTGTTCTTGTGCACAACAATGACGGCTCACGTTTCTCCTCTCCCACAGGTTCTTCTGGGGTCGGTTACTAGTCCCGGTGGTACAAATACTCAATTCCCCGACGGAGTGTCCGAGTCAACTCCGTTTCACGTGAGATCCGATCGGCGGCTTTCACTCGAGACATCGACACTTGCTAGCGATACTAGTTCCACTGTCGGGCAACCACCGGCCAGACGAGGCTTCCGTCGTCGCGCCTCGATCCTCAAGAAATTGGCGGGTCCGCGGGAAAACGCAAAGCGTCTGTTCCGCTTGGGGTCCCTGATCCACTCTGCGCCCTCCATTACGCCACCGTCCGCTTCCTCCCCTCCTCTACCTCCTCCTCCTCCTTCTCCTCCTCCTCCAATGACTCAAACGCATTCCCGTCGCCCCGTGTCTGAGCTCGTTTTGAATCCCAACGATGCCACAATGCTCACCGCTTCGGGACTAAGAGTTGGCCGATTACGCTCGCATTCTTCCTCCACGGTCTCGTCCACCCAACCTTATCCGGCTTCCGCTCATTCCATCCCGTCTTCCGATCCGGCCGTGCCGTTCCCTCCGCTGCGCAACGAGAAGATAGTCGCGACAGGAAGTGGGATTTCCGTGGGCATTGCACTCACTGAGCCAGTGCTATATCTGCAAGGATATGATCAGAATGACCCCAGTACTAAGAAGTCGGCCATTCTTCGCGGGCAGTTGCATCTGAAAATCACCAAAAGCGTCAAGGTGAAGAAGATCTCGATCTGTTTCCGTGGACATGCGCAGACCGATTGGCCAGACGGTAACTCTTTCCCTCCTCGTCTCTCATTCCTACGCGGATCAACTGACAACTTGTTGCGTTGACAGGTATCCCGCCCAAGAAAGTTCACTTTCACGATAAAAAGGACCTCGTCACACATGGAGTAATGTACTTCAACCATGGCGATACGGCACTGATGCAGAATGATTACGGTGCGCATTTCTATCAGCACGCTAAGCCGGTAACTTCTGTGACGGGCAAGGAGGGTCCGACACTCATCACTCGGGAGCTGCTCTCCAAGACCGGATCCTCAACCTCGTTAAGCCACACCGGCCAGTTTTCTGCCAAGGACCTCAAGCGACTATCCCTGAATTCCAACCACTCTCGGAGTTTTGGTAAGAATGATTCGCCACCTCCGCCGGTCCATCCGCCCCGCAACTACCGCCTGTTCCCCGTGGGCGATTACCTCTACAGTTTCGAATTCCCGATCGATGGTTCTCTCCCAGAGACAATCAAGACCGACCTGGGATTCGTTCAGTACGACCTTGAGGCGATCGTTGAAAGAGCCGGTGCCTTCCGGCCCAATTTGCTGGGCAGCCTAGAGGTTCCGGTGATCCGCACACCGGCGGAAGGCTCGCTGGAGCAGGTCGAACCGATCGCAATTTCGCGAAACTGGGAAGATCAGCTGCACTATGACATTGTGATCTCCGGGAAATCATTCCCTCTAGGATCGCAAGTCCCTATCGCTTTTAAGCTGACTCCACTGGCCAAAGTCGAGTGCCATCGGATCAAGGTCTATGTGACGGAGAATATTCAACACTGGACCGCAGACAAAAGTGTGCATCGTTTTCAACCGGCGAAGAAAGTTCTCCTGTTTGAAAAACGAGCCGACTCTGCCAGCACCAGTACCTATCCGGGAAGCTCGATGCGAGTCACAGCAGGTGGTGGCATTGACTGGGACCAGCGCGCAGCAGCTGCTCGGGGTCAGGAGGTGGTGGATCGAAACCGAACCAACCTTCTTGGCAATCTGTCTAGCGACTCAGGAGTTGGTCCGACCGAGATGGAATTCAATGTCCAGTTGCCGAGTTGTCAAGAAATGCGCAACCGGGACGAGTCTCAGCGACTACACTTCGATACTACGTACGAGAATATTCAAATAAATCACTGGATCAAGGTAAGATATTTCCATGCTGATTGGCAATATTCGCAATCTAATATACAATTCAGATTGTTTTACGCCTCTCCAAGGTCGATGAGAGAGACCCCGGCAAGCGGAGACACTTCGAAATCTCCATCGATTCTCCGTTCCACCTGCTATCGTGCAAGGCCACGCAGGCCAACATCTACCTTCCGGCATACACCTCGCCGGAGTCGGAGCCAACCCCACAGGCACAGGAGTTCGAGTGCGGTTGTCCTGGCGCACCCCTGATTAACCGGGCGGGTTCCAGCCGACAATCGCTTTCCTCCTCCGACCGAGATGAGCGATCCAATGGAGGCGCCGTTACGAGAAGCTTCACCAACAGCTCCGGAGGCTTGACTCGGCCACCACAGGTGCATCTGGCCGATGAACCGGTCGACCGCCCACCGCGCCCCATGCATCTCCTCCGCGCGCCATCCTTTGCACCTCCTGCCTTCGAGGAGCTCGAGCCACCGCCGCCTCTCATCACTCCTCCCCCAGAGTACAATACCATCGTTGGAGACAATGATCGAGAGGCCGTGTTGCAGGATTACTTCTCGCGCTTGTCATTCTATGAGGAGCACGCCGATGACGATCGGGGCCTGGGGCGTGTCGATGTACCTCTGACTCCTGGAGGCCGTGTGAACCGCAGCATGGACGTTCCACGCGACTGGGTGCGCCTGGAATAGAAAGTTACCTCCCAGCCCCTGACAGGCTGGGTCTTTTATGTCCCGATGACATTGGAATAGACCTCACGACGTTTATGCTTTTTTTTTGTCTATCTTATCGAGCTTACAGGAAAGGATTGGAGTTGACGAATCACTGAAAGATACCCTCTGCACATATGGAGGCATGTAAGGTGACTTCCACGATGAACATGTGTCAAGCTTACCTTTTGAGTTTCTGGGAAGGGGCGCAGATGGACTGGATATATGGTCGGCGCCTGTACTACCTTGATTGCATTACCTCGAGCGATCATTTCTTTTCTTTTTTTTTTTTTCTCATCATCAATTTCTTGACCATATGAACACTTTTATCAGCATGATTACATTTGTTTTTAGATACCACCCTTCAGAAGTTCGGTCTGAAAGAACACAAGATGCGATGGCTTATTGTCGTCGCAACGCATCACACATTTCTCCATGGCTTCTGCATGGCTTCACACATAGTAAAAACCTGGACCCACCGACCAATCGATGGGGATCCCTTACAGACATAGTAGGACTACTGGTCGTGCTATTAAGCGCTTGCAGATGCGTAGATGAATTAGCTTCGATATAGGCAGCAAGGCAGCAAGGCCGCAGGCGTGACAGGTGATAAGGCGCAGAAGGTGCGGGTGGAGGAGGGACTTTGGACATTCATGGATTTAACCTCAAGTCGCATGGAGCTGCCTTTTTTGGGTCGATCTGTGGCGCTTTCCGCCGCCAACTGTTCTGGCCTTTTTTTTATCGGCCTCTGCCGTCATTCTGCCTTGTTCGTACAGTACATCTATCCATCCATCTATCTTCCTATCTTTTCCTCCCTCTTCATTCTATTCAAATTCAATTGATCTTTTCTTTCCCATCTTGCAAAGATTCAGAGATTCGAACAACTTCCCATCTCAAAGGCGCACCACAAATCTGTCGAGTCCAGGTCACAAGACATTGGGCAAGCGCGCATTGTTACACCGAGCCAGGTAGTTCGTTGGTTGTCTGCAGATTTTCTACTGCGCTGCAGGTGCTGAGTCAAATCTATCCGTTCTCTTGCTCATTCATTGAACTATCATCACCTCGCCTCGGCTCGCCTCTGCCCAATCCCTACATAAGCTTACCTATTACCGGAACTCTACGCTGCAAGCAGCTTTGGAAGCACCCAACGTTAACATGGCTATTGAAGTTGTCCCCCTCACAGAGGCCGACATCCCCGACGCTATCGAAATTATCCAATCGGCCTTCGCAGAGGACCCATATTTCAAATGGGTGTTCGATGCTGCCAACGTAAGTTTGCATTTCCCCGACCCATCTCCTACCTTCTTGACTTTGATGCGCAAGGGTTCTTCAACCCCCCCCCCACAGAGGATAATCTTTGGGAATGATAACCAATAAAAAGAGCAACCAAAGCTAATCGGTCTCCTCCTGACGCGGGTCGCGTGGGGTTTCTCCCCGACCAACGTTGCTCGTCAGGTGAGGTCACTCCAATGCACAATAGTTCAATAAAGAGCGAAACCATGACTCCCTCGCCGTCCGATGCCGTTGGGGCATCAACAACGCCATCTTTCAAGTCGCCAAGGAGACAGCGCATGACGACACGGGCGATGCGACCGGCGACCGAACGGCCACCTCGCGTGTCGTGGGTGTCTCCTGCTGGCTTCCGCCCCATTCACCCTCGGAGCCCGAGAGCTGGTATACCTGGTCGCAGGGGTGGTTGCTCACTGCTCGCCAGGCATTGAACAACCTGCGCCATTGGGGCCGCGGTGGGCTGCGCACGAATCGCTATTGGATCTGGAAGGCCCGTCAGCATGAGGCCCAGAGCCAGATCTGGGACGACCCCAAGGGGTATTATTTCTGTAATATCGTGGCCGTCCGGCCGGGCACGCAGGGGAAAGGTATTGGTCGGAAGCTCTTTGAGGCAGTGACGGATAAGGCGGACCAGGAGGGGGTCAAATGCTACCTGGAGAGCTCGCGGAATGAGCCCAACGTTCAGATTTACGAGAAGATGGGATTCGAGATGAAAAAAGAGATGGAGTGTAGGGATGGGGAGGATGTGTGCATGGTGAGTGGACATTCAATTGTCCCATTATTGGGGCGGAATCGGCGGTGGTGGGGTGTGTGTGTTTATGCCTGCTGATCTCATGTCTAGCTCTATTGTATGGTGCGCAAGCCGAGGTCGAAATATTGAAGAAAAGCGACAACGGCAAGGAGGCGGAGTTGAATTCCACCCACACCCACAGCGTTTGCTTATCTTACACGCGATGGCGCAGCACAAATCGTATTATGTACAGTACTAAACGCAACTAGATTACTATGGATGGAACCACTGCCTACTAATCAACGAACGCATGTTCTTGTTCAACTGAGACATGAACGTGGCTTTGCGACCGCAAAAGTTGTTGGTCTGACTCAAGAAGCTTAGTCTAGTGCCAGGCTTCCGGCATAGACTGCATGAACCGGCATCGTCTCAACTCCTTCTTTTCGTTCCATGTGAATTCGTTTCGATGGGGCAACCCCTTCTTGGGTTTTTTAGTGAAAACGGCGAACCGTTTGGTCGGGGAGCCACTGACAAAACCGAAACCCGGGGTAGTTACAGTATGTTTACACGCTTGAAACTTGGTTGCCACTGCAGGCGGTGTGATTCTCTGCACAACACCATGTGCGATGGCTGACCACTACATGATAGAAACTAACATCACATATCATATGTCATATACTGACAGATTACTCTGACAGAACCTGATAGACACCCAAAGTAGCTTCTTCAGCCATCGGATCTGCAGGGTTACTGCGTATGGCCGTCATTGCCGGTGGTCCGAGCCCCCGGGTTAGTATACTAAAGTATACGAGTCAGACACAATCCGTCGTTTCACCAGCTCCCAGTAGTACATCTTCTGACTATCTTTGGACCGAATGCCTGGCCTAGACCACGTCAGGGGCCGAGAAAAGGCTTTTTCGTAGGCCGACTGTCTCATCTTGATTACATGCACAAAGGTTAAAAGTGATACGTAAATTCTGCAACATGATACCACGCAACTCAACTTCCCAGTTTCAAGCCAAACCTTCCCCCTCTTTTGCTGAGACCTGTTGACCTTCGCTAACTCAGACCGAAGCACCGTGATATATCCTGCCGCCGTTCGCTGGGTTGAAATACTGTGATATATCAAGCTGGATCGAGTGTCCAAGCCACTGACGCTTCTCTTCAACTCGTTCTTCTTGCTCTGCGCAGCTGGTCTGTTGGCTTTTTCTTTCCTTCTTCATCCTGAAGATATCCACTCGTTTTGAGCGATTCATGAATGAACACTGAGCCCTGGTGGTTAACGACACTTACGAATGCCTTTTGCCTCGGTCTCGCGACGAACGCGTCTGTCACACATTCTTTTCCAGCCATTTATGCGCAGCATCCAGAAACGAAGCCATGCTCTCTCACTATCAGGACGGGTCGGACTGGCCCTGGGTCTCTTGGGTAAGCCGCACTGATCGACTGAAGGAATTGCTCCGAACCTTAAGCACTGACTACCGGTATGGAGCACAGCGGCCCTTATGCTAGGCGTTCTTCTCACAACGTGGGTTGTGTTGCGAGTCAAGCGCGGGCCGGGCGTCACCCTTCGAACCCTGTTCAACCGCCAACCGATTCCTGCCCGGAGACCTGAAAGCGACCCCTCTGACCCAGAGGCCGCAAAGTCCCTAGACGACCTTGGCCGTCAAGACGGCTCTCCACAGAACTCCTCCCCTCGTCGCATATCCAATGTCTCTCCCCGCCGAATCTCGCAGCGCATGTCTCAGCACGGATATATGAGCCTCCACGAGAAGACAACCAACTCCCCAACGACCACCATCCACACCGCACCAGCAGCAGCAAACCATCCTCAGTTGTCCACCAAAACGGGGAGCCCAATAATCCCGCTGCGCCCGATAGCACGGTTGGGTCCGGTTCGCACCATGTCCGAGGCGGACATCCAGCGCGTACCCCCGCCCTCACCCCTTCGGCATGCCGCTGTCGCCGCTGTCGCCGGGCTGCGCACGAGCACTCGATCCGCGGGCACGGGCACGGGTACTGCGCCCCAGGCGATCCACCCGCCGTCGTGGAATATGCCCTGGAAGGACGAGGAGTTCTATGTCCCTGATAGCCCGGAGGACCATATCATTGTTCTGCCCTCGCCACGTGATTTGAAGACGTTCCGATTGACACTGCATGCTTGATGGGATGGTCCTGCTCTGGGCTTGGGGTTGGGGGGATTGAGAATCGAAAAGGTAATGTATAGTGTGTGAGGTCCGTGATCGGGGATGACTATGCTATGTATGAAGTGGTAATGTCTATGATGGTGTACTTATTAGGGACATGTAATGATTATGACTGACTATATTTATTGAGTGCATTGGGTTGCTGATGATTGTCACTGTGGCGTGAGTTATATGTTTATAGCAATCGTTGTATTTAGCTACTTAGTTCCAATCAGTTCTGGCTTCCTTCCTGGCAAGGCGTCAATTGATCTATATTCTTTACATGTATATGTACACGAAGATCTAGGTGACTGCAGGTCATGGCTCGTCCCTGCTGAATGGTGTTTTGTGTTTGATTGAGCTAGAAGTTGGATCTGCAACCTACAGCGACGATCTACACAAACTTACTTCATCGCGTAAGTACAGTACATTGGCGTCGGCTGCAGAGTCTTACGTACTTGGGAATCCACTTCAAGAAGAAGTCAATCGGATCTTTTCTCTCCTCAACAGGCCAAGACCATTCCTTCGAAGGGATTCTCAAACAATCGAGTATTCCCACCACCGACGACTCCCTTATTTCACAGCCACGTACACTCCGGAATTGTCCTCTCTGGCAAACGATCATCGGCCCCCCTGAAGCATGGGCCTGTTTGGAATCTTCTTTGTTGATCCGGAGTGTCGGGTTGAGATCGGTTTCAGGGTGGAGGATGGAGGGTGGGTGGGTACCCACTTGGTTCCGAGTTAGTTGATGTTCGATGTTCTGGAATAAGGTGGAGCGGTGTGAGTTTTGGTTTACTCATTGTGGATGGTGTTTGGGCTTGTGGTCGGGTCTTAGGATACATGTGTATGGGCTGGGTTGAGTGGGACTGGGATGCTGGGTGATGTTTACATGGTAGCGGTAGTCTTGGGTCTACTAGTAAGTTGAGTTAGCTTTCGACATAGCAAGCGTATAGTTACTGTGCTAATTGGTTCTATGTTGTCTTGCTGTCGGGCTCATTTGAGCTTATATATTGATCTGGCATGATCGAGTGGCCTGTGTGGAGGTATCTTGTTGTCGCTGGTATGATACCCTGCGGAGGAGTGTACAGTACTTTGTGATATGCGGGTAGTACATCACCTTGTGATATGCAGGTAGTACATCACCTTGTGATATGCAGGTAGTACAGTACTTACTGATGGACCCTTGTCCTGGCCCTAGCCCTGACCTGAGTCCCTGTGATGACGCCTAAGCTCTTACAAATTGCAGGGTTGATCTGATGGCATCGCTCAATGAGAGTCACGATCCTCGTCCCTACCTGTCGAATCTCTGACAGAAGCAGGTCATGAGGTGATCAGTCTACCATCTCGCATCGCTCCTCCAACTCGACGAGGGGATTCTTTGTTGAGTTCGTGATTGCGATTCGTTCTCACCCCTCAGCCATGGCGTCCTAGGCATTTCGGCTGTCATATTGCCAAGAACCCTCTCACCTCAGCTCTGACCCCCTGTTGGTCATCTTTGCCCCACTGTCCGAAGACCCTGCTTGTCATCGGGCTCATCTCATCGCCCACCCCGGTCTGGTATAAGAATTCGGCTAGAAGTCACTGCCATTGGTCCAACCAAATAACAAACCCTATCCATCAAATTGACATGTCCAAACCCACCCACAATTCAATGCGGATGTGCTTGTCACACAGTTTCACCCGCGACACGGTGACTCGAGCATGGCCAGTTGCAGTGGCCCCGTTCTACCCGCCGGGGATTGCATCGAAGGCCTGCATCTCACCCTCAATCCTCCGATTAGCGCCCTTGGACGGTCAGCCACAGCGGATAATTCTCCGCCCCCCTCTCTCGCCAACGACCCTGCATCAGGCGATGCCTCCACAAATTAGGAGATGAGAATCTGACAGTGAGCCCCTCTGGAGTCGGGCGGTCCCAGATCGTGGTTGGTGCTGTACGGTGTACCTGAGCCATGCGACTGTGAGGTGCGCCTTGACGGTCGAGAAGCCAAGGTACTGTACAGGGTACCGCTACCTGGTGGTTATTTGGACCCTTTCTTCTCGGTCCATCCTACCCTGCCTGTCGGGAGAAAGAAAGAAATTGATGACCCCGCCTTACCAGGCATCGGAGAATGAAAGTCGGACCCTGGCATCTCATTAATTTTATTGATTTCGAACGCCACCGCCAATCAAAGGAAATCCTCGACAACTTTGAAACAGCCCACCACCCATTGTGCTTTGCTCGTGGTTGGACGGAATCAGACTTGGCAGGTACCGGTACCTGGGGAGTTGCAAGGATGCTTTCTTGTGGACAAGAAAAGGGCCACATCGTTATTTTCACCATGCCGGGCTTCATTCATCCCCAAGGTGAATGGTGAAACTGGGGCTGGTCTTGGTCTTGGTCCTGGCCGGCGCATCTGGGAGTGAATCGGTGAATACTACGGTAACGCCATGGACGGGGGACCCCTCTTTTCTTGCTGGTGTATAAGTATGAACACTTCCTGCCCCAAGTTGGGAGGAGGGTTCTCATCCACGACATTCCAGATTTGATATCTGTGACACTCCTTTTCTGTACCACCTTCAAAACAAAATCCCGGGTTTGATATCCGTGCCGCTCCTTTCTTCTTTCGCACCGTTTCGTTCCTTACCTCAAGAAATTCAAGAGCGGGTGAGATCGTTGACGGTTCACCATGTCGTTCCTTTATCAATCCATTCTTCTGGCTTTGGGTCTGTTCCTGGGACTCGGAGAGGCCTCGAAGTGGAGGACTCCTCACCACACTACCACTTCGGATGCGAGCCCTACTACCCCTACTACCCTCACCGCAACTACCATCCCCTCCCCCTCCAGCGCTGTGACTCCCACTGCCAGCAGCTCCACTGTGACCTCCTCTTCCTCCTCTTCCAGCATCAGCAGCAGCAGCAGCAGCAGCAGCAGCAGCAGCAGCAGCAACAACAACAACAACAACAACAACACCACCACCCTCTGGCAACCCCAAGTCGGCACAACCTGGCAAATCATCTTGACGGACCCCCTCGACCCCAGCACCATCGACAGCACCACGGAAGTCTACGACATCGACCTCTGGATCAACGACGCTGCCACCATCGCCGACCTCCACGCCCAGCACCGCAAAGTAATCTGCTACTTCTCCGCCGGCAGCTACGAGGCCTACCGCCCAGACAAAGACGCCTTCCCGGCTGCCGCCCTCGGCAATATTCTAGATGGCTGGCCCGACGAGAAATGGCTCGACATCCGGTCCGCGGACGTGCGCAGCGCCCTCGCCGCCCGGCTGGACCTCGCCGTCCAGAAGGGGTGCGACGGCGTCGACCCCGACAACGTGGACGGCTACGACAACGACAACGGGCTGGGGCTGACGGCCTCCGACGCGGTCGAGTTCGTGGAATGGTTGGCGGCGCAAGCCCATGCCCGCGGCCTGTCGGTGGGGCTGAAGAACGCCGGCGGGATTATTTCGGAGGTCATCGGGGATATGCAGTGGTGTGTCAACGAGCAGTGCGTTGAGATGGAAGAGTGTGGGACCTACGCCCCGTTTGTGGCCCAGGGGAAGCCAGTTTTTCATATCGAGTATCCCAAGGGCGAGGAGGTGGTGAGTCGGGTGGCGGTGGCGGGGGCGCAGAGGGAGAAGGTTTGTGCGGGGGAGGGGGCCGGCGGGTTTTCGACGGTCATTAAGAATATTAATCTTGATGCTTGGGTGGAGGTTTGTTAGCAGGAGGAGGGATATGATCTGGTGTCTTTCGTTAGGGATATTCTTTCTGGGTGAATACTTTTGTATGTGGAGTTGCGGTGCAACGCTTTCGATTCGGGGGATTTTGTGGACAATACTCTTATGCCATGGGCTTGATGCCGGAGATGGGAGATGCGTTTTACGGTGGAGTTCATGCTGTAGGGGTGAAGCATGGTTGTAGCAAGATTGTAGTGGAAATCGCAGAGTGAAGTGACGGGGCTTGTGATAACTATATATATTGGAAACTAGAACTTTCATGGCAGAGACTGTAGTAGAATTCATAGTAGCAAGTGTGGTTGTAAAAGCTTAGCATCTCTAATAATCGCCCCGAGAAATAACTAGGCAGGTGCTGTGGTTGACTGCGCAGCCGACCCTCTGCACTTTCCCTCTTCTCCCTGCTTCATCATCGAGACGCGGACTTTCCCCCCACATCAAGTGCAGCACCACCATTCTTCCCCATCGTCGCCGTTGATGTGCGTTCATCTTACAACGAGAAGATGAGAAAATGAGCGATAAGGTGCCTGAACATCCATCCATCCGACAATATTCCCATGCTGATCGTGCTGCAGCCAAGGCACAGCCACAAACCGAGACACACTCCATGAGTTCCATCGAACTCATCGTCGCTCAACCTCGTTAAAGATCAACAAAACAATCGGAACAACAGATGCTACCTCTTTCCTGTCCCCCGATTGTTTGCAAAGCGGAGCGATCGCTGACCGTGGCGAATGGAAACTACGGCCAGATATCCCTGGACCAGCCGCGAACCGATCTGGACACCATCACCGACGCAGTCGTCAATCAACAAACCAATAGAACAATCGCCTCCCTCTCCCTTTATTCCATGTAACCACCTAGCTGAGCCACCGTTGACCATCGTCGACCGTGGAAATCAGACATTGCGAGTGACTCTTACTGTCACTGCACCAGCGCCGACCCGATATTATATACTCCATAGCTCAAAACCGCAGATCGTTTCTCAACGGTCTACAGTAGACCCCATGTTGCTCGGACACGGCTCCCTAGACGCACTAAAATCTGCGGACCCATCAGCGCTCGAAGGAAATAGTATCCGCATCGCTATTGTCCACAACATTCTTTCTTATCGCCTCACAAATCGAACGTCCCCACACCTGTCAATCAAATGCTCTAGGAAAGATCCCAAGAGCGCTCGAACTATTAGACCGGTAAAGATTTCCATGCTCCAGATGGCATGTCACTTCTTGTCAAAAGTACATTGTCGACAAGAGTCGATGTTTGTCTTTCCTAAGGACAGTGCATGACTGCTGTGCTCACTACTTGAGCGACGAGTGCTAGGCCATGCTGCTTGGCTTACACGCATGTACCGGGAAAGGATCTGGTAACTTCGTGGAACGGAACAATAGTCCCATGGAAAACAGTGCCTGCCCCCTGCTGTCCAACGTTTGGTCGAGAACCTTCGGCCGTCGCAGAAAAGTCGGCGACCGTGCCCAAGAACCGCTGGGTCTTCTTGCGATCGAAAATGCCTAAGAGTCCATCACAACCACCCTCCCAATATTACTTCTCGAACAAGGTAGAACAACACTCTTTCAGTATCGAGCATGTTGTCGAGAGAGTAATCACTTGCGGTGTTTCACACTTGCATTGTGCTTGGGTGGGGACAAGGACAACAATGGCCAATCATCTCGCATCACCTGGTGCTCTAATTCACATCCTCCATTTGTCTGTCCGTGGCTGTATAAAACGTCGATCATTAGTGTTATGGCATAAGCAGGTCGTACTTCCTCTCTGATGGGAGGCCGCGCATCTCCAATGAGAAATGTCACGAGTGGATTCCTCAAGGAGCCACATTCCGGTTCCCTGCCCTTAGCGTCTTTGTGATCACCCGCTGTCTCAACGCTCATTGCATTGGCTTGTCCCGGGGCAGCGTATCGGCTCCGATTGCTGAAGAGGCTGACGGCCAAAACCTGCTGGCTTCCTTGATTCCGGTAACTTGAGATCTAGGTGGTTTGTTTTTGATTGGCACAGGATTTGCCTGCACTGCAACAAGGAGGGCCGGAGCCCCCATTAGGAGAATGGTTCCGTTCTCCGGCAGAGGTTGATTCTGTCTCCCCTGAAATCCGAGAACAAGTGTCGGCTCGCATCGGACATAGTAGGTGAAGAAGCCACAAAGCCAAAACTAGACGCGCTGCTGCCACCTAACACCAGCCATAGCCGTATCCTTTCTTCTTTTCCTTCTCAGTTCAACTTGTCCGCTGTCGACTGGAAACGTACCGAGCTGCGACAACCATTCCGAATTATCCAAGAATCTTTCTTATCAGCTTCGCGAAGTAACGCTCATCTTCAAGTGAAGTTCGTGATAACTTTGGTGCATTATCCTCAACATAGGCTGCGATAGACATAGGTCCAAAGCCCCCCAGACTAGGCACAGTTGCGAAGATGGATAAATAACGCTTGACTCGCTCCGGAAAACAACCAAGAAGCAGAGTACATACTCCTAGAGATAACACCTTTCACTGGCTGACTTGAAAGCACTGCAGCATCTTGCAGGGGGATTCCATACCTCTCATTTCACTGACAAAAGGTCTTTATTAACTAGTTTCCTTTTATCCGCATCAACGTGAAGGAACCACACGACAAATGTCCTGTCAGCAGTGATCGACGCGAAATCCCCCTAAAATATTATTCCAACCGATAGTTTCGCCGAGTTGACTGCTGTCCGGCAGCAATGCGCCCTCCACGAGCCCCTGATCCGCGGCTCTCGCGATGACACAGCAACATGAGCAAACCCGTGCGCTATATCACACGCTGAGAAAAAAGTTACGGCCTGCTTGTCGAGAATGTGGATGATAGCCTTGTGTTCTCTTGTTTGATTATCAGCTGAACAAGAATCGCCAAAGATAGGGGGCGGACGTCAAAAGTTCAAACTTTTGGATTTGCATCTGAGCCAGCTGAGCAAAGCCGATTGAGCTAGGGCCTCCTCATGCCTAATCTGCAGTCATGCCACCCGGACAAGCCCAGTAGATCTAGCTCTGAGGAGTTTCATATGCTAGGCGTTTATGCTGAGAGGGTTCATAGACGCTCGGTATCACGACATTCTGCAGATTGTTCAATCACGACGACAGAAAGTCAACTTCGACCGAGCAGAAAAGACCGAGAAAACGGAGAACTAGACAAAGGCGAAGGGCGCGTGTTGTGTGGGACGGATCCTGATAAGACATCTTTCCCTCTCTACAGACTTATTTGGTGGAAGCGGATCCCGGTGGCGCGAGGCGGCGAATGTCTGGGACGGCTGGGAATTCCCTCGAATTCGGATACCATTACCGCTCCCGTCAACGAGCGTAGGCGATTTCGGTCCGCGTGAAGATGCCCGTCTGAATCCACGTGCACCCCACCTGGCTGTGATTGAGCACTCGACGATTCATGTCCTCAGGCTTATTATGGCTGGGTTATCCATCCTCCAATCAGACTATCGTGCAGGGATGCTTGTTGCCTGATAGTGCTGCTGATGCAGAAACATTATCGAGCAGTCTCGCCTGAGCTTGTGGGGAGGTGTGAGCCCGGTTGATATTACCTTCGATCAAAATAATCCATTGGTCGGTAGGTGCAGACGGACACAGCAGCGAAGATTCCCGATCCCTGAGGGTTGTGTCCTGTAAGTGTGACAGACCTGAATTACTTCTGAATGGTGAAAGGAATGAATCCTGCCCTTCGACCTTTATGATCATTCTTACCGCCGGAGTGGTTGATCACTTTGAGATCTCACGAAGTTTCCGAGAGAGAAGCATCATCGTCTTACAACAACGTACCGCAGCGTCTGACATTGCTTTGCAAGCACCACGGGTGCGTATGCAAGGCAAGCACGTGCAACGCTTGTGCATTTGGATACGGGTGCTGTTTGGAGGAGCGTGCTGTGCCATTAGCCCCTTGCTCATTGGCAGTTAGTCTACAGAATTGGTTGTGGAGATTATGAATGTTACTCACAGAAGAGCGGTGCAACGGTCAGGTGTACCATTTATCACATGGCATTATTCCAAGGTGTCACTGAATTTAATGACGTGAAGCAAGCGCATATTGATCGCGTTGCGTCTGTACTGACCGAGCAGTGCTGCAGTTTGCTCAATGGCTGTGATTGTGAGACAACAACTGTACCTCAACACGTCGCTGAATCCCAATGCTATCGAGCGACGCCCATGGCGCTCTCAGTGTTTGATTCGGATGTCGTGGAGCCTTCCGAAGTGTTGGCGGAAGCGAATCTCGAAATGGGAGCTAAGCCAACGTTTACGTGCGCGACCATACCTTCTCGAGAGCGCGCCGAAGGACGGCGAGTACATCATGTGGGCCGAGTCGAATGCGATGGTCCCTGCTAACAGTGTCGTGGGAGATCGAACGAACAAAAGCCCTATTATCTCGATGCCTGCGTGGGATTGACCGGACACCGGACGTTAAACACAACTAGTCACATTACGGGAAGCCGCGGCGCGCGAAAATTCACATCCACACTCCTCTTGCCGGCAATTCCTATCCGGATGATGCTCTCTTCCCGCTTTCCGGATGCCTGGTCGGAAGCATCGCTGCTGGTCGGATTTCCATTGTGATCGGCCTTGACCAAGCGGCGGAGTAGCGCCCGCGATGGCCCATTTGAAGATACTTCGGGGTCGTAGTTGCAACAACGTCGACTGCCACGGAATTTCATTCGGTTGGGATGACGCCGGGATCTCGCAATAAGATGGATGTGGAATACCAGCTTCTACGAGAATACTATGGTACAAGGGTCGTTCCAATACACCGGAAAAGTTAGCCGGCCAATGAGTGGCAACGGTTTTAATAGAAGTGGACCACCGCATTCCATGATTTGCGGTCAGAACGGCCACTGTTGTCAATACCATTCGAATCGACATGGTTTTATAACATAGGTTTCTTCTACGAAGAAAAGACCGAGTGATTCTATCGTCCATGTACGAACACGCGGAAGGCATTCGGGCTTGGACGCCGCCCTCAGCGTCACCTGTAACGAGCATAATACCTACATGCAACGCGCAGGCATGCCAAGGGGGTCAGGTCGCCGTCCTGCAATAAGTCGGCGCTTAGATCCTGACCGATACGTGCTGGTGCATGTTCCGGCGAGCCAGTAATTTTCCAATGTGCGCCAGAGCCGTCATGACGACTACGGGGGGCAGGGTGGACGGGGTCGGCCGTCGGCTGCGATTTGGCAGACTCACCGAATTGTCCACGCTATCCTGCTGGGGGCACGAGCCTTGGCCACTCACCTAGTCAGGACAGGCTCCTGCATGGCTCGCGGAGGGAGGGATCATCCTTCGGCATTGTCTGAAGTTTTTAACCACGTCCGGACGACGATAAACAAGCCATTGTTCTCGTTGTAGTGGCCAGATCAGGCCACCTTGATGTATTTCCGAAGCTTTAAACTACAAGCTTCCGGTGTCTCGAAGTCACATTGCATTGACTTGGGATTTCTGACCAACAAGAACGAAGATTCTGCTTTAGGAATTCCAGGCCTGTTCCAATCCTGGTCCATGAGATGTTATCAATCATTCGAACCAATTGTCGTCTTCGATTCTCACCAATTCAGTGCTTTGATGAATTGGATAATTAGCATGCACGTTCTCTGATGGTTTGTTTTGGAGCGTCAGTCCACGCGTTATAGTACCTCTTAGGGGCCTCCTCGAATACGCTAATTCACGCAGGGAATTTTTCTCAGGGGCCTCGGTAGCGAGTTTCTGCTCCCCCTCCCCTTTCTCTACCTCTTTCTTCTGCAGAATGGCGCAGTGAGATAGGCAACCCATAAGCGAAAATCTCTGATCTTCGTCAGCTTTCGCGAGTCATGTTATTACTCATATATACAGCCCTGGCTTGTTGCATGGCAGCTTTGAAGGAAGGGAAAGTTGAATCTTTTCACCATGAACTGACTAACCGACTGCTTCCGCGCTAATTGTGATTATATCGATGATATTATAATCCACCACAACTATAGGGATGGATTCTATTATGCATGATTTAATCTTATCACGCGGTATATTCGCGATCGCATATTACGTTCAGTAAGCCAGTTGACGTACTGTACCATCCAGAAGGGCCTCCAATTCTCTCCAAGTTGGAGACTTATCCGCCGACTACACTACACCCAGCCTATTGCTTCCAAGCTACTATCACTTAGTATAAGTTAGAGTCTCCTGGTAGGCCATAGTCTGCTATACCCTGCGGTCATAGACTAATACGCTCACGTTTATCCGGGTCCTCTTCACCCGCTGTCAAAATTATGCATTGCGTACTCGATTCTGTCTTTGCTTGTCCTATTTAAAACAATGTGGAAAATGGATGTTTAAACAATGTTTTTTTTTACTTTCTCTCGGAAAGGAAAAGACACTGTACTGAACCAGGGACAGTTCTTCCCCCCCGGGCCCGCCCCCACTGTTCCCGATAGGGCCGTACGTACGTAAGGGATTCGGACGCTCGATGTAGTCTATCCGAGAAGTCCATGCGACAAGCGACAGTTTGCTCCAGCCTCTAGGCCGAAATCCTGGTCTTTGAAGTCAGTCAGTGACAGCGTACAGTATAGTCTCTAAGGAATTATTGTGCATAAGTCAGTACAGTACAGACGTACGTAAGTAGATAAACCAATCCACTGCCCCGACCGACCGACTGACTACATACCTACGTATCAGGCTTCACAGCCCCTTAACCCTCCCAAGGTAGTTTTGTGCGCAAGAGGGGAGGGGAGGAGAGGATCTACCGCCACAACGTATAATTCTTGATATCATTAAAGTCGAGCCCTACAGTATCAGACACATAGATAAAAGGTACAGTACAGTACATACAAAACAATCGTGGATAGGAAGGTCCGTTGATTGGTGCAGGGGCATTGGACGGCCAACATAAGCACCTTATCTGCGAGGAGGTCCGTTTGCCTACCGAGTTATGTGTATCTGTTTGACAGGCCTTTTGGCTTCCGCAAGTAGCAGTATGCGGACTCCGGATTCGCCGAGTAGTCTACCACATATTACGACTACCTGACTACCAGTAGTATAGCGGGCTCAATAAGTATGCCCCAAACTCATCATACTATGCATGTCTGGGGAGAATGTGACGAACCCTCCATGACTTATGGCCCCATCATATAGCTATAACAAGAGTAACATCAACCCTCGTGCATCCCCTCGGTCCACTAGGTTGGGTAGTTCCTACAACAGGGAGGCCTTGACGATCTCGCTTGGCTTGTACTCGGTCATAACCACCGCACTGTATACCTACCTATGCGACTGGCGTTCGTTTTGATGCACCGATGTACGCACTTCCCCTTGGGGCTTAATGTGAGTTTTATTGACAGGATCTCCAAGGATTTCGTTTATGGCCATGGTGTGAGAGGTAAAGTACAGTACTTACCCTCTTCGGACCCGGCACCAGTTCTCCAACATTACTGCTGCCGCAATCCGTCTGTGGGGAGGTGTGTACTCATATCAAGCATAATGATTACCTATGGTCCCGTGACCCAGATCGCTCGTATAACAAGTCGTATCCGCACAGCATTCCTCTTATAGTAAGCAAGTCCGTCAGCTCTACCAAGATCAATAGGGCTTTCAGGTACCCGACGGTCAAACAGCCACCCCGAAACAAGCTGGCTCACCTTGCGAGATTTACCGTCAGCAATCTCAAATTAGCCAGCAACCGAGTATGCGGTCTTTCCAGCCGAGACAAGAATTAGTGCTGAGCAAAGCGCCTAAACTAGTCATCCATAGCGTGGCAGAATTTGCCGCAGGAATTTCTTGGCGATCAGCATGCCTACGTGTTGTTTCTTGACTTTGGTAAGACACACCTACCCTTGTTTGAGGGGCACGCGGCCGATGGCGATCTGGAACAAGAGACAAATGACATTACCCCCCAATTTCCGCCGGTAATTGCGAGTTTGACACCGCAACTACCGTGTTCAGGGACCCAAACTGCATGGATCATCCCCTTTCGAGGGATGGGTTGGTGGCCGGCAGAGGCCGGGTTCCAGACAATAATCAATGGCGGGTTTCAAGCCTTCTCCACTTCGAAGCCCTTGTCATCAAGCAAACAATGAACAGGCGGATTGCGGAGCGATGAGGTCATACTGGCATGGGGCCGTTGTTTTCTAATCCGATTCTCACGGACGGTACTGGTGGAAAAGAAGAAAAAAAAAAAAGTGATGGGCGGCAGACAAAGAAGCAATCAAATATGCATCAATCGATAGGGTCCCACCTCGATCCTCGATCCAGCCGTTGTTGTGTATCATCTCCCGAAGGGTTGGCGTCGGAAGCAACTCCGTGGTGCTACACGGTAATCTAGTGGGGGAAAACTGGGCCGCCGGGGCAGGGCATGGTGACTGACTCGATGATGCAGCTGGCCTATCTCTGTCGCTTAATGTCGAGCATATGTGTTCGCACATTGGTGGAGACTTGCCGATCGTAGTAATATTTTTTTTTCTCATCCAAGAACGGGAAAAAGTGCATGGATGCGCCACGGAGATGCAAAGAAATCGATTTAATTTCTCACGAGGACAATCTGGAATCGAGAGGTCAAAAACGTCATTCCGGCTCAAAGAGATGATGATTAGAGTGATCGACGACTCATCCACGGCCAATTGAAACCAGATTGGACTAATCTGACCGTCGACTGGTTGAATGTCGTTCCTCGGTTTGCTGGAAATATCCGCTCCAACCGGTTTTCCTTGACCTGGGAGGAAAAAGATCAGACTCTCAGTCGAACAAATAAAAAAAATAAATGGATGTTCAGCAGAAGCAAGGTCGGCGACACACGTATCTTACCGTCTCGCTAACCTGCCGTACTTCTCTGACTGAGTTATGCATGCTGTATGTATATTGTGGATTGGTTCACAAAGGGGTTGGGCCGGTGATGCTCACTACTCCGTTCTTCATCGTAAGCCTGCAGCCCGAAGGGGTGGGGACTCCATCAGTTTGCCCTGCAGGAATGCACTATCGGTCCGAATGTGGGTTGAGTGGGAACCGTTCTGAATGTTGGCCTAGGAAGTAATCAATGTATCTTTAAGGGCTCTCACAACCTCGAAACAAACCACGGAGAGGAAAATCAAGAAAACGCGAAAGAAAAGCACAAGACAGGCCCAACTTTGATTTGTTGCTGAAACTGAACAATCAGCGTGCCCAATGACTTGACAAATAATGTGATAGGCACCAGGCGGGGGAAAAGATCGTGGTCGTCGTTGGCTTTGCACGCCTATCAATGGCTGCCATCGACGCATTCCTCCCTCGTCCCCGCTCCGAGGAAAAACATCACACAAGGAAAGAGAAGAACAAAGACAAAGAAAACATGGCCTTGAAAGCAATAGTAAAATGAATAAGGAAAAAGTGGAAAGAAAAATCAGTAAGAAAGGTATACTGCTGACCGGATGGCAGTTTAGTAGTCAATAGACAAACCGGTAGATTAGCAGGGTATCCACCGTCTCATGCAATACCGGATGATTAAGGTAGCTAGTCGCAACCTGTGTGCGTGTCATTAGATGTGTAACCGCGCTCTGTGTCGAGTTTCAGCATGAGGAACTCTGCATCGCATACCGATGCACAGCAACGTCAGGTGGTGTTCCGAGTGACAGGCAGTATGGTCGCCATAGGAGGGAGCCCATGAATGCCTACGTCGAACGGGAAATACTTCTCCGGTTGGCTGGGGAGGGTTCGGGATTCACTGCACTGGGCAAAAGGTATTGATTGCTGCATCGCTTGATCCTGTTTCTCCCGCTCGAGATCCCGTCTACAATGGTCCGTCTTCATTTTCTCTTTTCTTTTGTTGATTTCTTTGCTTTTGTGGGCCTTTGGCCTTTCTCAATTTTCGTTTTCGGATTCTCGTCCTTCCAGTAGACCTTCTTCGAGAGTTCACTCCTCCTACTTCATTGATTGGTACTAACAAGGGGCTCTCAAAGAGCCCTGCCAGGAGCTCAAACTGGTGCGACCCTCGAATCTCCAAGGGTTGTGCTGCGGTGCTGGAAATCACCCCCGGCCGCTGGTCCAAGAGTACTTGTCAAACCCGTTGCAGGGCCCTGGCTTGGTTTCGGCCGGTCGCTGACGACGCGGAAGAACAAGAGGAGATGGAGCACAGACTTCATCGGAGGGCCCCATAGAGGGCGGCAGTAGAATAGGTGTCAGTAATTAAAATCCGACTAAGAATCTCTAGCGTTGGAGAGTGTCCCCGGGACACCTCGCGAGCCATTATGCCGCCGTAGTGCGGGAGAGGGTCAAGGCGGACCTTGTGTAGCGTTAGCCCAGCACTGGCCTGTTATGTCCATCTGTTGTTTATTCGGATGGAATTCGCCATGGCGGATGGATGGAAGGTTGGGAGCTGCCATGTTCTCCTCTGATGGAAAAAGCCGGAAAGTGGATTTCCGGAGAATAGAACATGTGATGCTGCTTGTTTTTTTTATCGGGAGGATGAAAAAAGGGAAGTAGTCGTGATGGTGCCATTCTCTTTCAAGCGAGATTTGACGTCCGCGAAAAAAAATACTCTAGAAGGAAGAAAAGGAAATTAAAATGGATTTTGCTCTTGACTTTGCGGCAGTAGGCAAACCCCAAATAGCAAAGGTAGCTAGCTCTCCATTGTAGATAGTAACGATGGTATGCAGAACGCGATTCTAGACTGCTCCTTCTAAAACTCCCCTCAGCGCCATGCAAGTGAATATCAAGGAGACCAAAAGAAATAGACACGGTTTCGTCGCAGGAAGATGAACCAGGAGGCAGCAGAATGAGAAGGAAGAAAGAATATGAAAGAGGACAAGAAGAAGAAGAAGGAGATGGAGATGGAGATGAGAAAGCAGGGATGGCAGTGCAGCAGTGGGTGACGGAAGAGAAGACAAAGAGATTGCGGGATGTTTGAACGAGGAAGGCGCCGTTGTTGGCGCGTTAACGTCAGGTAGTGAGTGGTAGTAAGTGGTAGCTGGAGGAAGTCGTAAAGTCCGTCGCCCGGCGGGTGGGCGTAGCTAAACAACTTGAGAGCCTGGAGGGTATAACAGTTTCCCATAAGGAAGCTTCTTCCCAATGCCGGATCATGGAATCTTATCATCCCTTCCGCTCCTGTCAAATGGCAGACAATTTCTCCCTTCTTCCTAGGTTCTGGTAACGAGGGAAACCCCCCTCCCCCCCCCAACAAAACTCTTATTGTTACCACTCATATGCCTTCCTTGATGCACAAGGTGCATTTTTCCGGCAGGACAATTATTCTTTCATGAGGTGCTTTGCCACATCGTGAGTTATCCTTGATGCCCTCCACCTCTGTTTTCAAGAAGTGGTTGTGGGGGGCGCGACAGGAGGTGGAAATGTAGAAGTTTTTATAGTAGTTGCACATGGCTGTCAGATCTTTAAACTCAACCAGGCTGAGTAGGAGAGCAATCGCAGTGACAGCGAATATGAGTGGCCAGCTGAGGTCCGAGCTCACAAGTTCGGTGGTTAGGAATAAGAGATTGAGATTGAGAGTGAGATTGAGAGTGAAATGACCCAGGATGTTGATTCAATCGAAAGGTAAAGAGGATGATATAGTTGGGTTGCAGCAAAGAGCAGGGTAACAAGCAGACTCAACGATTCGATAGACTTCTTGCTCGGAGCAAGGTTGAGAAAGCTTTTGTTCATGGTTGAGGGCGTTCCAGACCAGATATAATATATTCTCGTTAAGGAAGTGGTGGTGATGGTGATGGTGGGTTGAGGGGTGGTTGTTTGCCTACTACCAGCATCGGCCATGGCCCATCACAAGCCGGCTGTAGGTAGTAGCAACAGGGGACAAGCAACCGCCTTACAATTGAATTTTCTTTTTCCGCCGGTTTTAATTTACTATATTTCCATCCATTTCCAGATTTGAATTTCCTTCATGGGGGTGGCCTTATCCGGTCTATTTGCACTCCTTGATAGTAATGTATCATTTCCGCGTTGTTTTCTCTCAGAGTTGCGGGTTGGCTGTAGTCACTTCTTGTAGAGACGTCTGTGAATATGATTGTGTCTCTTCTCGCCTCTCCTGGAGCTCCTTCCCTCATAATATTCCTTTCCAGTCCTTTGCCCTGTCTATGCGGAGAATCGAGTTGCAATGTACCAACGGTTTGGCCCCCTCCCCCATGATTGAATCGAGATCCTTAGTCGAGCTGCCTGTTCGATGTCGGACCCGCTCTGCAGGTTGCAGGACTTTTCCTACGTCGTTTGGCAAATACGGCCACAGGAGAAGAAAAGAGAAAATCGAAGAAAAAAAGAGAAGAAAAAGCAAAAGTCTAAACCCCAAAAAGTCAAGGCGAAAATGGCCGAAAAGAAGGTGGTTCCCCGAGGCGCGGCGGGTCTTGCTACATGAGAAATACGTACATCCGCCGGGGGCGGCCTAACGGCCAGAGGAACGGCGGATAGCGTTCCACAGCGATGCGAAGCCCCATCAGCGTCGGACTGATCGGGTCGGGCAATGGGTGATCGACGCGGTCCCTCGCAGCCGTTGTTGCTTTTTCTCGCACGTGGCGCTAACCAGGATCCTCATGCATGGGCAATGGCGAGCCCTCAACCATAAACTGCTGTGAGCATCATGCATTTCAATTTGTGTTCCTGTCCATAGCACTCAAAGTGGTTTAATACTGGCATTTTGCTTCCACTTTGGTCGAGTTGAATTATTTCCAGGAGCTGATCTAAGTAGCTTTCCACAGGTCCATTGGGCGAATCCAGGCTCGGGTCGGTCTAGTGCAGGCCCAATATATGATATGGGGAAGGTCGTAAGTTGACCATATCAAGTGAGCTTCATTGGGTGATGCGAATGCAAGTCCACCATGATCACCGCATGCTTGCCCCGGCCCAGTTTCCGCACAGCCTATGTTCACTGTGGACCCCGACTGGTGAGATTTTCTGCAGTTCGGTCAGGGCCGACAATGCCCTAACTATGAATGAACCTATGCAGCCACTAACTCTATTTGTGGGACCAATCATGTCGAGATTGTAGTCGCAGGCTGATGACTGACCTTAATCTAGGGTCCAGAGTAGCAGCGAGACCGCCAGTGACAGCAACCCACGGGGTGGATATTCATCTGCAGGTGCCAGGAAGGAATTGCAGGTGTGGCTAGACTGGCTGGCAGGAAGTCCGATGGGGCCTGAGCTCCGACCGACCGCTGTCGCGGAGGTTAGGGCCCGAGCAGACTAAATCTAGTCTAGATTGTCACGGAGGGGCAGAGTGGACAATTGAGTAGTCTGTACTTGACGGCAATCTATCTCGTATTAGGAAAGAGGGAGGGAGATGCTGCAAATGGTACCATATGTCTGTTATATGGCGGTGGTGATGGTGGATGCAATGGTCTCGGCCCCGTCCCGACCGTCGCGCTCCAACACTACCAAAGCAGTTAGCAGGCAGGTAAATAGATTGCTACCGGTAAACACAGACGGGGTAGCCTCAATCTATTGTTCGGCCGAGGGAGACACTTGGTCTGCGCTCTGCACTGTAGCAGCTACCATGCCTTTCTTTCTGTCTTTCTTTTTTTAATCCCCTCTCTCTCTTTTCACTTTGCTACCATTTCATATGATGTGGGTAACAGATTGACCACACACAAGTGGAGGCGATGACCAGGGCAACGTATCTGGTTTCACAATCACTAATAATTCCTGCAGTGGGAGCTCAAGCATAGGTAGATGTTCCTATACACCACCCTCCCAAAGAAGGAGTGAGCGTGATTGGGAACGACGATCTCATAGCAAAGACCAGGGGCCGAAGCAAACAAATCCACAGAGGAGGAGGGCAGGAAGGGAGGAGAAGGCGGGTTTGAAAGAGAAAGAAAGGGGGGTCATGGCGGCATTTTCATCTGCCGAGTTGAGGCGATGGGGATGGAGCAGCCACAGGGTGACAGGATACTGAGTGGATAGGTACATACTCGACGAGATAGGTTGGTTGGTTCATCTGCGAGTCAGAACCACAACCGTTAGAGAATTTAGCCCGCTCGGCATTCGCCGAGTAGGAGAGGAGCTAAAGGCACGGGTGGGGCTGAAGCGGGGGAAAGAAGGAGTCGATCGGAGGGGGAGTTTCGCATTTCTTTGTTTCGTTCTTTATCGACACTCTTTGTACTAACTAGTGCTTGTTTGCTTTCCACTGCCCAGAGCTCAGGGAGATCAAGCCATTGTCCTTACAGGGGTAAACCCGGCAGGTAGTGCTGGTGAAGCATCAATGGCAAAAAGTACTGTACTGGTCTGTGCTGCACGTTGCAACCATCAACACTTTTCAAAAGTAAAGTACAGTCAGGATGTCGTACACATTCAGACTGGCCCGGTTCGAATCGAGCTCGCCGTATGGTTGACTACCTAGGTAGCTTATGCATGATGGGTAGTTAGTCGCTGCTGAAGTATAGCCGCTCACTGTTGCTTACTTGCGGCCAGCGCATGGGCAGGGTCGCTAGTAAAGTGCATTTTAGCGGCACTGCTTGCCACCTAGATTTTGGACAAGATAGATCAAGGGTTAGTTTAATCAATGTTGCCCTCTCGGGCTGAGGCTTCTCAAAGAACCTGCCTATTTCAGGTAAGCTCAGGCCGGCCTAGTCCTTAATACATACACAGGGTAGTTTTTGAGAAAGGGACTGCAGTTCCGAGTAGTGTGCTGGACTTTTAGAGATGTTCTGTAGAAATGAATTCATTAGGTATTCCATGTGAGAAACGATTGCTTGTAAGGTCGACCACAATGTTTTCCCCCTGAAACAAATTCTCTTTGAACGTCGGCATTGACTTTATTCTGTCTCGGACTATACTCGGAATTAACCCTACCGCCCAAAATTTGGAACTCAGTGGGCGATCGAGTGATCGAGTCTGAAACCGGCTCTTTACGTCATGTCCTCCTGTTCGTGGTCGAGATAGGTGACTACCTACTAAGTTACTCAGAGAACCCGCTGACTCAGGCCAGCCATCGATTCATGGTCAGTCACTAGATCTCGATTTCGTTCCTCCACGAAACTTCTACCCTGACTGCAAACTGCCTCATTCCATCCGCCGAGAGGACCCGCCGTATCGGTACGGTAACTGACTAAATGCCACCCAGGTCACGTGCGACATTTCTCATGAGGGTTGATCAACCGCTGAAGTAAACGGACTCCCCTACTCTAGTGAATGGTGGTCTGATGAGGACATGAGTAGGGACCGTAGTGTTCGAAGATGGGAACTTCTCCTCCCGACAAAAGTTTTGGTTGTTAATCAGGAATAAAACCATCCAAACCAGTTTCCTTTAGTCCGTATGGTGGACCCGGACTCGACGCACGGCCGGGTCTTTGGAAAGGGGAAGGTCCACCGTCCATGGATGGATCGAATGTTATCAGTCCGTTCCTATGGAACGTATAATCACTTTATTGCAATACTTCCCGGGGCACGCGCAATTGGCTGTGCCAGATGTAAGCCACGAATCTTCATTTCGTGTGCACAAATCTGCTGTCTGGCCCCCGCCTGCGTTGTCAGCCTGGATGTGATCGGACCCTTCTTCCACTAGCTCCAAACCCACGCCTTTCAAGCGTGCGTGTTATTGTTGCCCGGGTAAGCGAAAAACTTGATCTCGGAATTTAGTGGAGCAACGGGACAATATCGGATGCAGAAGCAGTTCCATTGAAATCACTTCCAGGCCGTGGACAATAGCAATCTGTACGAAGTGTTGGCAACCAGAGGAAAGTAAAGAAAAATGGGTTGGGTGAGATAGGGGTTGGAGGAAGAAGAGGGACTTCCCTCACTGGGCTCCCCCCTCCTCAACCACTGAAGCTTTTAGTCCACAACCACCACATCGTCGCCGTCCATGAATCCACCATCGGAATTCTCCTGGAGGGTGCCACTCTTGGGCTGCGGCATGTCTCCATCCACCTCCTCAATTGGTCCTGTAGCCGTGGCGTACCAGCCCCGGTCGACTGACTCCACTAGCGCTCTGCTTGCCTCGCGAATGAGTGAAGCGTAGCCCGGGTTTTCAGTGTGCAAGAACATGCTGGTATGAGCTTTGATTTCATCTGCAGCTTTATCATTCACGGCTCTAGCCCATCGGAGACCTGGCACCGGAACCTCCGGACCTTGGCTTCCCGCTGGAAGCGAACAGAAAGTGCGGTCCTTTGAGCGTATGATCTTTTGGCTGAACGACGTATTGCTACGATTTGTGTTCTCTACCAGTGAGCTCGCATTCTTGCCCAAGCACGTGTAGAAATTGACGCAGGCAATCCCGCGGTCCTTTTGCACTTCCGAGATCAACGCCAGGCGCTGCCGCAAATCGGAAGAGCGTGCCAGGCAGCCAACAAAAACCAGGTGGGATGACACCCAGCCCCAGCCATCGGTAAGTCGCTGACGCTGCGAATACACTGCTGCCGCCCCGCCGGCCGCCAAAGCGCCTGCTCCGGCAAACATCGCGTACCGACCCCACCGTTGCCAGGACGGCGTGGCAGCGGCGTCGTTGGTCGATGCAGTCGGTAGAGATTCCTTAGGCTCCCCTGAGCGATCGGACGATGTTGTCTCCCCTGAAGAATTGTTGCTCCCTCCGATTCCGAACAGGCCAGCCACTTCAGACAATGCGGTATATGCGGTGGTGGCATTTCGAAACTGTCCCTCGGCCCCGTACGAAACCACCCCGGGCGCAATTCCCAAGAACGGCGTGTCGAATGCGAGAACCCCTTGAATATGCGGAAACATAAATGAGCTGGTTCCGATGGAAGTGTCCGAATCTGTGCAAGAGCCGGGTGCGTTGGGCTGCGTTGAGACATTGACGGCGGGCTTGGGAGGCAGAGGCTGCTCGGAAGCCAGTAGCAGGAGTGTCTCCGCCGCCACAATCCCACCCATGGAGTGTCCGACTAGAAACACATGGACCGAAGGATCCACGGTGGGCGAAGCTGTTCGGTTCACGACTTCCAGGTCGATGACTGTATTCTGCAGCCTGCACCGACGGCTGTGGCTTAGTGGTACGTTCAACCAGCCAAAATTGGGTTTACATGAAATAAGACGCAACGAACCATTCCCGAAATGTGCTCACACATTCTCTCAGGTCGCCTCGAGTTTCGTACTTTGGGTAGACCGCAGTTGTCACTCGTACGGCAGGAAGAGCACGGCTGACCACCGTGCAAAAATGCCTAGGGAAGTCTCCGAATGTATCATCGCCTCCCTGCGAGCATTAGCAACACCAACAGGCATGGGTTTGCGACCGACACAATTCGTGCGCGCAAGACAGGTGAAGCGTGGAGGATCGCATATTCAAGAGCGGACCGTACCTTGAAGCCGTGGATGAACACGATAAGCAGTGTCTTCTTCATTACGCTGAATGAGGCTAGACGGAAGGATACATGATGGTAGTGCAAGTCAAGCAAGTCTGAAAAGGAGGAGATATGAGTGAGTGATTGCGAGGATGGTTGAGCAGTGAGCAATCTACCAGACTACGGATAAGGTGTCAGTCTGCGGGAAAAAAAACCCACGACGTCATCGAGCAACTGATGCACGTGATATGGGTCCATTGCAGCAGCACATTCACGTGGCTTCCTGACTGTCTCATTGCCTTGCTGCCTCGAAGTCTTGTCCGGTACCGTCATCGAGTCGAGGCATTCTCTAACTTGGACTCGAATAGCTGAGAGGTGAAACCGTGCGACAGAACAGTCATACGATCTGTGCCTTACCGATGGTTATCCAACGGCAAATCCTGGGTCTATGTAAGGTTCTTGAGGCTTGCGCCAGCCCACGCCCTGGATCTCGATCTCGATCTCGATTTCTTTCGATTCTTTCGATCAGTGCCACTCAAGGCCATCTGTGCCCGCTTCACCAGATCAGGCTAAGAGTCCAAAGCGGGTCGTATATTCAGGCACAACATTCTTGCAACCTCTAGGAGCTGATACTGGATAGATTCACCACGTGTAGATGCCAGTAGTGCAGTCTGGCCAACCCCTGTGTATTCACCCGTAGGCTCTGGTAATCATAAACTTTAGTACTGTTTCATCCACTCTGTTAATTACGCAGAGCAATCCATTCAATGTATGAGACTGCTATATTACAATCAACCCTGTGAACAACGGAATGCATCTCAAATCAATGGCAGCATCATTGAAGACTTAGCCTTCCTCTAAATATCCTCCCTTGATCATCAGCCTGACACGCTCAAAAACCTATGATAGTTGATATATACATATGACCCAGGCTTTGTCCCCGTAGAAAGTCTGGGGAAGCGCCTACCTCGTCTAACTCATTCAACTCTATGTACTACAATTGAACATCTATGCCATAGTAATGATATCCACGACATCACCACACTCTTGTGGCAGACTTTCGGCTGCCATACTCCTTCATCAAGACCTTGGCCAGGACCATCGATACTCGTCAAATCACAACCTTATACCCCCGCCTATATGGCCGTCAACACGTCCACTGATTTCTGTCGCTCGGACACTCCCACCAGGGTGCCTGCTTGCAATAGCGATTCTCCCGAGATCACCCACGGGGCGGCTTGAGGTCAGGAAAGACTTACCTAGGTCAAACAATGGCAAAAGTTCTCCGCGATCGAAGTCAGTCGACACCCTTAGCGCTTAGAAGTGCTTGGGTAGCCCCCGGCGGTATCACATCCAATCTTACGGCAGCTTGGGGGTGGAATACTCACCATTATGATATGCTGCTCTTCTCTTTCCCAGAGTCCCTTTAGATCTTCTTCTCTCCTACAACTCCCTTGATTCTCTTTGAACCCATTTCTGCAGAGAAACAATCGAGTCAAGCAAATACCCACAAAAACCATCGAGTAGAGCAAATATCCAAGCTCTTCCAAATGTTCAAGCTCCTCCACACGCTCCTCAAAACTTCAATCAAAACCTCATTCTTATAAGATGAATCGCAAGGTTCTCAAAGCTCTAATCTCAAAGCGTCGCCTTCATCGCTTCAAATTTTACTGCTTGCTTACGTCTGTAGAATTCGGAGCATTCGACTAGAGCCGAGATAACTTTCTTATCCGACGCATTCAGAAAAGACAGGGGCATATCAATGATATATCGACTGCCATTATACTCCAGTTCATAGCAAATCTCCAGTCCAGACATGGCTCATATGACTTACATGGCTTAGCTACTACAGCGTCTTGAACGTTGATGGCTATGTCGAGCTAATTTCTCAATCAAATCAGGGTCCGCCCTTTGACTCGTCACCCACCCCGAGTGCTTCATACCATACCCAGCATACGGGACCCTAGTAGCATTCGCCTCCGTGCTATTGTCTGATCTGGCTTACCCCTGGAAGACACGGACTCTTTTCTACTACAAAGCTCTATGTACACTGCCAGTCACGGAGAGATTTAGTCATGAGTATACGGTATCGACTCCCAAACTTGTGGCCTTTTGACCTTGCTCGACCGTTCACCCCCGTGGTCTTTCGACTTTCGCGAGATCATGGTACACCGAGGATCGACCGATGAGTTTCCCGTGGAAGAGAATTAGGTATAGGGGATAAAGGGAACTATATTCGAAGATAACCCTTCTAAACGAGAAATAGCAGATCAAGGAACATGGCATACTGGAAAGATAGTGTCAAAAGCTCAGTTCAGCCTAGAATAATAGTTGGCCCGGCATTGAGTGCCTCGGGCAGCCGATGCCAGCTATTCCTGTACAACACATACAGAACGTGCTTAAATAGGGGTGTTCCTACGGAAACATCTCTCTTTTAATTTTAAGAACCTTGCGTAGGCATCATGAGATGCATGCTCTTTCGAACCCCTCACATTCCCATACTGGCTCGTCTGCCTCTTGGCGTCCAGTCTTACAAGGAATATCGTTGCAGCTCATCACGAGAATGTTTAACTGAGTCCGATAGGTGCTTCAAATGCCCTCCGCTAAAAGCCAGGACCATGATGAATCCTGAGAAGATAAATGTCACCCCGACTAGTGTCTATAGATCAGAATATGACGCATTGAGAAAGTGAGCAAGGTGGGATGTATGGGCACTGACATATGATTGAAAGAACCTATCTAGCGGGGTAGGCGAAATTACCATCTTCATGAGGAAACTTGGAGATATTCAATGCGAAGAAGCTCGTTAAGAAGGAGGCCGGTAGCTGTATTGAAAGTTATTAGTATTTTGACATGCTTGCCCAAGAGGAATCACACGCACGAAGATGGTGACGGTGGTGAAGACCATGATGCTATCACCCTGGCTGCAGGTAGCCTGGGAATCTATAATTGTCGCTTCCTTCTGCTTCTGCTCCATCGGCCCATTAATCGGACTGTGGGCAGTGTTAACATCTTCAATCATGCGTTCAATACTAGCTTCCTGTTCTGCTGGCGTGATAAGTTGGTTCTTCTTGACCGTCGCGTTCTCTCTCCATAGTCGATCGACGAGCATCTGATCCCGGGTCACAGATTGTAATATCTTGAGCTCCTCCAGCACGGCATTGAGCTCTTGCAGAATATCCATCACCCTGGAGATATTTTGGTGGGGAAGCTCCTTGTCGGTTGCAAAGGAAGCTCCGTGCCGCCACCAATGCTTCAGAATCTTGGGGGCGTTTTTTTGCGAAATGGAAAAGGTCCTAAGCAGTAAGATGATGCTTTCTTTGAAAATAAGCAAAGGACGTTAAAACCACTGTGATAAAGCCATATCCAATTGGATTCCGGGGTTTGCTCGTACTTTCCTGTCCTCCAGATTGACGACCCAATGAATGAAATCGCGGAAGAGCTTTTCTCGTTTGCCACGCTTAAGAATCATTCAGTCGGATCTATTTATGCCAATAGTGGAGCGATACCTACCATGAGGCCAAGATATTGATGGAAAATATGGGAAACTGATCACTGAATGCCAGTGCTACTCTGGATCTCTTCGGAACTAAACAGACTTATACTTGTGTCGATCAGAGCGCGCGCCAGCAGTTCAATGGATAAGGTTGAGCCCGTCCCGTATCTGTTGAGATAGTCCAGTGCCAGCCCCGGCAAAATTGTTTCGCTTTCCTCTGTGGCTTTCGTTACTGCACGAACGACTCTTCGCCTTCTGTCTACAAAGAACCGTCGCCTCCCCGTGTTCTCTAGAATGGACCGTGATTATTAGATATTTTGAAGCTGGGGCGTTCTGAAAAAGTGGCTTGTTTCACTGGTTCCTTCTCGGGCGAGGCTGTTTTATAGTAGAATCACTATTCCGGGCAATAGAGAAGGGAAAACGCTCCTGGGCATCACGTAACGTCTAGAGTGCTTGTGTGTTCACTTACATTCTTTACAATAGTTTGAAAAGGAAGAATGATTTGAACGTGGAACCGTTAACCTCACTATAGCGTCAAATGTCTTAAGACATGGCCTTCAAGAATGATTTAATAAGCACCACAACACTTGAAGCAAGATTCCTGAAGTTCATTTTCAGAAACATCACTTCAAATCCATATCAGGTTAACGCATTTTGATAATTGCATACGTGTACAAGTTGAGGGGTTCTGTTAGTGAATCTGTGACAGATTTAAGAATAACACAATAAACGGTTCAACAGTTTCCCTTTGGCAATTGGAAAGACTAAATTCTGCTGTTGTTGCAAATATAGTTATGAATCGCCGCTGAATTCAGTCATATGTCCACATCAATAGTTCTCCATGATAAGTTGAGTCTTGGCCGAGTCTTCAGCAAGAAAGCAATTTGCACTCTGCAGCAATTCCATTAACTTAATCTTCTTTTTCGACGCTGTTTCGCGACTCTCCGTCTTGAATGAAGCCTCGACGATATCACGGCCTGCGCGGTCCCGGATGGGCCATACCTCAAGATACAGCCGCATCCCTTCCCACGAGCCAACATAGCGTTTGACAGGAACGGGACCGAAGATGCGAGAATCTCCTAATGTGCGAGTACCCCACCTGTCAGAATTCCAGTTGTCGAACTCTAATGGCGCATTTTCGATCAAAATCTGGCGCGATTCTGCTTCCTTTGGTAGCGCCGTGCCGTCCTCTTGTATCTTGTAGCTAATCGACAAGGTAAAGCTCTCATAACCCCATTCAATCTGCGCCTCCCATCTGCCGTTTGCGCCAAATTCAAAACCCTGATTGCTTGCCTCATTCAGGGTAGCATCGATTTGCTGCTCACTCGCGATAGCATACCGCTTCTTGTAAGTCAGCTCGAAGGCGGGACCCCCCTCTGTATAGCGAATGCGGGCGCTCCAGCCAGCATTGTAGAGCTCGAGGCTGGTCTTGTCGAGAAACTGGACATTGAGCTTCCGCGGCTCTTTCTTCAGCCCCAAGTCTGACTGGACGGAGCTCTTAAGCTTGGAGTCGGGAGTGAGGACCTTTTTGGGGTCGAGCAAGAGTCGCACCTCGATTTCGGAATCCATTTGTGGCACTTTCCGGCAGGGCGGCGAAACTTATACTATCTTCGCTATCGTGATATATATTCCCAGTAACTTATTCTACCATGTTGATGACTGCTCTAAATTTTTGAATCGGGATATAAGGTAGAGGTGCGCCTTTATCAGGGTTATGCTTTTGGTCTAGAACCGATGTTCTTTCGGTAGCGAAGTCAACCGCTTTCACCTGAGCTGAGGGGGATCTGAAGCCAAATACGAGCTCGAACCCGTGGCCTACTAAGTTAATATCGAGAGATCACGGATACTATCAATAGAACGCGAAGGAATATATGACTAGGGCCCGTGTCGTAACTGTGCCTAGAATGATATTGAGTTCTAATTCTTTCAAGCAGCTCGAGTCGATCTGTCATGCGGACCGAACCTGCTTACCAAACCGCAAACAGCAATAGCATCGGAGATAATTTTACCTGATTGGTGCCATACTCGTTTTCCTCGTATGACTAGCGAAGCTGAGGACCAGATAAAGTTCCAAGCCTGGGATCGACTGTCCAGTTCTTGCCAAGTTATAATCGAGGGCCGTCGGTTACGACCAGCGGGCTACATGGCCCCGACATCCAGAAGCGATGACAACCATACCTTAGAATACCGTACGATGCCTTTCTACTTAAGCTCTCTGTACATGAAATGCGGATTAAGCAGTATGGAAGTGTATGCCTCATTTCATCTCCAGCAATTGATTACGCCATATTATTATTTCGGCGATCGCGCGCTGCAATTACAGCCAGATCGTATATTCTTTCATTCCACTACAAAGAACATTCAAACTTTACGCATCCACGTCAGGGACCCTCCGGGGAAATCACCCGCTTGCGGAATTTCGCACGACAGCCTATTCTATCCACATGACCCTATGTAACATGACACAATCACCTCAGCTTTTTAGAGCTGCATTCCCAAACAACTCGACAAGGTTCCACAGTCCATAGAAACCTCAATTCTCACTTCAATCTGCTCGTATTCGAATTCACCTTGATGGTTCTTCACAATACTCATCATCTTCGAACGCAAGCGTCTGAGAACAGAAGGCTTAACTGTATCACGCAATTCTACGTAGACCCTGTTCGAGCCCCTCTAGGCTGTGGTCAGAAAATCCAATTAAGGGTGTGATGTTCCATGAACAGTATCATAATCTCTTTTCCACTTAATTTGTTTCGAGCTTATTAAGATTGAGTGCTTTGCTCTTTCAATTAGCCATCCACGGCATATGATGCTGTAACAGCCAGACCTGTTGTGCAACCAAGGCCGTGAAGTGTCACCGGTTACCCCCACATGGTTTCAATATTCATACCACGCCAGATGCAGAAAGCCGCGCAGGCGCAAACCAGTCTGTGCATGTAATAATGATCGGTAAGTGGCGGTCAAAAACTTGGGGGAATGTTATAATTGCTAAATCTGTAGAATCTAGAACAGTCCAAACAGAAGCCAAGAAAGCCCAGCCCAAGCAGACCCGATATCCATCACAAATAGATCTCGTGAAGAGCGAAGTCACTTCGTATAATACTAATAGACAATGAAAGCGCATCATCTGGATTGTTTATTGTATGGAAGGACTCTCGCAGTGACGTAAAGAGAACGGTCAGATGGCTAGGATACGGCATGCGATTTTGATATGCATGGCTTGATATTTAAGTGGTGATCGTCTAGGTAAAGAAAAACCATTAGAAAGGTTCTCAACAATCAGCAATTGGACTATTCTTACTCTACTGCCTCTCCTTCTACCCACATATCACCAGGCCGTGAACATGGCTCCTTTGTGTGGCATTATACCAGAATATGTCTTGAAAACCATTGTTGAAAGGGGATCGGCGCCACAGAACGTTATCACCCGCTGCCAAACAACGATCGGAAGAACACAACAGATTCAAAGTATCCGAGAAGCCCACAGGGAGAGTGTCGCGCCTCTGAGGCGGCAACAAGCCCCCCAAGGTATTGTTCCACCTTTTATCCTTGAACAACTAGCTCGCAATGCCCCGACAGAAGAACAACGCGATGCAGCCCGTCACACACTTGCACATAGTACTGAACATCGACTAGCGGTGGAACGTGGCGGCCGGTTAAACCGTACGGTCTACGATGCACAAAACTCACGCGCCGATCCTCCTCTGAGAAACGTCGTTCTGCTCAGAGAAGGTGACGAGCTTCTCGCCTTGGAGAAGGATCCCACCAATAATGCCAATGAGTGCTATGTTGGCCTTGGGAAGGCCTATGACTTCTTCTTCAGGTTCTTCGAGCAAGATTCCATTGACAATCGAGGCTTTAAGCTGGATGGCTTCGTCCATTCCGGGGAATTATTGAACGCCTTCTTTGACGGGCGAGCCTTTGTTTTTGGTGACGGAGACGGCGTGATCTTCAACGGATTCACAGACGAGCTTGATGTCATCGGCCACGAGTTCAGCCATGGGGTGGTGGAGTATACCAATCAACTTCCGTATAGTTTCCAGAGTGGTGCTCTCAATGAGCATCTGGCAGACGTCTTTGGTATTATGGTGAAGCAGTGGGGTGAAGGCCCACCCAAGACTGTTGACCAGTCTGACTGGCTTATTGGAGAGGGAATCTGGGCGGCGGGGGTAAATGGCAGGGCTCTCCGCGATATGAAAAACCCCGGACTGGCTTATAAAGATCCTCGAGTCGGGGATGACCGTCAACCTGCCCATTGGAGGGATTACAAGAATCTCAAGTTCAGCGAGGATTACGGCGGTGTTCACATCAATTCCGGCATCCCGAACCGCGCTTTCTATCTTGCCGCTACCTTGATTGGAGGATACGCGTGGGAAGGGGCTGGTCGGATCTGGTACAATGCACTGCGCAGTCGTGAAATTCCTTCCGATGGTACGGCGACATTCAAGGGTTTCGCCGATCTGACTATGAAACATGCTGAAAATCATGTGGATGACGTCAGGGAAGCTTGGGTTCTTGTTGGATATCCATTCTCTGCTTCTTCTGGGGGAAGGAACGAGTTAAGATGAGAATTCAGAAGGCGGTGGACTGCTGTGCTCGTCGGCTCTGCCTTTATACAAAAGTCTGTCATTCCTGTTTACTAGTAGCTTTAGCAAGTTTGCCAAACTTCCATCTTCACAAATTGATAGGCTCGATTTTCCTTCTGGATCCAAACTTCCGACTCTGTGCCAAGTTCCTCGCATAGTACGTCAGCTCTGAATGAGAAATTGATGCTGAAAATGGCACTCGCCACACTGCTGAGGGTGATACGAGCTGATATCTTGTGTGGTTTCAATTGTTCCTTCGTGGCGTGGATAGCTTGTTCAGCGGCTATAATAGCCTATCCGCGTGCTGGGCCAGGTTTTTATCCGTGGACAAAGAACTTTTGAGGCATAGCTGAAATCAACTGCATCATACACGAGTGAGTAAGGAAAGCTTATATTGTGAAGGTAAAAACAAGAGTATATTATCTCGTATCATGGTCTTTTTATCCTACCATCAAAGTTCATTTTTGAGTATAGTATAATTTTCGAATTTAGTTCTAACCTAAAGTAACCAGAGAATCCACAGCTACTAAAAAATACATGCTAGCTAGGCCCTATGCCAGAGATTGTTGAGTGACACTCATCCATTAAGCTCTGCACCATGATAATTCTCGATAGTTGACAGATGTCTGAAGCGCTGCAAGGCCGCTATTGTCAATGAACTAGATAGCCTGGCAAACGCTTTGATAAATATTGCACGTCAGGCAATCGATGGCTGACGCAAGATTGGAACAGTTGTGCTCCAAAGATGCTTCAAGACAATACTCGGTAAGAGGTACTAATATAGATAAAATTACATACAAGTTGCCCGCGGTCGATTCATATGTAGCAGCCTGTCTTGTTTTAATGTACCACGAGGTTCATCGAAGCCTGCATATTGACAGAGCAGGGATATCGGTCCTTCAATTCTAAGGTGCGCGACAAATAGCAGTATCAAGTGTAACAAGGAAGTAACATTCTTGAGGCTGAGTCAGTGGGTCTATGGTTGCCAATACTCTATGCCTACCAGCTATCCTGTAATGGAGTTCCTGGTTATCGGGGATATCGAGGAGGTAACGATTTAACTCTTTGACCATCGCAGTCACTGGTGACAGAAATACCCAAAAGCGAACGCAGGTGTCAGCTGGATGGAGTTGAGAACACGGATACGAGACCCCTTGGGTGATCCGTCAATCCTACCATCTAAGTTCTAACCCAGAGACGGTAATATGACGGAGCTGGTTCAGCCACAATATTAGAGGTCTCTCTCGATTCTTACTGGTCAATAGCGGATTCAAGTCGCGGGAGAGGTACATCGCGGTAGCTGGACTCGGAATGTCACAGTTTACATGGTACTGCTAGAAATACTCCATGTCCAAAGTTCTAGGCTTATGCGACGCCTATGTTCTATAATGGGCAGTGCCCAGAAAGAAACGGCACACACTCCCAGGTCCCAACGGTGACAGAATAGTCCTCTACAAAAGGGCAACATGAGTTCGTCACGATTCAAGTCGAGATATTGCATTTTATGGCATAATCAAGCATAATCAAAGTTTGGTTTCGGTGGGTTCGACACGAACCACGAACCATTCATCGGTGCATGGCTGCATGCGGCCACGAAGAGCTCCAACACAAAGCTTAAGTTATCTCCTTGATGATAGATTAGCTTTAGGGCTTGTAACTTTATCCTTTTGGTCTTGCAGGTACAGGTAAAACAAAGTTCAACATAAGTATAAGAATATTCGAGACTTCTAGACCTGACTATGTATAGACATACCTGTCCCTATCTATATCTTGGGTATAAAAATTAAGTGTAAGTGTTGTGGTTGTCTGGAAAACAGAGCTTGCAAATGGGCCTTTCAGTCTACCATTGCGATCGACACGACCACTGAAAAAGATGAACTCTCTTGCCCACCAACACCCTCCGACCCCGCAATACGGGCATTTTCCCAGATCTTCTCCGCATGCCCCTGAAGAGTGATATCGACCGCCGCCCGCGCCAGTACAGAGGGCGCCAGACTCCGAACCCGATCGACCAGTGTCACCTACCGACTAAGCACCATGCCCGGCCGCATGATATACGACTCAAACGAGGCAGGGTGCTCGGCTGCATACTCCACGAAGATATTCTCAGCTTGGCCCTAGCGTCTCTTCATCAATGTTTCTGTTTACACAATACCAAGAACCTTGGGGGGGGGTAAGAGATATACCCTCAACCGACGATACCCGGTTATCACCCACTAAGACTTCGTCTGATCGCGCTCGGCCATCCCGCCGCTGAAGTATACGAATCGGAATCTTGAACCGGCTGCATAAAGGCCCTCTTCTTGCTCCGCCCCGGGTCAAAGAAGCAGTAAAGCTCTCGTTGATTGACTTGGCAGCCTGGCGAGTATACTCCAGCGTCACCCGCCGGAAGGCCTCTTCGTCCACCGCCGCGCGCGAGGGCAGCACGCCTAGCGTTCAGATACACGTGGCGACGCCGCGGAGCAAGGCGGCGAGCTGTGGGTCGGAGTAGGAGATTAAGTCCTGGTCTTACATGCGGTGGACATGGAGCTTGGGATGCATGGGGTTATTTTATAGTTCGGACGCGACAGGATGAGGATCGAGGTGATTGAGGGGTGAGCTAGGCACTGGGTGAAGTCCTCTTGGCCGACGAAGCCGGTCGCTTCGATGAGGATAATTTTCATGATGCAGGTGCCTGTTTGATTGTTTGCGGAGTAGATTCAATTTGGGGGGGGGGGGGTGTGATCAAGATGGCAGCGGGTTAGCTTGGAGCTTGGAGCAACTTGTGGTCATTGCAGTGGTAAGGTAGTATAGAGCGGGGCATCGTAGTATGCGGGAGTGAATGGCTGGGCTTGCTATATAAGCAGAAGGATGGCTCATATTATTACATTGGGGGCTTTGTTCTGTTGCTTATCATACATCATTTTATGTTGGGCGCAGAGAGATGTCGGATATAGCGGCAATAAGCATCAGTCCAAACTAAGAATCTCACCCCTTGACTAGAAAGTGAATTTGATAGGTCGAAACCGGGCATGGCTCAGGTCTGATTGCTTATAAGTTCGGATGACGGGGAGCACAGGCGCATTGTAGGACTCGAATACAGTCATTTATAACTCGAATAGTGGGGTTTAGCAGCTACTGTACCTATTTCTGGTGATGTAGCATCGAAAAAATACATGGTTGAGGTTGTATAGCCGGTAAATCCGTCAACTGGCACCCATACCAGGTAGGTTGGTCTATAAACTAGAATCACTCCATCGTCCTCCTTTATCAATATCTACCTGTTTGCTTCAGCAGGTTGAACAATCAAGAAGCTCGTTACTTTTTTCTCGCACTGAACTTTTTTCTTGAACCGGGAACGCGATTGAAGCAGGTATAAAAGTCCTATCAAGGCACGTATTCTGATTTATTGTTTATGCCTGAAGCAAGACCTTTGAATGATATTCAACCAGTGGAAGTCATACTGAATTAAAAGAATTGGTACCATTAAGCAGACTAGTACAAAGTGACTCGAAAAATGCTTAGGTGTAACTCACACCAACTATATATACCGCGGCACGATAAAATGCAAAGCACCGAAATGCAGAGCATCAAGCGAATAGATCTATACCAGTGCCATGCAACCTGCCATGAACCCAACACCTCATCCTCACAACTTCTCCCTATCAGCCCGGGTCACCTTCAACATACCATCCTGATAGCTCGTCGCCATTAACCTCCCTTCTGGCGACCACAACCAGCTCTCATGGATCGCGCGACTATCCCCGGACCTAGGCGTCCAGCCCTCCTGAATAAACCACTTCTTGGACAATCCACCCTCCTCCTTAGCCTCTGCCTCTGCCCCAGCATCCCAATCAACCATCCGCACCGCCTCGCCCAGCTCATGAAACACAACCGTCAGCGTCAGACTCGCCAGCGCATCCCACACCTTCATCCCCAGCGCGCGCGGGATCAGCAGCAACGAATTCTTATCCGCCGCATACATATGCGCACACGCATACAGATTATCAAACTCGCCTTCCGTCTCCCTGCGCCTCAGCTCTTTCACCGCCCCATTCGCCTTCAGGGCCAACCCAGCGCCCACCCCTTCGGAATCAGAACCAGGCTGATCCCCCGGCGACCCCTTCAGCTTATAGAACGTCAACTGCCGATACCGATCCGGCTGCCGCCTCACCTCCTCTCTCCGGTTGACCGTCCGCATATCCACATTCCGCGCCTCCAAGCCAGGGAATTCCCGTTCCGGGATGCCGTGCTTCTCCCACTGCTCGCGCCAGTACTCGATGTAGAAGTCCGCGTCGACGCCGGGCTGGATCGCAAAGTCGTGGGGTTTCTTGCCGGCGAGAAGCGCGGCGTAGCGCTTCTGTGGGCTGACGGGCTGGTGCGCGAACGGCGCGGCGGCGGGCTGTTCGGCGCGTTTGAACGAGACCAAGCCCGAGAAGCAGATCTGGTTGGCCTGGCGGGCGTCGACGGCGCGCGTGCAGTAGCTTTTGCCGTCGCGGAGGTGGCGCACCGTGTATTCGTAGGGGATGTCTAATCGGCCCGGGAGGATGAAGGTGCCGGTTACGTTCTTTGATTTGGTTAGTGGGTGATATGAAGTTGGGGATAGGAAAGGTTCGGTGGAAGACATACATGGATGAGGAAGCCTTTGTCAACGGTCTGTGAGGCGGCGTAGGCCGATTGGGCGTAGACGTGGCCGCCGAATGCGCGACCTGCTTCGCCCGGTGGGTAGGGTGGTGCCAGAGATTGGAAGCGTTCGATATGTTCCGGACTGTTCGAGGAGGGTATTCGGCTCTCGTCCACGGGCAGGCGGCGGAGAGATATGAGCTCCGCGAAGGAGGAGGGGCTTTCGGTGTAGGATAGTTCCAGCATTTTGAATTCGTTCTGTCTATGTTTGATGTTGAAGAATCAAGTCAGAAGTGAAGAATAAAATGCTGCTTATATCGCTGTGCTTGATGCTCGTAATGGTCGGTATGTATAATCTCAGAGACGAATCCCTGATCCCTGTAGATTCGAGGGTTACGGTGGGTGCGGATGGGAGGTGACGGCGGTCTAAACCCGAAATATGTGCATGTGATGTGTTACTTCTGAGGATTTTGGCTTGAACAAGATAGGGACAATCTGGACAAA